TTTAGCTTTTTCTAAGGCTTCCTCGTATGTTCTGCCTGCAACCCAGTTGTCATTGTCTAATCTGTCACCTTCTTTACCATCAATGATAACAAAGTAAACAGGACATCTGTGACCCCACCACAATTGACGAGAGATACACCAATCTTGAATATTCTCTAACCAGTGGAAATACTCGGATTCAGAAGTCTTTGGAGAAATAGTGAGCTCTCCGTTCTTAACAGCAGCAATAGCATCCTTTGCCATAGACAGCTGATCAACCCACCATTGTGGCTTCAACATCGGCTCAATAACATCACCTGATCTAGAACATAAAGGTATTGTCATTTCATTGGCCTTTTGATCGACAAATAATCCTTTCTCCTTTAATAACTCAATAACTTTATATCTCGCATCGAATCTCTTCATACCTTCCCATTCTGGTCCGCAATTAGAGTTTAAAAGACCATCGTCAGTGAAAATATTGATGAACTCTAAGTGATTCCTCTTACCCGTATTGAAATCATTTTGATCATGAGCAGGTGTGATTTTAACTGCACCAGTACCAAATTCCATATCAACAGCCTCTGAATCAGTGATTATTGGAATCTTACGGCTCAAGAAAGGATGATTAACATACTTGCCATGTAAATGTGTGTATCTTTTATCATCGGGATGTACTGCGACAGCAGTATCACCAAACATAGTTTCCGGTCTCGTAGTAGCAACAGTAATCCTTTCGTTACTTCCATCTACGAGATATGAATAGGAAGTCAATACACCAAACTCAATCTTAGAGTCATAACCTGGTACACTCAATAAGGTTTTGCCATTAATTGTTTTATTATCAACTTCCAAGTTAGATATAGCCGTGTTTAATTTCACACACCAATTGACCAATCTCGAGGCCCTATAAATAGTTCCATCTTCATGCATCCTCACAAATGCCTCTGTGACGGATTCACTCAAATTAGGGTTCATGGTAAAGGCTTCTCTAGACCAATCATACGAAGCCCCAAGTCTTTTAAATTGATTCTTGATCCTATCGTGGTAAAGTTCCTTCCATTCCCACACTTTTTCAACGAACTTCTCACGGCCAAGGTCATGTCTTGTCTTCCCTTCTTTTGCCCATAACTGTTTCTCAACAACTGACTGAGTACCAATACCAGCGTGATCAAAACCAGGTAAATACAAAGTTGTCTTTCCTTTCATTCTATTATATCTAATCATTGCATCTTGAATAGACACGGTCAAGGCATGCCCAATATGCAAAGCTCCAGTGACATTTGGAGGAGGTGCTGGAATAACGAAAGCACCCTCTGGCTTAATCTTGCCTTCTGTAGTTAATTCTGGTTCGAAAAATTTCTCTTTTACCCACCAACTATACCAAGAACTCTCAACGTAGCTGGGGTTGTACGCCTTGAATGCCGCATCTTCAAGGGACACAAGAACCTTCTTTTCTCCAGGCTTTGTAGTGTCTACAAACTCAGGAACAGGCTCGCTAGCTTTCTTTTCCTTCTTTGGTTTCTTAGATTCACTAGGTTTATTCTTAGCCACCTCGGCCTGTTTGGCCTTCTTAGCATTGAACTTAGCTAACTTCTCTGCCTTCTTACGCTCCTTTTCCAATTCTTTTGCAGTTTTCTCTTTTATAGGCTGCTCTGCACCACCAGTATTGTTAATAGCTGAAGTAGCTGCATCACTTATCTTAGAGCCCTCTATCTTGTCGCTCATCTTCGAACAATTTCTGCTGAAAAATCTATTTGCTAGGAAATTATGATTCAAATGACTGCTGCTAACTACGGTTCTAATAAGCAATCTCTTGCTTAGCATATACTTCTTCAAAACTTCGAAATATCGACTATGTTGACTAAATTTTTTTTTTTCCTATATGTAAGTCGTTAAAGAGTCATTTACAGTTTTGTGTCACTGTCCATTAAAGTGATTGCAAATTAAGAGAGTAGACAGGGACGCTATTTATGAGGCTTTTTAGAGGCCGAAATGTTCTCACTAGAGTCTAACTTTCTCTTAGACATTCCAGAAAACATAACGCCCAGAGAAGAAGGATAAAGGTCTATTTTTGATACAGTATTAGACTGTGTAGATGGGCTTACCGATGGTAATTCTATGCTGTCTAGACGTTGTGACATTGCTTTCGACATCTTTGCTTTTGTATTAGAATTTGGTCTTATCGCTCGTATTCTACCACTATTGGGATCATTACTTCGGCTCATTCCAAGACCAATTTCCTCACCAAAACTATCAATGACAGTTTCTTCAGTTTTACCGAATTCCATTCTATTTTGTGCCCGACGGAGCTCTGACATCTGTAAGCGCTCCCTCATCTTCCTAAATCTTTTTCCACCTCTCTTTTTCGATTTCTGATCCACAGGAATAGGGAGAGCCCTATCGGGATGATTTTCAGGTGGAGTGAGTAACTTTTCTATCTTTGAATTGATTTCTTGCAAGATTCGTTTTCCAAAAGATCCATTGGGACTAGCTTTCGATAAATCTAATCTAGCAGCTAAAATAACTTTTCCGCTGACAATCCTTAACGCAGGCTTTATTATGTCTTCAGGCAAATATCGAATTAGATCAGAATGATAGAGGTAGCCTGTTTGTCTAATGGTTTTGGATATGGTTCTTGTTTTAGATGAAAGATCTCTAACCCCCAATGATGGCAAATTGCAAGATGGAGTTAGCGACAACTGCTTTAAAGATCCCGTAGCGATAAGAATTTGAGAGGTGGGTACAGATCCAATGATAGCTGACACATTTGGAGCAAACAGTGAAATTTTACTGGCCACAAATGAACCAAGTTCTTGTAATATATCATTCAATTCGAGCACTAGTTCACAGCTTGTGGTTAGCTTCCTCATATCATTGTCGTCTAATGTAAGCCGCTTCTTCACTTGCTGTAGGCCTGCCATTATGATTACTAAGACTTTTTCATTTGAGATGAACTTTCTCATCTCTTCCTCATGATTCTTGATTCCGATTAAATCCTGTTTAACCAATAAGACTGTCTTAGCATAATCAACCGCACTAAAGACTAGCGTCTCTAGTTCAGGGAATACCAAGCTATATTGACTTTTTGCGATAGAATGAAACATCATGATCTCCTCATTAATTACTGAAATTAACTCATTGACAAGACTTATGAACTTGAATTCCTCAGATGTATTCTGCTTCAGCCAAGATATCAACTCCATGTAATCAGAATTCTCGTCATTTGAATAGAATTCAAGTTTTTCTCTTAGCTCTGGAACTATAGCTATAACCCGAGACAACGTTTTAAGATCTTGTACGTGATCAAAGTCTAAAATATTTCGCTCATCTTCGTTTAATATATCCTTAAGTTTATTTTCAAACGAACCAGAAACTTCCGGTTCAAACTTCTCGTTTACTTCAACGTCCTCTTCTTCACTTAGGCTGTCGATGTCTGCTAATAGCTCATCTTCATAGTCCACCATACTCTTTCTCTATATGATAAAAGAAAGCTATAATCATTGAGTTTTGTGTAATTCAGAAATATCACCATAACTGATGAGGTCAAAAATTATCAACAAAGAGAAACATCTTTTCAAGGACAATTATGCCATTTGAAGTCAAGACGTCATTGCTCGACAATGTGGATGGCTCAGCTGAGTTGATCATAGGAAATAACAAGATTATAACGTCTGTATCAGGTCCTATAGAAGCGAAACCCAGGCAAGAATTACCGACCTCATCGAGCTTGGAAATTGTAATCAGACCAGCAGTGGGAATTTCTTCGACAAGAGAAAAGCTTATAGAAGATAAATTGAGATCTCTATTGCAGAGTGTAATAATAGGGCATAAATTTCCTAGACAGTTGATCCAAATTGTTGTTCAGTTTTTAATAACAGATACTAATGAAGCATATACAAGCACAGAACTAAATGCAGCCATAAACTGCTGTTATTTTGCTCTTATAGACGCACAAATACCAATGTATTCTTCATTTGCATCGACTACTATATCTATAAACGACAAGAAAATAATTGAAAATCCATCGATTGAGCAGTTAAAGGATAGTGAATCCCATCATGTAATATGCTTTATAATAGAAAATGGTGAGACAGATAGATTATTGTTATTGGAAAGCCAAGGAAAGTTTACTGAAGACCAGTTGTTTGAGGCAATTGAACAAGGAAGTAAAGCGTGCCAGCTAATCCACCAGGATTACCAAAGGAAGTACATTAAACAAAAACTTGAGGATGACTACATATGGAGGACTCAATGATTTTTGTTTAATACATAGGCGTATATGCATGTTTAAAAATTTGTTCCAATGTAAGATCGAAGTAGATTTGATATCAATTTAAATATTGTGTATTAGTATAGTGTGGACAATGGGTCCAAACGTGTCTGTGAAGTGTGAACCGATCCATTCAACAAATTAACTTCGCCGAATTTCGAGTTTGGATTCAACTTATGCTTGAATGTAAATCCTATAAAGTTGTTGTGCTCTTGCCTTTTAGCACCATTGGATTTCTCTAATAAAGCCTCATTATGCTCTTGACGGGCAAAGACATCTTTATATTTCTGCATACTTTCTTCGTCTTCAAAATCATCAAAATAACCTGCATCTTCTTCATTATCTAACTGAGGTGTGAAAGGAGGCGTTCTTTTTCTTAGGCTATCCCAATCTCTGATGTCATTAAAATAGCTCATATTTTGTATTTGTCTGAAGCTTCTTAGACGTTGATGGGGCGATGCAATTAGCTTTATTATTAAATTCCATGTTCGATCACTAAAAACATACCTTCCATCTTTTGTTTGTGGCCTTCTCAATGCGGTTTTCCAGTGCTTTAAGTTATAATAAGTTTCATCTTGCTTAGATCCTGAAAAGGGAGGATATCCACATAATGCTTCAAAAAGCATGCAACCCAATGACCAGTAATCGATTGTGTAATCGTAATTTTTTCCCTCCAAAACTTCTAATGCCATATAATCAGGAGACCCTACAATGGAGTTCGCCAAGTTATGATGTCCCTGACTTTGTTTGAAAAGCTTCTGTCTCTCCATCATTAATCTAGATGGAACTTGATAATTATCCAAGTCTTGTAAGTTTTGTAGTTTCAACCTCATACTTTCAATCCTATCATTTGATACTGAGCCAGCAGCCAAACCAAAATCTGTTAACTTAATATGGCCCTTTGAATCAATCAAAAAGTTTTCTGGCTTGAGATCTCTATGAGTGAAACCCAACTCGTGCAACGAATTAACAGCTGCAAACATTTCACTTATATAAAACCTTGCGTGAGGTGGTATTAAATAGCCTGTATTGTTCAATAATGTCCTGAAGTCACCACCTGGCACAAACTCCATGGCCAAGAATACCTTTTTGGGATCTTGAAAGGCGTATAATAGCTTAACGAGCCACTCACTTCTCGTATTAGTCAAAATGTCTCTTTCAGTTAAAACATGTCTCGTTTCATCTAATTTAAGTAGTAAATTCTTGTTCAATACTTTGAGAGCACATATCTCTCTTGTGTCTTTCTTTCTTGCTAAGAAAACTTGACCGTAGCCACCTTGACCAACTTGAGTTATCATTTCGAAGTCCTTATGCTTCGGTTTCAATCTTCTTTTTCTGAGCAACGCTCTTTCTCTTCCAATATAGTTCTTCCATTCAAGCTGCTGTCTCTGATGATTGGAGGTGAAAAGTGGATCCTGTTGCAATTTATCCTGAACTAACTTGGTTCTTTCCCTTCGACTAATAACATAGTCAAACATGTCACAGTAATAATCAAGAAAGTATAGTTGCGCGACAGATGCTAGTCTTTTTGTCCTGGGGTCATTTGCCTTTCTTTGAAAGTCCTCTTCGTTAAATAGCTTTGGAGGCTGTTTGACAGAAAGCGAATGTAACTGCTGTTGGTATTTATAGTTGTCCTGTGGTTGGTACGGGGATGCATGCAATATAGATTTGCTTGGTGAGCTGGCTGGCGTGATATTTTCTTTGTTGAGCTGATTTAAATGCTGTCTGGCGACTGGACGTTGCTGCTGCTTGTAACTTGTATCAATATCCATCATTCCACTGCAAATAGATACATTTTCAACTGATTGGGAGAGATCAGCAACATCCATATCTTGAACACTAGCACCATGCTTAGGCGACCTACTGAAAAAGTTAGTCATCTTTGTCGTCACAGATTGTAGTGTGAGTGCTTTGAGACCGTAATGGTCAGATATACTGCTTGGTAAGATCAATGGTATTTATTGGTTTGGCTTGAGGCTCTGTGGATGTTTACAAAATCGCTTAAAGAGGAATTCCATCGGTCCCCGAGGCTGCGTACAAAATTGAATTTAGTGACAGAATGCTGGCTACTTGACAAATAGCAAGACAACAGAATCCTACAATAGCAAAGATGGCTTACTACAGCTTCGCAGCTGTTTGTGTCGGTTGGTAAGGTTTGTTGATCATTTATCCTAAAGTCTCAATGCGCCACAAGATGGAATAAGGGCCATTTAATAAATTCCATGTATGTTCCTCCGACTGAACCGCGAGTAGAGACTTTAAGTTCATGCTAGAGCTGATGGTAGTGTTAACTGGTGAGGTACTAATACACTTGTCATTTCTATTCCATACTTTAATCATTATCTGTTCTTTGTCTTTAATTTTTATGTTGTTTCATCATTGACATACATTTCTGCTTTGTCTAGTATTTTTCTGTTCTTGAGCCAATTCTTAACCTACAAGTTAAAGAGTATTTTCCCATGTGTGAGTCTCACAGTCGATCTTTTATTCTCTATATTTGAAGTTCACGTACTGCCTCTGGTTCTCACGGATGCAAAAATGTTGGAGTTGATCATCTTGAGCAGACGTAACCCCTTCCTCAAAAGTTGGAGTTTTGGAGTTCTACAATAGCATATATCATGGAATTAAGAAGCTTCTGGTGCTCTAAACAGCTATTGTTATACTTCGGTGCCATCAACTAACTCCCGTATAGGCTTAGGTGATGTCATCGTTAACTAGAGCGAGTTATAGATTTTACAATAAAAGAAACGTCAGAAATATCTCCGACCACACCTTAGCTCCCTATGTCATGGCTTTCATTTAAGTCTCTCTCGTATGCTATTGTTTGAAGTTTCTACTGCTTTATAAGTCAACTACAAAAACAGCAATCGACAAATGTACACGTGACTACTTCTTTTCTGTTTGTTTCTCGCCTTTTGACCCATCAGAAGTCCCCCACGACAGCTTATGTCCATTCTATTGTCGTCAATCTTGAGTCTGTCCTTTGTGGTTGTTGTCTGATTGTCTTCCCCACTGAATACCGTTTGTTGGCAGTACCAGAGAACTTCTAACAAGATATGACCGGAATTGCCCCGCAAAAGGTTGTGTTCGAGCCAAAGTCCGCATAATAGCCAAGTCCCGAGAACTTGGCTCCTACTATTCGCGCCTATAATAAAAGCATAGCGGTCTGCATATGGAAAGTTCATACTCCGCTCCGAGCTTTTCAAGGAACTAAACTCCATGACCTTGAATAGTTTTCACCCTCGAATCAGACCGGTACTTTATCTATCTAATAGTGTCTTGCCCTTAGAATTTTACTTGAACCCACGACGTGGGCCGAGCGTCCCCCTCTAGCAGAGCCTGCCAAGTCGGCCGAAGAAAACCACCGGGTTCACTAGTTAATGTAGCACCCCCTCCTTAGCTCATCCTTCACATTTTTGGCAGCAAATGAAAGTGGTGTATTTCGGTCTTAGTTACGAGAAACAGTTTGGTAATATTTTATGGGGAAATCATCACTTTCCCACAATAGCTTCCTGCTTGTCAGCATATAAAGACGGTGGGGTCCCTGTTGATAGAATTTCTTTAAAACAAAAATTGAGAATACTTAGTGATATCTGGTGACATATCTAAGTTCATCTGGGAATATATCTTAAAAAGTAATACTGAGATTCAACAGCCAGATAGGTGATATCTTCAGCAGGAATAAAAAGCTTTATATTCATACGTTAAGTTTAGATCGTTACTCATCATAATAAATAATATGTCCGCCGATTTAGAAAACCAACAGCCGCAAGATCATACTCTTGTGATTGATAATAAGGATAATGATGTCAACTCCTTTCATGGTTCTGAAAGCAAGAAAGATGGCTTGAGTGATGGTATCACCAAAGTTACTACTGAGGGCGATTATGTCCAGTTTGGAAATGAGCGTTACTTGAGAAGTGAATTAGTGGATGCGTTCGGTGGTTCGCTTAACCCTGGTTTAGCACCACCGCCAAAGAATAACTTTGCTAACCCAGCTCCATTAGGTTTGTCGGGTTTCGCTTTGACCACGTTTGTTTTGAGTTTAATCAACCTTGAAGCCAGAGGGGTCGTCATTCCAAATATTGTCGTCGGGTTGGCCTTTTTTTACGGAGGAGCTGCTCAATTAGTTGCCGGTTTATTTGAAATTGCAGTTGGAAACACTTTTGGTGGTGTTGCCTTGGGTTCTTATGCTGGATTTTGGGGATCCTGGGCTGCAATTCAGGTTAATAGTTTTGGTATTGTCGAAGCATATGGAACAAATGAAGAGGAATTGAGGTTCGCTTTGGGTATATTTTTGATTGGCTGGTTCATATTCACTTTTTTCCTCATGCTTTGTACTTTGAAGTCAACGGTAGCCTTTTTCCTGGTATTCTTTTTACTTTCTATAACCTTCTTGCTATTAGCTATTGCAGAGTTTAAGGGGTCAACTGGAGTTAAAAAAGCGGCAGGTGTTTTTGGTGTACTTACGGCTTTTGCTGCTTGGTATAATGCATATGCTGGTCTCGCGAATAAGCAAAATTCATACATTACTGTTAAGGCTATTCACATACCAGACTTCGAAGAAAAAATGAAGTCTCATTAAAGTAATGGAATATTTTCACCAACGGTTAATGACAAATAATGGAAACTTTATATGACAACGTCACATATATATAATTTAATGCTTAGTTCAATTTCCCTTATGATTTTTGAATGTTCTTCGAAGATTTCGTAATTATTTCTCCAAGGAGTATAGAGTGTCATCAATGTTCACTACCTCTTTACCTGCAAAATAAAAAAATATCCTTCAGTTACTTCCAGAAGTACAAATAATTCAGTATGCGAACCTACCACTAAATACAAAGCGACCAGATTGTAAATCATGGAAGGAGATAAGATATATGAGGTAATCGAGTCGGTAATCGAGTCTTGGCTCTTTGAACTTTTTCAATCTGAATCTACAACTGATTACTACTTTTTGGATTAGTTATAAAGAGAGTCTCAATTGTAATGATATGATAGTGCAACACAAATATCATAAGCCTAGATCAAGAAAGTAAGAAAAAGTTTTCCTTAGTAATCTGAAGGTGACCTTGTAAGTCAATAATATCTTCATATTCTTAATTATGCGATCCGTTTATAACAAGAGCAAGCAAGATATTCCCCCTCATTTGATGCAAATAGAATGAACTTTCTGGTATTGACTTCAAGGGGCCTGATATTTCTTCGTCTTGGGTTGAAGAGCATGTACTGAAGTTCTACCACAATTGAATTACATACCAATTATTTTATATTAAGTGAGGTTAATTGAAAGAAAGAAAAAAAATAGTGACTCCGACGTGGTTCGAACACGTGCATCTTTACGATAACAGAACTTGAGTCTGCCGCCTTAACCACTCGGCCACAGAGCCTGTTTTAAAAAATTGTAAGGGATCAGTCTTATAAGTACATACAATGTGAAGAGTGTTGCAAAACAGCTCTGAAACTGTGTTGTAAAAGTATATAAGTGCGAGATACTCCCAATAGTAGAAGATTACATTCTACTAGGGATTCTAAGTAGTAGCACACTATACATAAGCTTAGAGTAGTCAAGTGTTCATAAGGAATCACCTAAATACGATAGTAGCCCTTTAAAACAAGTATTTAGAACTCCCTATAAACCTCACAAAATTTATAAAGAATCAGTCTTATGAGTACAACACATGATAAGAATGTTGCAAAACGTCTCTAAACAGTGATGCAAATTTTTACAAGCGGGAGATACTCTCAAGTAGAGTATAGTATTCTACTGGTATTCTACTAGGGATTCTAGATTGTAGCATACCCTCATGGAAGGAAGTCAACCTCCAATAAGAACGTGTGACTTGGAGCAAAGGAGTAAGAAAAGTTCCCAGAGCTGTCGCAAAGTATAATTACAAGGAATTTTCTGGACTATTCAAACTCCATACAGTGCGCCTCTATTATAATGACGAAAGATGGCTACTAATACTTTATTTTCGATAACAGAGCTTCGAAGTCTAAGTATTAAAAGGATAAAATTCTTACCTCATACACATTAAATGAAGGAGGACTGAATTATCCCCTAGAGAGACTAGGCTCAAAATTACTATTAAATTCTAGTAGAGTCGAAGGTTAGGAATAAGACAGGGTATGGTAAAAACAAAGTATTCCTCACAAACACAACGCTGTTGGATTACGTAATGCTCAGTTACACTCCAAAAAAGGTTATCTTACAACCAATATCAGGAACAAGCTTGATCGTTACTTGGACGACAATTATATAATGGTGTTGCGTAACACCAAATAAAACTCGCCGAGCATTCGGGTTTATACAGAAGAATAACGTTGTGTTAACGAAGAAGAATGTGAATTCGTGATGACGGGGATTGACTTTCTCAGATGGCCAATTGATGAGTAGTCTGAAACTGCAACGGGATAATTGCGACTTCGACAACATTACATCAATTAACCCTTGTGTATACTAGGATTGATGAAATTTTTTTTTTTTATGTGCTGAGCCGTGAAATAACCCAGTGCATGCAATATATTGCTAAGCTAATTATAGAACCTATATTTTGTTTCATTGTGAGCTATTAATAAATATTTAGCTGACAAATATATGAATTATAGGTTGGCAAAACATAATGAAAGGAGTGGAATACACGAAGAACACGAAATATTAATAGAGAAAATTAAATTTCTTGAATCTAGAATTGATAAACCTTATTAATGTTTGCGGTGGGAGAGATTTTTCAGATTCTAATTGCATGCGCTTTTAACTTCAAGATGATATCTTCCTAAAAGCATCAAATTATTTTGAACTATGTACAGGCATTTATATCTGCATAAACCCAGAATAATTCACTGATCAATGATAAATACTAACTAGATGGACTTCTAACTTCTAATGCCATGTATATACTTCTCCAGGGAAGAAAGCAAGGAGATAGCTTTTCTATAATCCTGCCAGTGAGCATATCAGGATAAATCCAGTGCTTTTTACAAAGGTACAGAACGATAATGAACAAAATGTAAGAGTCTTTTTAGATATTCATCTATTAAGGATACGTGATTATATACCAGAAGATGAACTATCTCTCGAGAAAATAAAGCCGATAATGCCCAAAAATGATGCGTCAGTATCCCTTGAAACAAGAGCGTCCATGCCGCTACTTAACTATGTCACCAACTTAATGACGGCGGCTTTAAGGAACTAACCACTGATGAATTTAAAACTAATTACCTCGCTCCACTTGACAGTGCTCTCAGAAAATCCAGCGTCAAGCCCCAATTGATATTGCTGAATTATTCTTGTCCATATGGAGATGCTACTCATGTGGAAGATGATATTCAGCACTGTTTCGATGAACAAGTTTGCTACGCAGTCAAAGATATTCACCGTGACATTAGAGGTAGGAGCCACTATTTCGGGAAATCATCTATCATAAAACCATAGTTGCTTAAAGGTCGTATACGGCTATCGTTCATTTTGCAATGAATGAACCGCCTCCTTAGGGGCAATATCCGGTAACTTGTTTCGGGATAGGTGATTATAAAACGAAGAATCATCATTTAGCGAAAGGATTCGAAGAATTGAAACTAGTGCTTGAAGATTACAAGATGAACTTACAAATCCTGCGAAGCCTAAGACTGCAGTCAACGCACACTATATTTCAAGACCGAGAATGGACTCCCAGAGTGGTATATGCTTTAGTTCTAAGGAAAAATATTTATTAAGCTTTTCTCTGTGGGATGAATAGAGAATTCATTTCAGACCATGAATCTTTCTCTGGCTTTTTCAGGTATAAAATTGTAAGTGGTGAAAAGATGGTGATAAAGTATTACGTTATCAACAATCCAGAGACTGTGGAACATGGTATTACATTAAGGTCTGCAATTGGAGGATTCTTCTACGAAGAGAGAAAAAGACGCACTTGATACAAAAAAAGTTGACAGAAGCTCTTGAGATAGTAAGCAGGAGGAAGGGATCAGATCCATTTGAAAATGTACTTCCCTGGCCTGTGGAAGAACTTCCTCAAGAACGCAAGCGTATTAAACTATCTGGCAGTGAACTCAGACGTCAATTGAAGTCAATTGAAGAAAATACCGATTACGATGATTTTGATGAAATTCATGGCAATACCAGTTGTCGCATAGTATATGATGCCCCTAAAATTATCCTGGATTAGCATCGCTACTCCCGACTGATGTATTTGTTAAATTGTACAACTATACTGATCTGGTATTCGAGAACTTTCCAGAGAAAGACAGCTACTATGACATATTTGTGAATGAACTTGAAATAATCAAAATACTTGCAAAGTCTCAGTTTGCATCACATTTTCCAAAGATCATTGTATCTGGATATTGGAATGGGATGCCAAGTCAACCAATGCATATATTTGAAGACCTCGGAGAAGAGGTACCAATGTCCAAATGGGATTATAAGAAGGTATACAAAATAGTCAAACTGAGACTTGAAGAAATTCATCTTTTAGGAATTAGTCATAATGACGTCAGAGCTGCTAATATTCATGTTTCTGTGAGTGTTAATATCTCCTTAATAGATTTTGGGCTATCAGTTTGTCCATGCACTGATGAATGTAAACGAATAGATTTTGAAGCGTTAGATGATATTTTTAGAATATATATCAAAGGTATCCAAGAATAGGAGCATGATAATCAAGTGAGTCAAGAAGAAGACATGGCTTCTGACTCAGGAATCGGAAATGACGGAATAGACTCTTCGTACAAAGTCTTTAACGAAGAGACAAAGATTCTCAAAATACAGAATTAACGAAGAATGACGTTTCTTCGAAAGTACTCACGAGAGATAAAAATAAACATTGATTCTATACTGTTGCATACACACGAGTTGCTTAGAATGAAAGTTTAAGAGCTCTTGGAAAGTTTAAATCTCACCTGTTATCAGATATTCTCTTCCAATTTATTAAGGACTTGTATTATTCGAGAGAATTACAAAATATAATAATATACTAGCCAATCTATGGCAATAATTATGCTAGTCTGATGATACTCGTGTGGATAGGAGCACAATATACACGAGCTTAGGGTAAACAACTATCCAATAATATTCAATAGGAATCACATGTAAGAGACGACCCTTTTTTTAATATTTCACGAGTCTACATTGTACATAGTATTTTATGGTGGGTATACTATGATAGTGCCTAGTCTCGAAGAACAGGAAATGTCCAAGTTGTGATTTAAGCAGTATATAGGAATAGCCTTAGTATTAAACAAATTATGCTTTCAGTAATTCATGTTTTTGTAGGAACATTCCAAGTATCAAAGAGTTATCTATAGATTTCGGGCCCGTTAATATAAACCTAAATATCACTTATGACTATTCTCAGAGTCTCATAACGCTTTGCTTAACTTAAAAATACGGATTGAAGTAAATATAATGAGCTCATGATAATTATATTCTATGGTTATCGTTAAGTGGTTTAATTATACTTAAGACATAATCTCAGTTTCTATATTATGGCGATAACAGAACTATAAACAGTAAAGATCTACTTAGTCAAAGAGATGCTAAAACACCAATTCTCTTTCATCTAATCTTGAATAGAAGAAAAAAAAATGACAGACTACACTAATAATTTCAAATTATGTGCATTTGCTCAGCTAGGAGAGCTACATATTTGAAATATTAAATTTTTGATTCATAATTAATCATCATATCTAGAATATCCATCCAAAAATTTTTTCATAAAACCATTCTTTGTCCTTTGGATTTCCCTCTGCTTCCCTAATAGCCTTTCTTTCCTGCTCTTCGGATGCAAACTTTTCTTCTTCTGCATCTACGACATCCCTAAATGTCTCTAAATCGACATCTTGGGAACGAATAATGCTTGTCTTTTTGATAAGCTTGTAACCAAAATACATAATAAGGAAGACAGGTAAAACAATGTAGCCAGTAATAAAACTCTTGTAAGTAAACTCGTTACCCAAGAAAACAGTAAAGTTCTTGATGAAAATAACAACAATACAGATAGATAATGCAAAATAAGATCCATATGGTTGCAAAGGAGAGCAATAAGCTAAATCTTTCTTTCTATCAATACCTTGCACTTTGCAGGCCCTCATGAATCTTATGTGAATGGTCAAAATACATGCCCAAGCAATCAAGCCTGTTAAACTGACCACATTAACAAAATAAGTGAAAACCTCTCCTGCCCCACTGGAAACCGTCATATAGGCGAGCAAGGTGAAAAGGAAACTCAAACAGATTCCATAATATGGAACCCCTAATTTATTAGTCTTGGAGAAAAACCTTGGTGCATAACCTGCCACTGACAATCCGTAGATTGTACGTGAACAAATATACATATCTGAATTTGCAGCTGACAAAACAAACAACAAGATACATGCGTTGATAACATGATCTAATCCTTTAATCTTTGCATTTTTAATTGCTATGACAAACGGTGAAGCGCTTGCCGTATTGCCAGATGCTGATAATAAGAGTGGATCCTTGGACGAAACACACATTCCCAAAAACAAAATCGAAAGACAGTAGAAAATGACAATACGGTAAAAGGTAAGTTTAATGGCCTTTGGAATAGCCTTTCTTGGCCGTGCACATTCAGCGAAAGTTATACCACATAATTCAGTACCCAAATAAGCGAAAACAGCAGTCACTAAGACACTGACGAATGCAACAAATCTGCCTTTTGAACCACCGATATATAAATCTTTCGTTGAATCCAGATAATGTAAAAAGGCACCTGGGTTCCTCCAGTATCTAAACCCAGTCCTTTCATGTGTTGGACCGCCCCCAAGTGCTATAATCCATAACAATAAGATAAGACCAAGGCAGGTAATAACCTTCAAACAAGATAACCAAAATTCGATTTCTCCAAAGAATCGAACTCCAAGCAAATTCACAGCTAGGATAATTATTAAAAATATTGTGATCCATACTCCAGGATTTAACTTTTCTGCACTAACCCAGTATTGCATAGTCAAGGAACCTGCGACTAGTTGGTTTGCAGGAAGAATAAGATATTTGAAAAGATAAGTATATCCACATGCGAAACCCAACGCATCATCGACGTACCTTTGACAATAATTAGCAAAACCGTTAAGTGGAACGAAAGTAGCAACTTCACCAAGACCAGCCATCACCATAAAAACCGTTAAACCAATGACAGAATAGGCTACCAATATAGCACCAGGTCCTGCAGCTTTCAAGGCAGACCCAGTTCCAATAAGCAATCCAGTACCCAAAGCACCTCCAATAGCGATCATAGTAACATGTCTGGCATCTAATGCCTTTCTCAATTGATGTCCCTCTGTCAAATTGATCGCAGAAGGTGTTGATTGTGACACATAGAGGTCATATTCCTCCGTGTGCCTACTCATTACGGACGACAAGTCCGAGGGAGAGTTAACCCTTGGGTACAGCTTCTCTGAATCTTTACCCATATCTTTGACTTCTCTAATTTAATTTAAATTATTGAAAAATATGCTCTATTTCTATTATTTTTTTTTTTGGACCCCAACCGCAGATGGGGTCAAAATATATCAACAGTCCATCTTAAACTCATCTCCATCCAAAATGCACGATCTTTACAATGCACCGCATTGTGTCTCGTGAATTACTAGATTGGCGGGGTCTACAATTGAGAAATTAATGGTAATCAGTTGGCCAAGAATTTTTCATATAAGATACTGAAAGAACTTTCATTCAACTGATAAGAGCGTTTCATCGATAAGCCATTAGGATGAGTTTACAATCTGCGTTATAATTAGTGTCTGTCTGTACATCTCTAAGGCTGACTGTCAATAGAATTCATTATCCAGAACAATGTTCATCGCAGATGTCTTCTAAGAAGCGGCTTTCGACGCTCAACAACGGCAAAATGGTTGCAATGCCTTTCCAAAGATGCATGCCTAAATAGTAGTGACGTTATGTATGCCTGAGTTTGCCGTGCTGTCCTGAATAGTAGGCCGAATGCGCTCTCTAGCATCCTTGGCACGGAGCATTATTAGCGAGAAATAGGCATCCCTCGCCGACGCCCCGCCCTCATTAGTCACGTGTAGATGTTCCAAAAGGGCTGCTAAAAAATTTGCCCACTTTTAACTCTAGCTACATTTCTCTGTTGATGTTTCTATGTCTATTCTATCTCTATCATTACTCATTTATATATCATAAAGTGAAATCAAACTCTTGATAAAACTTCTTGAATGCCAGACACTCTGCAGCCTCTTGAGAAGATGGCTGGCGACATTTCACCCATGAAACACTCTTGGGGCGATTGATAACAGTCGCCAAGACCCTTCTTGGGAATTGTAGATCGACGGTCTTGGATTCATCATCAAGAGTAGCAATATAAATATCTTTTTGTGTTTCGTTTCTGTAAACAGTGAAAAGTATGTGATCTTTGTGGTTGATTATATTCAAAAGCTCTGGTGATTTGTCGTCTGAGAAATGGCTAAAATCGAGATGCTGGTTTTGAGTGTAAACTTCATTATTAGTCTTTGCCTTATCTTTTAAAATCTTGGCGAACTTCGGAAGCGAGGAATCCAACACCGGTACCATTTGAACATGATAATGCACACCTTCCAATCTATTGATCTCAAAGAAAACGAGCCTGTAGGAAGGGTACAGCTTTTGGAATGCCTGTACTAGCGTTTGCTCAAATTTTTGGATTTCTTTATATACTGGAGTTTCTTGAACATTTGCTGTGGTGGACCTTATACTTGGGATATGTTCAATAGGAATGATGATGGCATGTCCCGAAAATTGCATGTTTTTGTTTGCCCTAGAAAGTGGACCCTTCGCTACCGTTAGATAAGAATGTTTCCCAATAGAAATGACCATATGAGTCTCTACATTGGGATTTGAGAGACAAAAGAAACACTTTTCCATAGGAACAATTTTGATTTGTTTTACTGGGGCTTCACCGCCGTCAGCGACCTCTTCGAAAGATCTCTTAACTTGAGCCGAAGTTGTAGTACTTTTAATAAATGGATTTGGTACCAACAGTGATTCCGAAACATCACTTGGAACGTTCGACATCCCAAAACCGTAAAACCATTTTTCACCTGAGCCCTCTTGTCCTAAGCTTATAAATCGAGTGACTCTACCATTATCCCACTCAAATGGCGCACCTTCAACAAATCTCCCACTGTCACTACCTACCGCAAAGTGATATCGCGGTTTTGCTTCCTTTACTATTGTATCTATACTCACATTTCCAATTAAAGTTAACCTATGCTCCCTTGCAATTGCCCTTGGCCAGTCATATGTAACTAGTATATCTATATCCTTTTCAGACTTCTTGAATTGATCCAAAGCAGCTTCTAGCTTTTTGTTGTCTTCTTCTACCTTGGCAGAAACGTAGGCTAAAGTCAATCCACTAGGTAATACAATGATGTTTATTATTGAACTTAAATAAAATAAATGAGGTTTAACCTCAACAGCAGTCAGTTCTGTTGACCGAACACTTAAGCTTTCACTTATGCCACATCTTCCCTCAGTGAAATAAGTCGTCACATCAAGATCTTCTAATGGTAATTTTGAGCCAGTTGGAAGAACATCTCCAAGAAGGAGCACGGCCTCAAAGGGACCATTTTTTGTATTTTGCAAATTGATCTTTCTAATAACTTCATCTAAGTTCCCCAGATATGGGTTAGCTATGAGAAACTTCTTTTTGGCAGACATATTGTCGTTCAATAGTGTATTTATTTATACTCTTCTCGAAACTCATCGAGACTCTATATAATTATTTCTATACACCCTGCACATACGATGGTGTCAAAATACTTAAAACAATCTTTTTGGGTCAAGCTCAAATAAATCGTTATCTAAGCTTGAAGCATTATTCACACATTGTTCTAAGATGCTTGTAAAAGCCTTTTGCGTTGCTTTTGATAATTCTCCAGACAACTCTCTATATTCGTGATCCATATATTTTATGTGAGATGTAAGCTCGTCTGCTTCTGCTGACTTTTGAAATAGCTTTTGTTTTAAATAGCGGTTTTCAAACTTTACTCTATCTAAGTCAGACTGTAGAAAAGCGAGAATGTTGCTGACATTCTTTTCTGATTCAAATTGAGGTGATACACTTACATCATGTAACTTTGCAGTCAAACTCTCAATTTCGTCTTTCAAGTTCCTAATTACATCATGATCAGCCTCTTTCATTGCGTTCCAATCTATTGGAATAGACGCCAATTTTGTCTTATTTGCCTTAGCCATAGTTTTTATCTTCTTCACTTGATTCGCATAATTTAAAGTTTGGTAGGTTTCATCGAAATCAAGCGGTGAAATACAAAATATCATGAAAGTTTTCGAGTTACCAGCCAAATTCTCTTTCATTATATATGTAAGAATAGAGTCCCTGTACGGTATGACTGGAGATTTTTCGCTTGGATTACTTGACGCTTTTGCCAATAAATTAATACATCTGCCTAACACTGTAAGAGACTTATTTATCAATGTGCCCTCCTTCATTCTCTCGTGCTGCCCGAACGTTTTAGTTTTTTCTAACCTCTCAGATCCCGCCAAGTCGACTAATTTAATGCTAGATATCATCACTTCTTCGGCATCACCGATGCTAATTGTATTATTCGATTCTCCATCTGTAAATCGAGTCTGCTTTAGCGTAAGAGTCAAGATGGCATGGGACCTACTACTGTGTTCGTTCATGGAAGTAGAGGCAGTAGACCTCTTTGTATTCCCAAGATTCAAGAGCCTCTCAAATTCTTGATAACTTTCAATTGTATATTCTTTCAAATTTTCCACATACGGACCCGTAACTGGATGCTCTCGCACTTTACATTTCTTTCCCCCCTCTTCAGTCCCAAATAAGTCCTTCACCTGCTCATTGTACACCTCAATATACGTTAATTTTAATTCGCAGTTGATCCGATCGTCAATCAATATTTCTCTATGTTTCAAAACGTCATGCATTATCTGGGGAATGAAACCAGGCTCTTGCTTATTGCCCATCATAGTATAGGTCTTACCTGAGCTTGTCTGCCCATAAGCCAACAAACAGACATTGAAGCCTTGAAATATGTGCTCTACTATCTCTGGCCCACACTTGTCATAAAAGAGCTTATTATCTGTATAATTGGCATCATGCTTATTGTAGGACCAAATTGCCTCATCAAATCTATATTGCTTGTATTCTTTATGCTGATCTCCCGAATCATCAGATTGACTCCTATGTGACCGACTATGATGTGATGAATTGGGTGGTACCTCTAGTATTGTCGCTGTAGGATCATATGGCGGCATACGCACTAAGCACTCTGACTCTAATGGATCATCTATGCTACTATCCGATTCACGCTGGAGCCTTGGCCGAACTCGAACTAAGACCTTTATAGTATTGCTTTCTGGCTCCATGTGTCCCTTCTTGCTATTTCGTTCGTATTATTGGTCTAATTCTTTTAACTCAAAAATCTAAACAACTAAAAATAAATACAAAACTCTTATCATATTTATATTTGTCACGCGCAAGATATCATATGAAGAACTATATCATCAAAATAGTTTTTTCTTTGACACATAAGGTTTAGGCAGATTCGGAAGTGACAGTAATATTTAAAACAGATTATATATCTATTATACTGATATTTGGGTTGGTATTTAGATAGATCCCTATGCGAAATAGTTTGCAGTAGCTTTTAAGGGAGTTAAAGAGGGTTTTTTAAAAGAGAAGTTTTTTGCCCCACTACAGAAAGGTAGGTATCTTGTTCATCTCTTTTTTATATTGAAAAGATGGCAGAATTTGATACGTTGTTTGGGACATCAGTCCAGGAGGCAGTAAATGCTTCTATTGGTCGGAAAATGCCACTTTTGGTATTATTATCTAGAGGAGACGAAAGATCAGAGAAATTTATAAAGAAAGTATCATCCGAAGAGGTTGTAAATAAAATAAGGCTGAGTTATGTTCCATTACTATTGATTGAAGACACAGAGGAAATAGAGCACTTTAAAGCAATTTTCAAGCAGCTTGTTTTACCCAGCATCTATATCGTAAGCAACGGTCAGCTACTTGATATAGTTCATGAAACTGCCACTGAGCAAGAGATTGCAACAAAACTCGAGCATGCTCTGGAAGCATTGAAGACCACACCGAGCTCTATTTCCACTCGTGCAGCGTCTGTTGAACTGCAAGGCGCAAACTTGGAGCTGTTGGAGAGCCAAAATTTGATAGATTCTCAAAATGCACGTCGTGGAGAATCCGTAAGCAGACATAAGAAACAGGTGGAAGCGTATAAAAAAGAACAAATTGCTGAAAGAAAGAGGTTGAGGTCTCTATTGGAGGCCGATAAAAGGGAGAGAGAAGCTACAAGTAACAAGCATAACTTGTCCCCGCGAACTGCTTTTCAAGAAAGCAAAGTAAGAGGTAAGTCATCACACAATTCAGATTCATGTATCCTAAGTATCAAACTACTTGATGGAATATCTTTGGTACATGAATTCAAAGCTAGCGATACTTTATATTCGGTTAGAAATTGGCTCGACCAAGAGACAAATGGGGAGGTTCTTCCGAGCTCCCCATCTTTACCTTCTTTCGCCAGGTCATTGAATCCGCAACCTGTTCGTTATGTTTTCCATTGCCCTGTATTACCAAGAAAAACATTTTCTGAGGATGAAGAACGATTGAATTTATCTGAATTAGATTTAAGACCTCGTTCGGCGCTAATACTAAAACCAATTTACGAGATGGAATCCTCAGATGTCAATGAGAATGGAAGGGGAACCTTTTCAAGCTCATTCAAATACATTGGAAGTTCTGTGGGGAGACTAGCAAATGCATTATATTCATTCTTCGACTATGGCGTTGACGATATCCAACGTAGCCTTGAGGAGGATGACCGTGAAAGCATTTCTAGCTTACGAGTTGAATCTGAAGTCCCTGAAGTTGTTTCCACTAGTGGAAATGGAAGAGAGGTTCCACCTCCCCCGGGATCTTTGGTAATAGACACGAGGAGACAAGCATCGTCATCTTTGATTAATATACATCAAGATGTACAAGAGGTTCCTGACTTGAGCTCTCTGGATTCTGCATCACTAAATGAGCCAAATAATAGAAGTAGGGCATCAACTCCTAATCCAATACGACGCATGCAGAATTTAAGCAAGACTCAGATAATGCAGGATGAAGCACGAGAAAATAATTGCCAAAAGTCCAATGAACAAAAAGAAGAAGAGCTTGATTCTCACAACTTAAAGTTCGGAGAAAAGAAAGAAGAAGAATGAAAGAAGAACTATCGTTTAATCACTTATCTTCAATCGAATCGCTAACCTAAATCCCGTAGCTAGAACTATTTATTTTAATGATTGGCCTATCAATACCTCTTATGTATTTGCTTCAAGTGATGAAGATTCTGTTAATTTGCACATTAAGAAGCTAATCAAATTTGGTGATTTTGAAATAATTTTGTCTATAATGATATCACTGGTTCCACTAATCTTGTTTTTTGATACATCGTAGTGTTTATATTCCAGTAATGAATTCTTTAATACAAGTGATTTCTTTTCTTTAACAGTGCTTTGGGTATTTTTCACATCCAATGCTGTCACCCAACCAGAAGGATTAGAACCTTCACAACCTTCACCAGGAGATACACTCTTCTGCTGACTAACTTCTAACTCTGGTATCTCGCCTGTGCCCTCACAAGAGCAATCCAATAAATCATGAGTATTACTGTTGGTGTACTCGGCAACTTCAAACAAATTTTTCAAGTCATTGTGATCAAAAACGTTTGAATTGGATTCAAAATCATTATCCAAAAAGTTTTTGCTCAAATTATTCTTCATGAGCTGGCGCTGGAAGATCTTCTCATCTATGCAACCGGCTGTCATTATTCTGTAAATAAACACAGGTTTTGTTTGGCCATCTCTATGTATACGCGCCATTGACTGTAAATCAACTGACGGATTCCAGTCGTTGTCGAACAAGATTAGCCTAGATGCGCCAACTAAGTTGATCCCCATTCCTCCAGATTTCGAGGATAATAGAAATACTGTTGTGCTGTTATCACTATTAAACTGGTTGACAAGACTGGATCTGAGCTTGTTTGGCGTAGAACCATCCAATCTCAAAAATGTCAAATTCATTTTTCTTAACACATCTTCTAACAAATCAAGTGTCTGAGTGTAATTTGACACCAATACAATTTTCTCTTTATTTTCATTAATTTCCAATAACAAAGGAATAAGTAATTTGATCTTACCACTAGCTGTTTTTTTAGATATTTCACCTGCAGTTAAAGATATTTCACCTTCAATTAAAGTGGAGAATAGCTTATCATCAGCAAGTAATGATGGAGAATTGCAAATCTTCTTGAATAGCGTGATCAAAGACAAGCATTGGTTAGACGTCGCTCCTTCACTTTCTTTTAACAAACCAGTAAATTTATTTGAGTTCAAGATTAGCTTGAACAATCTTAATTGAAAGCCAGTGGGTGGCACAAATAAAATTATATCAGTTTTAGACGTTAAATAGCTGGATAGAATAGAGCTCGTCCTCCTCAATGTGAAGTCCTTTGTTAGCTGTACTAAGTTATTAGACATTTCGTCTCCCATTCGTTTCACTTCAGGGTTATTACAGTTGATTTCTCTCGATATTAAAATAGGCCGTATGTATGTGCGATGAAATTGCTGCAAAGTTCCAAAGACACCTGGGTTGATAAAATCAATGATTGTATAAAATTCGGTTAGATCATTTTGGATAGGGGTACCTGTCAACAATACTTTTCTGGACAAATTTAAACTCTTTAAAACTTTTAGAGCTTTATTTGAAGAGTTCTTAAGTTTATGACCTTCATCACATACCAATAAATCAAAGTCAACGGTTGACAATTCATCTGAACAATTGACTAATTTTTCGTAACTCATTACTAAAACTTGATGCACTTTAAGTTTTCCAAAATTTATAATATCCCTTTTATCGCCAGCTGACAGTTGCTTTGAATTTAAAGTCAAAACACTTATTTTATTAATTCCTAGCCACTTTTTGAACTCCTTTTTCCAGTTTTCAATTAAAGTAACGGGGCAACATATTAAAAATTTCTTTGCAATAGCACCCTTATCTTCAATGTATGGACTTTGCTTGAAAAGTGTCCAAATTAAAGTAATAGTCATCAAACTTTTTCCTAAGCCCATTTCATCTGCTAACAATGCACCGTTCCCATCGAAATTTCTAAAACCCATAACACACTCATAGAGGAATTCAACACCGCTCTTTTGATGATCTCTCAACCGTGAAGAGAGATGAGGATCTACCACGACATCAACTACTTTCGAATCAGGTAAATTGGGCGGTCGCTTCATCACAAGCGAATTTTCCTTAATTTTATAAAGAGGCAGACGCGTTTCAACAGCCTTCTTAAAACCACTTAACGGATTCTTGAATTGATGGACTATGGTGACCTCGGGCTCTTTAATTGTTTGTGGTTCATTGACAAGAGGACTTGGACTGCTTCTAATGTTGCTTTTATCTATTTCTCTTTCATCGATTTGGCAGTCAACTTCAAGCTCGTACCTTCCAATCGATATTATTGAGTTAAGAAAATCATCTTTCGGTCTGGATATTCTACCTAAATCCTTTTTATTTGCGTTTTTAAATACAATTGATGTCTCTGACACCTTTATAATGCCGTCACCTTCCCATGTTTTGTTCTTTTTAGTAGATTTCTTGCGCCATTGAACAGCATAATATTGAGAATTATTAGGTTCTAATGTGACTACCGGCTCATTTTGTTTGGCTTTCTTAATATCTTGGGTCTTTTGATCATAATTAGCCCTCTTTGCCAGGATTATTGATCTTTTGTTCAGCACCAGGCTTTCTTCAAGGTTCTGTTTCACGTCTATACCAGCAGGTTTAATATCGTTTACAATGATGGAACTTGCATTCTGAGCATTAATAATCCTCGGTGGTTTAAAGGGAGCACTGGGACCTTTCCTATATATCATAACACTGTTCAGGCTCCACTTTTAGTCGTTGTATTTGGCCAGCGTCAAATTAAAGTAATATTTAAGTATTGTTTATCTTTATGTCGACATACAATATACAAAGAACTCAAGATGATTAGTACACAAATCTCTAGTATAAAAGGTTAAAAAAGTTATCCGATTATTTGTACGTGTATTGCAAGTTCAGCAGTAACGGCACCATAGACAAAGAAGCTCTATTAATTCTATTTGCCTGTGGGAATGGTCAATGTAATGAAAATAATAAAAAAAAAGGGCAAAGTTAAAGACATCCCTTCAGAGTTTACAAGCATTTGTCTGAATATTATTTAAGACTGCTCAAAAAAGCACTCTTTTAAAAGCCTTAACTGCCTTTTTGTTCTAAAAACATTAACAGTCTTAAAAATAGGTGTTGTGCTATTTGAATATTCACGATAGCGCTTGCCCTCCTAATGACACATCTGGTCCACAGATGTAATAGTAGCCCCTTGAACACCAAAGCATTATACTTGAAGGCAAATAATATACCCAGTACAATAAAAATACCGTGAAGAAAAGAATAAATGAATCTAATATGTTAGTAGTTATTCAGTATGTACATTCAAAGGATGCCACTTACGGAGTAAAAAGCTTTCAGGATTTGTCATGATATACACCGGAAGCATCAGGGTGTATACATTATACAAATGAGCAGGCGTATATAGCCCGAAACGCTTGTTACTATTAGATCCACTCATAATATAAAGAAAATGATAGTTAAAGGTCTAATTAACAAAATTATTTGAATCTCGATATAAGCGCGATATTGATAAAAATGCTCCAATAAGCTCCAATAAGCTCTAATGAGCTAAAGCTTAATTAGTTTTCCACAATTTCCCACCTTTTCCTTCATTACAACTTCGACGTAGAGAACCATTACGTTTTATGAAGCAACTGAGTCCATGTAGTTGACCAAACTCGAAATTAGACAGTTTATTTACGTAAGAGGATCGTTTGAACTACATAACTACTTTTACGATTCAATTGCGTTCCTAAATCGTATCTAAGTAGATAGGAGAGTGGTGCTTTCTGTTAGTAGATCACCACAAAGTCACCTTAGTTCATTTGATAAGTCCAGGTGATTTAGCTCTTGGCTTCTGTTCCTACGTGAACTATCGACACTATGTAAGTTCAGGTATTGCACACAAACTTTTTCAACGATAGATACTGGCATTATCATATTTAGAGTAGACTTGTCAGGGGCAAGCATTTGGAATGCTGATACAAGAGGACGTATGTTCTGAAGTGAAGGAAAGCCAGTTTGAAACACTAAATAAGATTAAACAACGGCTCATTTCAATCAAGACTCAAAAGACTTCAAGCGATGAGCTCATCGCTTTATTCGATTCTCTCTCTCAGATACACGATAACATTCAAGGAACCGACAATTTACGGGTTGTCGTCAATGATACTTTAGCAATATGGTTTTTGAAAGCTTCGAAGTTCTGTATAGCTACAAAGGGCTGTATCAAAATCTCCAAACCAAAGATAATAGAATTGTTTAACTATGCGATTGATTTTCTTCAAGTGAGTAAAGGGCCACTAATGAATTCACTTAAAGCATTAATAGATCGAATGATTCAATTTGTTGGCTATATGAATGACAGCGATGTGATATTTTGCTCTTTTGTTGATTCCGCCATGCTGATAGATGAGAATTCTAAGCAGATGTATCATTTAATAGAGACTTTATCAAAGAAGCATAAGTCAGATTACATTTCGAAAACGTTCCCTCACTTTGTAGGGTTTTGCATCCAGAATATGTCAGCTACTTCTTTGGCCCCTTCAATAGGTAAATGCCTAGTCTCACTTTACAAGACTTCACAATGGTGCGATGAAGAATGGGTAGGGCTAATTACTGGTGGTTTAAAAGATCCCGACCTAACAGAGAACTTACAGAAATATCTTCTCCCCAGCTTTGCAGCAGCTTTTCCATCCCTTTTTTCCAATATTACTAGATACATTTTGTCAGAAGTTTCAGGTGACAGAGAAGCTGATTTGGTGGTGAGCATCCTAAGCATAGGCAGGACGCTGTCTTCACCTAATATCCTTAACGATGATCTAGTTCCTATAGAGTTTTTGACGAATCTCTTATATCATGAAAACTCTAAGTTTAGGTTGAACGCTCTAGCATTATTGTTAAACACTACCAAGACTTCAAATCCAATTCCGAAAGCCGCATACGAGATTGTTATAAAGGGTGGTTTAATACAAATATTCATGGACGATAGTGATAATGACGTGAGGGCAGAATTTGTTTCAATTTTGAATAGATTTTTGATTTGGGTAAAGGGTTCATTGCATTCGTCTCATAGGGCATTGGAAAAGCTAAAAAATGCAAACATAGAAGTGAGTCATGAGAATAACTTGCGTCAAAACTTAGAAAATGGCAGAACTTTCATATCCTTTTTAGTGGAGACTATTCCAGTTTATATGCTTCCAGGCTCAACTTATCCTGAAATGATCGTTAGCTATAACTTACTCCAAAGTTTGATAGATCTAGATTTCGACAGTCAAGATCGAGAGAAATTGTCTACTAGCGATAAAAACTTTGTACAATATCCATTTGACTTGACGATTTATACTCCAAAACTTATAAGTTTCTTAATTACTAATATTTTCAATAATTATGACGATATTAGAAATATGAGCAGCTGCCTATTATTGAAGTGCCCTAAGAACTCTTTAGTGGAGTTCATATCTGTTAATGAGACTGAACTAATTGAGATGGCGATAAATATCTCATTTGAAATAAAGGGAAGAAAATCAGACGGTGCCTCAAAATTCTTTGAATTCTTGACAATTTATTATATTAGGTTTCTTAGTAACGATAAAAAAGTTATGGAACTAGTTGATTTGTTAGTCAGCACATTAGAAACTGGTTTAAAAAACTTGGACCTTATCAGCTTGTCGAAAGAGCTGCAGGTTCATGAGTATTTTGCCAGTATAACGCAGATCTTAGCAATTTTGCTAGGTGAAAAAAGTTTCAAAAACTATATTTCTGAGCTAACTCCGAGTCTTAAGCGTTCTATCTTTGTTCTCTGGGACAAGATTGGGCCAGTATTGTCAGGGCCTTTCGGCGAGGCGTATGATTCTTTAAACGAAAGGGCAATTTTGAGTTTCAGCTGGAGAGCTTTGCAATCTTCTAACCTGTTATTGGTTTTACTTCAACGCACCTACAAATTGGACAAAATGATATCCGTCGATGATTTTTTGTCTTTTACAGTTCTAATAATTCTGCAATTGAATCATATCTCCCACAGGGGTGCTTTCATGTCAGTTTATCCTTCTTTCATCTCCAGCTGTGAAATATGTCTTTCAGAATTTGAATTGAAGGAACACCCAAGGAAATGGCTTCAATCAAATTTAGACTTGGTTACCTCAAAATCTCAGTTAATCAGCAGGAGATCTGGTAGTTTACCATATTTGATTACAGCAATATTAGTAGCTGAACAAAAGTCATGCTCTTCTAAAGACTTAGCAAAATATGCAACTCAAAGGTTATTTAATATTGCTGAAATACCATTGAAATATGACGAGAAATTTGATATCCCTCAGGTTCATGCTTTCAATTGCTTACAGCAGATCTTTGATGATACTGCATTAAATTCTGTATGTCAAGACATATTAGCTTCCTCTTTAAACCTTGCGATCACTAACTTCAGCTCACCGAGCTGGTCTATAAGAAATTGTTCTGTTATGCTTTATACATCTTTAAGGCAAAAGGTGTTTGGAAAGACTAAAATGGACTCCAAATCAAGCAAAATAAATTCCAAAGTTTTTTTTGCAAGATATCAAGGTATTCAAGTGATACTTCTTGAAAGTTTAAAAACCTGTATGAATAATGAACAGCTAACTTCAGCTCTATTCCCAGCTCTAGATATCTTGGCAAATTTGCATTTCAGCGACGATATATCGGTTTCGGAGTTTTATCCATTGCTTGAAAAGCTTTTGGGGAGTCCAAGTTGGAATATACGTCAAATGGCTGCCCATGCTTTAGTAGAGACATTGGAGAATGACATAATACTAGAAACAATGAGTCGGATGATGTCCAATTTTTCAGAAATTTCCTTCAATAAGATTCATGGCAATCTATTATTTATTCTTCAAGCAATCAAAAGGTATCAATCTTCTGATAAAAGTGAAGTGTCTTCACTGTTCGAACAGCTTCTGACGAATTTTTTCATTAACTTATTTGGAAAAGGGAAGAACTTTCATTGGGTGATTTACGGTGCATATGTTAATATCGTGATGGCTTTTTATGATGGATCAAATAAAGAGCTTTCCCGTACTCATTTGAATGCTCTTGGAAACTTCTTTCTAAAAAATGTAACTTTTAATTACCACCTATTAGATGGGGCGAGAGACGTCTGCATGTCTTCATTATTGCATCTTTTAGTTCAAGAGTATACAAAGAAAAAGAATTCGGAAGACGTGGTTGACTTAATTTGTCTAGGTGTAACTTGTGAGTCCTCTTCTATTCGGATGAAGTCCCTACAATTAGGACAAAGTAATGCTCAAATTTTAGGAGAGTGTCCTTATTTCATAGATCTATTATGGAGCTCAATAGAAAGAGAGCAATTTGGCTTGCTTAAGTCAAAGGGAATAGACTTATTATGTGAAATTTCAAGTTATAAGATTGGGAAAAAAGAGGTTTCTTTGACGTCTACCTTAAGGGAACTCGTAACTGAAGGTTTGACCGTAGATGCCAGATGTTCTTCTTTAGTCTATTTGGCCCTGATAGGGTCAATTCTACCGAAAGAAGACCTTACACTCGTTGTGCTGCTCGGTAAGGAACTTTATGATGACAAAAATATCTTCCAAAAGAGACTGGCAGCCATTTCTGCAATGGCCAGTGTTATAAACAAATCACATTATGAGCATCATTTAGATCTCGATGCTCTTTGTGTTTTATTCTATGGCTTATATGATAATGAAGAAGAAATACGGCTCCAATCTTCTCGTAGCTTGTCGAAGCTCTTCGGACAGAAATATCCGATGTCCCCTCAAGCTGTTATCAAAAGTTTTGAAACAGAGATTCAATCTCTCTTAGATCCAACCTGTTTTCAGATTTTGGCGACAACAATATTCCTCTCTCAAGGAACTAACAAATTAGTCAAGGTCTTACCTTCTAGTGTCGACAACGACTTTCTTGATTGGGAGGATATTAATCTATATAAGAACAGATTCCGACTAGCACAGGTGATTTCTTCGATGATATCTAAAGCACACCTTTCAAATTCCAATATACTGAAGTTAACACAGAGGGCATTAGAGGAGCTAGAGCAAATTATAGACATTATGCATCGCAAACAGTCCGATGGAATAATTGGTTGGTCTATTGATAAATTTTATTTCAATGTCGTACTGATTGCATTAATTGACATCCACGCTGTTCTACATGTTTCCTCTAACCATGAAATTCAAGCTAAGTTAGAGCTGTTCAGAGGTCTTTGCAAGAAATACAAGTTAAATTCTATTTTTGACGTGTTTTTTTTGCAATTGATGCCATAGAATTACAGTTGTGCATATAATTAGATCAATAAATGTTGGAAGAAAATTTTTTTATCCTTTCAAATTATATAATTCTCTTTAAGGTACTTGATTGTACTCAAAATGGATCTCATTATTTCTGATGGGCCGTGAATATCAGAAAGTAAGTCTCAATTTGAACAGAATGATCCTTTTCCTACACGAATTTCAAGGCACACACTGATGGAAGCTTATATCGCTTACGATTTTTTATGATGAATTATTTAACAACTGCAATTGAATTTCTTCACCTGAATAACTATGTGGATTAAATAAATAAGAGCTTTTTAACACTGATATAGAATCGTTCAAAAGCCTATTTCTTCTTTTAATTTTGTGTTGCTTCGTTTCAGAGAGATCGAATAATATAATGTCAATTACTAACATTTATTAGTCATTTGGAGTATTCATCTATAGGCTCATTAATATATGACGATCTTTCAATCTTTCATCTCCGTAGCGATGTAGCTATATAGTTGTTTCTTCTCTTACGAATTGTTTATTTTTCAGGATGGATTATAGTACTGTTCTTGAATATCAGGTTAGCCAATCCAGTCCAGCTTAGTCCAACTCAGTCCAACCCTCCAGTCCAGCTCGCCCAGTCCAGTCCACTCAGCATGACAGGGTTTTATAATCTCTCTTTTGTTGGTATTGACTTCTCTGGGCACTATTTCCCGGTAGATTTATTTCACTGTATTGCGACTTAAAATTCGAGATGAGTATCAGAAACTTTATTTACTTCAGAACTCTAACGAATTAAAGGCAACGCAATGTCAAACTTGTATGTGTATTTGAGTATATCAATAGTGAAAGGAGAATCAAAAATGAGACTAACAAACTCTAGTGACGACTTTCCGGCTCTCTGTGAGGATTGCTGTGGTCCTGATAAGCATATTAAGATGATCAGGCAACCTGGAGGCGAAGAATGCAAAATTTGTACACGGCCATTTACTGTTTACAGGTGGAACCCTTCGAATGCACGTCATAAGTCTAGGAAGACAATAATATGTATGACTTGTGCAAGAACTAGAAACTGTTGTCAATCTTGCATGCTTGATATCCATTTTAGAATTCCCTTAGAGATAAGAGACACGGCATTGAAATTAGCGGGACTTGATAAAGCATATTCATTCACAAACAAGTCTCTTAATAGTTCTAATAGGGAAGTAAAAGCGATAGCAGCCGACAAGGAAGAGTCTAAATTCAATGGACGAGATGAAAATGGGGATGTAAATGATATGGATAAAGCTAAGGAGATACTTCTGAAACTTGCTGAAAAACTCCACGATGATGATAAAGCCACAAAGAAGATTACTAATTCCAGGAAGCAGAATGAAACAGGAGATATCAAGAGCTCTGATGTCTCTAAGATACTCGCAAAGCTTCCCTTTGGAGGACTGTTTGTAGTACCTGAGGATAAAAGTATTACCTCTTTTTTCATTTTTGGCTTCGACGAAGAACTTCCCCAGTATGCTATAACTAATTACTGTATACAATTTGGAAAGATAAGAACAATGACAATATTGCATAGAGCACGGTGTGGGTATATCGGCTTCATATCTAGGGATTCTGCGGTAGCCTTCTCCCAATCTATCTCGGGAAACGGGTTAAATGCGAATAATAATACCCCAGGACTTCTTGTCTTGAACAAAAGGTTTCCGATAAGAGTGAGCTGGGGAAAAGCTAAACCACTAGGTACTACAAATGAAGAACATTATAAGATTGGACTAGTTGTTAAAAAAGTTATGAAGCAGTTGGCTGAGAAAGATAGAAATTACTTATTGAAACAGTCTAAACTGCTGGATTCAGGTGTGCCAATACAGGCAGAAAAAGCAAAGTCACTGAAAAAATTAGTTCAAGGGGATAGCAGCGCACCAATTGTAGAGGAGCATCTGTCAAAATCCAAATATAAAAGCTTGCTGGATGATTTTGAGCTTTAATATTGATCAAATGTAATGATTCGATCACGTGACTTTATCGAAAGTTTGGTGTTAAGGTGTCAAGGTGTCTTAATAATATTTAAGTGTATCTAGGTGTATTCGGTATAAATTTGTATTAGCATATCTGAAGTAATATGAATAATGAAACTGTACTTCTCATAAAAACCATACTAATCCTCTCACCAGTTTTGGTAGCGGTGATCAGGTTACTAAATGTATTACCAGCCATATATTCAAGTCTGAGACATAATGAAAGTGAAAATATAGAAGACGTGGTATTGCAAAAGAGTAAGAAGGGATCTAATATTATGATCTTACTTGGATCTGGTGGTCATACGGGCGAGATGGTTAGGCTTTTGTCCAAGGTCGATTTGACCAATTTTTCAAGAACATGGGTAACTTCTTCGGGCGACAATACATCGATTTTAAAAGCGAAAGCATTTGAGGAAGATCAACTAAGCGATAGCACCTATAAACATGACTACATCTCAATTGAACGTGCTAGAAGAGTCAATGAACCCTTATTTCTGTCAATAAGGAGTACATTGAGATCGTTTTTAAGTACTATCAGACAGTTATTTCTTTTGTCTCAGTACCCATCGATCTTACTACTTAATGGACCGGGAACTAGCGTTCCAATTGCCTACACGGTATTTTTAATGAAATACCTTGGTCTTTGCAATACCAAGATCATTTACATAGAAAGTCTTGCCAGAGTCAATAACCTTAGTCTTAGTGGTTTATTACTCCTTCCTATATCCAACAGGTTCCTAGTTCAATGGGAAAAATTGGCTTACAAGTACAAGAGAGCTGAATATTATGGAATTCTTGTATAAGGTTGCTTTCGATTTTAATGCATAACTTCATTTCTTTTCATTAGACATCTTCCTTTCACCTTTTCCAACTTTTTATCCCTCTAGATATCGGATCGCGTATATAAATATATATATATATTTTTTTTACATATCTAAGGTCCAAGAGATCAGCGATCAATGTCAATATGGGAAGTTCCTTTGATGGCCTTGTCGAAGAGTTCCCTGGCCTCGGTGTCGATAAGTTTAATTCAATAGCAGAAGTCTTTTTGCTTACACATTTCCATGCCGATCACTTAACTGGTTTATCGAATATTGGGTTTACTAGTAAAGTCTATTGCAGCAACACTACCAAGAAACTCATAGACCAGGATGAAAACTATGGGGCTGTTCTGTGCAAACTTGTTGGGGTTCCTTTCAATACACCTCTAAACTTGAAGGTTAAAGATAGAGAGGTCAGAATCATATTTATTCCTGCTTACCATTGTCCGGGAGCTTCTATGATTTTGATTGAAGGTTTTGGAAGATCTGTTATATGTACGGGTGATGTTAGAGCAGAGAAATGGTGGGTTAATACACTCCCAAAGAACGTTTATCTTTTTCCGTACACCACTGGCCAAAAGAAGCTTGATAATATTTACTTGGATACCAGTTTTGGAGTTAGAGGAGAACCTTTTATTAATATAATCACAAATGAAGATGCAATAACGACTGCAATTGATCTAATAAAGCTTTATCCCTTAGATGATCCTGATATTCAGTTTTATTTCGCTGATAGCACATCAGGATTTGAAGAATGCTGGGCTCAAATAATAAATGTCATCAATGGAAAGTTCCACACGGGAGCGAGAATTATGAAACGAATACAATCTATTTCGAAGTGTGATTTGTATGGTTCGTTTGCTGATATTCTTATGAAAGCAGTAGACAAAGAAGGACCTTTGTTTCATGCTTGTGGGAACTATCCTCGTCTTTGCAAGATGGTACCTTGCAAATTTCCTGTCAGGATCAAGCAATCCATAAAATTTAATATCCTTGACTTGACTGGGGTTTTCTTTCCAATTCAACTAAGCAGCTTATCTGAATTCGAATTAAAAAACGAGCTCTATATTTTAGATACTACACCGAAGGGTAATAAGATTATAAGATTTAGAAATCGTATGTGGATTCTAAGGCAAGACGGTCAGGAATTGTTACCTAGCGAGATAAAGTTAATATTTTCAAGGCACTCAACTTACTCAGAGGCAAGATACCTCGTTTCTCTATTTGCACCCAAACAAGTCTATCCTTGCGTGGAGTCTGAAACTAGCTGGTATGAGGGGTTTTTGATGTCAAGAGTATTTGGTGACCTCTGTGCTTCAGCGGATGACGTAACACAATATACTTATGATAGGCGTATGGCCTTCTCACTTGGCTTACCTTCACGAGCGGTGATTGATCGGCCGTTAAAAGTGATCAACAGATGGATTTTTGAAGACTCCAAAATGGAAGAAAATTTTGTACATAGATTTTTGAAGAGAAAAGAAGCTAAAAATGAAAATCTAAGTAAAATGGATTTTAAGTTTAGAGGAATCGGATGTTTTAGCTCTCCTGAAAAAAGCATAGAGCCCAACAGCTGTCAATTACATCAGTTTATTATGGGACGGCGCCAGGGAAGCTTTAAAAAAATGATAGAGGAGCAACAAAAGTTGTACAAGGAAAAGTATTATAATGATGTCAGGTATATTAATAATCACAAGGAGTATGTTGATTTAGAGCTTGGGAGCCTGTATGATTACGACAGTGAATCTATAGAATCTCACTATTTTGAGGATAATAGTCTGAACAAATCTACTGAAAGTCAACAAAGAAGAGAAATTGAAGAATATTTTCACAAAATAGCAAAGGCGAGGCCCTCGTTGAAAAGAAATGTGAGCGCATTGCCAGGGAAAAGAACTTCAGTTGAACGGTCTGTGATTTCTTCCAGTTTTAGCTCTATTGAAGTGTCGTTCTCAAGGAATCCCATCTCTCGTAGCATTAGTTCCACGCGGTCTATCGAAAGAGTTTCGAAACCTTACCCAAGAGTTAATAAGGCACATGTTAACCAGATAACTCAAGATTTGAGAAATAATCCAAACAAGTGGTTCACGATGAAGCTACAGTCAGCAAATAATATGACAGTGAGCCAAAGCTCGAAATGTGTGGATTCTTAAATATATACCCAAATGCTAGTCATTATGCAATTATAGTTCACTTTATATTGTGCTTAGTTTTCCCTCCACTGGTTTGAGCACTTTACACATTTGTAAAACGTCGTCATAGGTTCATCAGCAGATCTGATTTGTAACTGGAAAAAGTAAGCTTTTGTAGCCCCACAGGAATCAACGGGACATTGAACTGTTGTTTGATCCACGTTGTCCCATGCGTTTGCTCCCCCAAGGACATCGTCAACTTCTTTTCTCGTAAACATTTTTCTATCATACATTTTAAAACCTTCTATTTTGAACTCATATGGGCAAGTAGGGCACTGAAACCGATTGAATCCCTCGCCGCTTTCTGAAATTAGTAGCATATTAGAGCAATGTGGACAGAATGACAACATAATAGCTCTTGGACTTGTCTCCCAGCAGACTTATTTGTCTTTTCTCTATTATATTAATTAAATATGTGAAAGATGAGCTTTTCAGAAAATTGTGGACCTGCATGTAATCGAGTAACTGAAAAATTACTTGACATTATGATAAGTATCATATTTGGGAAATCAGTTATAAGAGATCAACAAGATACACTTGTATTCTTCTTTTGACTCTTATGCTTTCATGAGCATTGAAAATATTAACTTTCAAAAAGGGGAGGAAGGGGAGCAAAATGGATTTTGGAAAGTGGTGACACCTCTTAAAGGACGCGTTGATCATGATCAATCGCCAACAAGACGTACTCAGACGAGTGACTCTTTAGTGCATGGCACCAAATCTCCAAGAAAAAGAGGCATAATTAGGAGCACTACTGAAAAGTCGATGGGTACATCACCTGTTAAAACTCCAAATGGAAGGGCTGGGCTACCTTCACCTGAGAAAAGAACAATTGATGATTTGAATAAGTCTGCCAGAAAAAGAGCTATCGGTGTAACCAGCAAATATCATAGTTTGATGGACGAGGATCTAGAATATGATAGTGACTACTTAAATAACCAGGACAGATCTCTAGCTGAAATCATTATCAAAGAGTCTAGAGATGAAAGCAACGGATTTCACTATGGAAGTGACGTAGAATTAGAAGAGGATATTACAGAGAGTGTGAGGAAGCGAAGGAATCGCAGGCGAGAATCCTCAGAAAAGGAAAAAAAATTAGAGGCTGCTGCTGCTAGTGATGATGAATTGAGTAGCGATGAAGAGTACACTCCTCGAAGAAGAAGAAAGAGAGAAGTGCTTGATAATATAAGCTCACCTACAGAAACGCCCAAAAAAAAGGTACATTCTAAAGCATTAGGAAGACCCAAGGTCAAAGAGGCTGTCGAAAAGAGAAAAGTCGGGAGACCAAGTAAGTCTGATGAGGTTATCGGAAAAGTCAAGAGCATCTTTCAATTGGATGACGAAGATCTCTTTATGGAAAATAAAGATAAACCCAAATCACCATCTCAAAATCAGGATAGAGTCGATACGGAGGATTCTTATCCCACATTCTCCTTCAATGAGACTACTTGCACTCCTCCTATAATAAGTGGAATACAGGAAGAGAAGGTTGTTCCAAAGAAAGAAGGTGATTTGGATTTCTTCAAGCCAATGCCAATCCCCAAGGTGGATAGTAATGGCGATATTGTAGATGAAGAGTTCGAAAAGAAATATATTCCTATAAATCAAATAAAATCTCGAGGGTCGCTCATAGATGAAAGGTCTTTTTTCTTGGATGGTTCAGAGGGATACTTTGAGCAGCATAGTACTCGCCCAAAATATAGTACAAATTCACTTTCACAGCTTGCTCCGCAATTGGATTATGATGAATTCATACCTTACGTTCAATTGAGTGAGCTTATTAAAGCGAATGAGAAGAGATCACTAAGTACTATTCATAAGTCTTTATATAACCAGTGGTGCTTTGAATTATCTCAAGGATATAATTTAAACTTTTTTGGTATAGGTTCCAAAATTAAATTAATTCTTGACTTCGTGCAAAGCTTCGTTGTGGATTGGTATGAAAACGTTCTTGACTCAGATGGCGATAGTCCCAATATTTTAGTTGTAAATGGCTATAATCCTACTTTAAAGTTTAAAAGAATTCTTCAAGATATTGTAACAGCATTTATATCACAGGAAGAACGAAAATCTACTGCATTGAAGTTTCCTAAACATGTATCTGAGACCTTACCTTTTTTGGTCAATTTCATAGAAACCACCAGGGATGATACATGTTACTCAGGGAGCCTAATTAAGCCCAAACTAATCCTTGTTGTTCACAATATAGATGGAGAAGCCTTGCGAGATGAAAAGACTCAAAGCTTTCTCTCGGAATTATGCTCATTGCCAGAGATATGGTTAATTTCTTCGACAGATAATATTAATGTCTCATTGCTATGGGATTCCGTAAAGCTTAAAAATTTCAATTTTCTTTGGCATGACTTGACCACCTATGAGCCATATAATGTCGAGTTGTCTTTCAAAGATGTCTTAAGTCTAGGCAAGTCTAAGAAATACGTCGGTAATAAGGGTGCAAAATACGTTTTGACCTCACTTACAAACAATGCACGTAACTTATACAAGATTCTTCTCCAGAAGCAGAAAGAGCTCATAAGCTCAATCGCCACTACAAAGACATCTTTGTTGGGCCTCCGAGGTAATGCAAAGTTTGCAATTGACTTCAACAGCCTATACAATACCTGTGTAGAGGAGTTTATCACCTCTAACGAAATAAGTTTTAGAACAATACTTGGAGAATTCGTTGAACATAAAATGTGTAACTTGACGAAAAATGAGTCTGGATCTGAGATCATATTCGTCCCATTTAGCTACGAAGAAATCGAACAACTTCTCTCTGAGTGTTTCACTTAAGCATTTCGGCTACGTTTTTCTGGTCTTTTTTTTTGCAATCATATTATAGTCGAGTTGATCACGTGAGAATCTTAGATCGTGGGTAGATCATAAAACGTATAGTAGAAGTCTCATTTTGAATATATACTGATAATAGGCATCATTTTGAACTGAATAAAATTGAAATTGTAATTAAATATCGTGAAAGTACTTTCTTGTAATACTTGCATTATTGAGCTATTATGGGAAATTTTCCAAAGCTCCCAGAAGGTACGAAACTTTCGGTGGGCACTCATCATGCCACTATCCTTAAATATCTATCAGAAGGCGGCTTTGCCCATATTTACAAGGTAAAGATAGAACCAAAAGTAGAAGATACAGATATCGCATGTTTAAAGAGAGTTATTGTCCCTGATAAGAATGGTTTGCACCAATTGAGAAAAGAAGTGGATGTAATGAAAATGCTCCGCCACGGAAGGAATATTGTAAGATACTATGATTCACACGCTGAACGGCTAGAAAATGGCACTTATCAAGTATTAGTTCTCATGGAATTGTGTCCGAATAAATCACTTTTAGAATATATGAATGCAAGGCTCAAGACAAAATTAACTGAATCTGAGATTCTTAAAATACTTTTTGATATTTGCTTAGGAGTTTATGAGATGCATAGGCTTAAGCTAATTCATAGGGACATAAAGATTGAGAATGTGTTGATTGATGCCAGGCATAATTTTAAGCTATGTGATTTCGGGTCTACGACGAACCCAATCATGCCTCCTCAGGATCAACAACAATTTCAAGCTCTTAGTCACGATATTTTATATCAAACAACACCACAATATAGATCTCCCGAGATGATCGATCTTTACAAGGGCTTTCCAATCGATGAAAAAGCGGATATTTGGGCTTTAGGTTGTTTTTTGTATAAATTATGTTATTATACAACACCATTTGAAGCATCTGGAGATATTGCAATTCTCCATGCATCTTTTCAATTTTTACCACAGCCTGTTTATTCCGGGGATTTGAAAAACTTGATTATAATAATGCTTCAAGACAATCCTCTTTTCAGACCAAATATTGTTCAAGTATTGATGTTGGTCACTGCCATGATGAAAATTGATTTCAACGAATTGGGAGTGGCAGATTTTTACAAAGCCGGACCATTCAATTTCCATGCGCTTCACGAATATCAACGCCATAAGCAGAATGAACTATTAAAACAACAACAGCTATATTATCAACAACAAGCTCTCTCGGGATCCGCCCCTCCCCCGATAAGCTCTCTGCCACAGAGTCCAAGTTTGCCCACTCAGGCCACTGCCAACCCATCAATAGTTGAAGGTGCCCCTCATATTACCAAGGAGAATTTGTCACAGCGAGCTTCTGCTTCACCACCGCCTGCTGACATAGGCAACAATTTGGAAAGAGCAGAAAGTGACCCCACAGAGGAAAATGAAACTTTTGATGATTTGGAGAGCTTCAATAACGTACAAGAAAGATATCCATCACTTGAAGATTTATTGATTGATCCCGAGGGCCAAGACCATGAATCTAGGTCACCACTGCAACCAGAAAATTTTGAAACGGTCGAATATCCCACGAGACCAAAGGTATTGAGCTCAACTGCACTTCAAGCAATGACATCTGAACAACTTGCTCAGTATAACCAACAGCATGAGACGTATCGATATAATATGAATCAATATCGTCTCCATGAACAAGAGAGATTAAAGCAAGAACAATTACACGGAATTAAGAGACAAACTTATGCGCCAAATTCTAGTGATGCTAAACCGAAAGGTTCGGCTGATTTAGAAAGGACAAATGCGTGGGAAGTGCACCCTAAAAGAGTCGATAAAGATGCAGAGAGACTAGCCGACGATATTTTTTCAAAAGAGTCCCCGTCGGAGTCACATAGACGTAAGAGCAGCGAGGGCTCAAGAAAAGAAGATCTTGAGGTCAAAAATCTCTCTAACGACGACTTACTGTCTCCCATAGATCGAAAAGTAAGCGCGGAGAGTTTACACGAATCAAAGACGGGAAAAACGGTATCTGACGATCTTGAAGCTGGTATTCCAACATCTGTTGAGAATCAGCCTCTTACGGAAGATGTTAGGTCGAGCTTTCAGAATGATGATGTTGAGGAACCTGTTACTTCAACACTCTACTCCGATACTCAGATGATAACTCCAAGTAACAGTTCTAAGTCGAGCAGAGGTGCAAATCCGTTCCCCATTCCTCAAAAGAATGGTATAACACATAGTAATGAACTATCTACAATTCTACCTTCAGTAGACTATAAGCAAAAGGTTTATCAGGATCAGCGCAATGGTGGCAATCCTTGGGGTGGATACAGCAGACAAGTTCCTATGACAAATTCTACTTCTATGTACGGACAGTTGGACCAAAGTCAGTTGGAGAAGAGACAACAACTTGATCAAAGACACATGGATAAACGACAGCTAGACCAAAGACAGCAAGATCAAAGACATCTGGACCAGATGCAGTTAGATCAACGGCAATTAGATCACAGAAAGTTGGATCACGGAAAATTGGATCACAGGAAGTTGGATCACAGACAATCAGACCACAGACATTCGGACCAAAGAAAAAATAACTTACAGGACCAACTCGGAGCATTGAGACTTAATGACAATCAAGGGGTTATGGAGTCTAGGGGCTTCGCAGAAACTGATGAGCCAAACTTAATTGACTTGGAGGTTGGACTTGACTCCTCGGCTTCTTCAATAGCGACACCTATCCTCAAGCTGTCACATACTAGAGATCAAATTTCTTACTTAGATTCTGAAGATTCTGGATCTGAATTAAATGTCGAAACTATTCATCCAGGGGAACCAAAGCACCACTTCAAAAAACGTATTCCTTCAATCCAGAACCCATCAAACTTTAAATTTGAAGAAGAAGTTATTGATTTTGCTTCTGATGATGAGAACCCAGAAAATAGTTCCAAAATGAACCGTTTATCCATAAGGAATTCTTTGAAGAAACAGCCAAGAGATAAACCAAAAACCAGAAAGACTAGTGACCATAAAAAAGCTGAGGCTACAACTATCGAGAACAAGAAGAGGCTCTCGTTATTTGGCGGAAATACTAGTGGTAACTAAATAGAATAGTATAGAAATTAGTATATTCTAAAATATAAGCTTATAGATGATTGAGCATATCATCGCATCTCATTAAAAAAAAAAAATTAACGAAGTTAGACTTGACTACTTTAAATTATATATTTGCAGACGTAAGATGGTCGATACTCAATTAGGAGGTCTTCTATCACAACTCATATTATCTGTGCCTATTGAAGGTTTTTCGGTTGGAAGCGAACTTTCTGACGAGACTCTCATTAATTCAGTAAAGTTAATATTAAAAGGCGAATCCGCAAAGCTCATTGGAAATGAAAATTACGGACCATTGTTATTTGGAGAGGATTTGAAAAGCATCTTGAATACGTATCCGCAACATGACTTGGTCACAGTACTCAGAAGATATGTGAATGGACTTTTTGAGTGCTTTCATGGTGAATATCGAGGAACAGAGGCGACTTTACATTTGCAGTTGATAGCGATTGCATTCTTGAATACATTCATACAAGTCAACTTTACAGGTCCAGGTATTGATTTCGATTCATCTGACATAATGTTTCCTGGGATAAATAAAGAATTGTTGCAGATTGATACAGTGAGGCTATTGAATCTTGAAGGTCAGCTGGCATACGATTTAATGACTGACCCATTATTCATGGTTCTTGCAAGTATCATTTTTGAAAAATTGATGGGCTTAGAAGATAAGATATCGTTTGTCGATAAAGATAAGACTGTTTCTATCGAATTGATAGTCATGTCAACAGAAAACATAATGAAGGAAGTCCCACTTACTCCACTATTTGCTTCTTTGCAATGGTGGAGGGCAAGGTTGCTACAAGTTCATATGTGCATCGTATCTGAACCTCCCGCTGTTCTTTCGACGGTGACTTCTTTGTTGTTGAATCCTGCCGTTCCTGCAACGCTAGGAAAAGACCTTAATTCACAGTTGCTGAACGATCTTCGGGCCTTTTTCTTTTTAGAAAGCGCCAGAAATGGTATTCACAGTAGGACGGAGAATCTCTCGATTCCCTTCTTGCTAGAGGCTCAGAAAATTTCACGCTTGCAATTGATTCTTTCTGGGGCAAGAGCCAAAAGAACCAAGTTTCAGACATTTTTTACTACATCCTTGATTGTTTTAGCCAAGAGCAATAATTTGTGCTTTGCAAGTCAAGATAATAAATTAGAGGCTCCGGAACATATAGCGTTGGATTCTGAATTGTTACTCGAAAAGCCTGAATTTGAGTCTTTAAATGACTTTGAAATTGAAGGCTCCCAGAATATAAAGAGGACTAAGATTGACCAGGAGTTTGAAAGCAATTTAGACAATCGTTCTTTACTTCCAATTGCATTTAAGCAGGATGATATACCTGTGTCACTCAAAACGTTGGATCCTAACAACCAACCACCTTTGAGCGATATAGACAATGTTCAATTATTATTGAGGCTAACAACTTTAAAACAGACATCACCATCTAACGATCCATTGGTGGAAGAGGAACTTCAGGCATTGGTGGGCAGAATTGTATATTCGCCTTCTTCCAGTGTCAACTGGTCTATTTTCTCTAGGGCTTTATGGGAAAGATCTGTTTTGGAAACAAACAAGGCAAAAACGATCGAAAGAGGTATTTTGCAGATGACATCTTTAGTTGAAGAAGTAGATTTGAAGATCAAGACCAAAATAATCCCTAAGTCAAATGAAAAAGAAGAATCGCATGTATCTTCGAGGCTTAAATATATTCACTTGTTACCCTTAATGCCTCAATGGTCAATGGATAAGGCTTTAGCAGAAAGGTACATGTCTATTGGAGCATTGAAATCGGCAATTGAAATTTATGAAAGATTAAATTTTATATGTGAAGCTGCCCTATGTTACGCAGCAACAGAACGTGAGTCAAAGGCTGAAACAATGTTGATAGAAAGAATCAAAAGACACCCAGAGGATGCTCGTGCAATTTCAATCCTAGGCGATATAAAGCAAGATCCAAATCTCTGGCTTAAAGCTTGGGAAATAGGCAGATATTCGAAAGCAAAAGCTTCGCTAGCACATTACTTTTACAGTCCACCACAGTCTTCAGGATTGACAAAGAATCTTGAGCTTGCAATTAATAATATGCATGACTGCCTAACGGCTAGTCCTTTAAATTATGATAATTGGTTCTTTTATGGTTGTTGTGGATTAGAGTCCGGTCAGTTCGAATTAGCATCTGAAGCTTTTACCAGATGCGTAGCTATAGACGATTCTAATTCATATGCATGGTCGAACTTGGCAAGTTCTCTTCTAAAGTTAGAAAAGATAAAGCCTGCTTTCAATGCTTTGAAGAATGCAGTAAGGAACGCCTCCGAATCCGGCAAGTCGTGGAGAATCCTTGAAAACTACCTAAACGTAGCAGCCAAGTTAAACGAGTGGAATGATGTATTGATTGCTGTGAGAGAGTTGATTAACATGAAAGGTGGTAGTGAAGGAGAGGCATCAATAGATATACCAATAATCGAGAGGCTCGTGGATATTTTGGTAGCAACTGACTATCCCCAGGAGGGTGAAAGAATGACTCACTTTCAGAGTTCATGTGTGGATCTAGTCTGCAACTTAATGCCGTCTATAATCACATCTTCCGCAAGATCTTGGAGAATAGTCTCGAGGGTTGAATTGTGGAGAAAAAAGCCATGGAATGCTCTAGAGTGTCATGAAAAGGCATACAGAGCAGTTTTGAACAATCCCCTGTTAGATACGGTTGAATCAGTATGGAACGAAGCGGTTGAAGCCTGTTCAGATCTTGTTGCTGCATATGAGTCATTAGGAGAACTTCCTGGAAAGCACAACGCTGGTGATCTTATTTGTAAGGACTGGAAATACAAAGCGAGGACGTCAGTGCGTTCTTTGATGTCGAAGGGAAAGGTCGCTTGGGAAGATACTGATGGCTGGAATACACTTTCCAATTTAAAGGAAGAAATGACTCGTTAGAGAGTTAATACTTAAGATTATCTGTTTCGCTGTTTCTTTGTGGTCGCTGTATATTTAGATAGAGAAGCGTTTATCCGTATCACAAATGTACGATAATAATGTATACTACAAATTGATGTAAACTGGACTTTTAGTAGCTTTTGAGATTTAATGAACAAATATTAAAAAATTCCAAAAATATAGGAAAAAAAAAAAACAATAGTTCTAACTCATTTCACGTATCTAATGTAGACAAAAACAGTTTCACCAGTCCACGAGAGCTCTATGAAAGGTCTTGGAGACTCTTTTTGAAGGTTTTCTCTACCGTTTTTATTGCGATACCTGGGTGTTACGAAGAGGATGGCTGCGAAAATGGTATTAAATAAATAGTTTTTATATTAAAGTAAGAAAACCACACGTACGCAGTTACCAATGTGACGACAAACTAAAGAGTGACTAGTTCAGAGTCTTCACCAGGCACATATGCCCCTACCATGGAATGTTGACAAGTATTGTACACCATTTTAGAAGATCACAAAGCTTAACTTTTAAAAGAGTAGATTAGAAAGAGGGCCCCTTCTTCAGGTGTTAAGATATCCGTAGGGTTATCATGACCTGAAATGAACAGCCATTCTAGTTCTCGCGGGGAGTTATTGTTAAAGTCTAATATTTATAGTAGCCATTCTACGACATAATTTATTCTAACTTGAGGCTGTGAATTAGCGAAGGGGATATTTTAAACACCATATTCACTGGTTAAACACATGATAAATTATGCCAGACATGCCAACAAAGAGTCAGTCTTACGACGGTATAAGAACTATCTAGTTGATGTACAGTGTCTATAGCTGAGCTTAATTACTTGTCCTTAGTGTAGCCGTACCAGTCTTCTGTTTCACATATTTTTAAACGACATTGATAATGTGCACACTTTTTGTTGTAGTTCATTAAAATTTGACTCCACGCGTATTCTATACCTAGTATATCTTCTTACTTTTACAAACAAGAGAAGGTTTGGGTTTTAAAGGTCTATTCAAAGAAGATTACTCTTCATTAGGGAAATAAAGGAAATTTCTTGAGTAAAACTTTTTTTTTTAGCCAAAAGGTGTTTATTACAATATAGATTAATTGCCAAAAACTTAACTTCTAGATTCAGTAATAGAGATAAATAACTGAAGAATGGTGGACGACAAGTACATTGGGTTGGCGTTAGCCACATCCTCATCATTCGCTATTGGTACATCGTTTATTATCACGAAGAAGGGATTAATGGATGCATCTTCCAGAAACGGCACCGATCAGGTTCAGGGCCATGAATATCTTCAAAATCCCATCTGGTGGGCTGGCATGATAACCATGGCAGTGGGAGAAATTGCAAACTTTGCTGCGTACACATTTGCGCCTGCCATCTTGGTCACGCCCTTAGGAGCATTATCAGTCATCATAGGAGCCGTCCTAGCTGCTATGTTTCTTAAAGAAGAGTTAGGCACCTTGGGAAAAATGGGCTGCGCAATTTGTTTGATGGGTTCAGTAATAATTGTAATCCATGCTCCTCCAGATAAGGAGATTAAAACAGTTGACGAGATTTTAGCATATGCTTCTAAGCCTGGATTTCTTTTGTACTGCTTTCTTGTCGCAATTTATTCATTATTCATGATCTACAAGATTGTACCAAAGTATGGACACACGAATCCAATGATTTATCTTTCCATTTGTTCCTCTGTGGGATCTATTTCTGTTATGTCAATTAAGGCGTTTGGTATTGCCTTGAAATTAACGCTTGGAGGTCACAATCAGTTCACACATGTTTCAACTTACTTGTTTATTTCGGTTGTGGTACTCTGTATTCTCACCCAAATGCATTACTTCAATAAAGCATTAGACCAGTTCGACACTTCAATTGTTAATCCATTATATTACGTTACTTTCACAACATTTACCCTATTAGCCTCCTTTATTTTGTTCAGGGGGTTTAACACCACTTCAGCTGTTAATATCATTTCTTTATTGATTGGATTTCTTATAATTTTCAGTGGGGTTTACTTGTTAAACATTTCAAGAAAGGACAACGAAGGCAGGTCCAGAGAAATCTTCGGAATTCATCAAGGCAAAGATATGGCACCGCTAGACAATGGAATTGGAGGATTTTCTTCTATGAGAAGATCTATGCAAGTAAATGCAGATGCGTATGACGAAGAAACTCTAGGCTTGAGAAGATTTGATAGCTTTGAGTTAGGAAGTGATGAAGAAGTATCAAGACGTTAAAATCAAGAGATAGAAGGTGGAGCGCAAAGAATATTTAGAATGTAAACTCTTAGATAGATTTTGTTTCATGGCGCTTCTCTCAATAAAATGTTCTCCGAGATATAACTACAGCTCTCTAACGTAAAAGTTATACATTGGCAAAAGGGTACATAATAGTGGTCGATCACCTCAGGCAATCAGATTACTGATATAAATTTAATAAATTAATGCAACTAAATATCATCGATATCCAACTCGTCATCCTCTTCTTCATCGTCATCATCCTCAGCACCAAACTCGAAGTTGACTTCTTCATCATCATCAGCACCAAATGTATCAGTTTCATTAATCTTGGCATTCTCGGGTAATTCACCGTTGCTCTTCAATGCCCTAGCCTCATCCGAGTTGTATTTGTGAACAACATCACACTGGTCGTCTTGAAAATCTCTCAAAGACACCAAAATGATATCTCCCTGCGACATCCACACCTTCTTTCTCAACTTTCCTCTAATATGTCCCATACGTTTAATTCCGTCAAAGCATGTCACTTCAAGTCTACCATTACCAACCATCTTCGTAATTTGTGCGTATTCTTGGCCATCCTCTTTTAAGATTAATTCTCTCTTTTGGCCTCCATTGACATTCTTTCCTCTTCTTCTGTTCTTTCCTCCTTTACCTTTGCCTGATTTACCCATTTTGATTACAAATAAAACAAAATACAACGGACTTTAAAGAGAAAAACGCTTTATAAGGTGTATTTGCTTCCTGAAAAATTTGAAGTGCCTGATGAGAAAAAAATCGAGTAAAAATTACGTAAGCAGAATATGGAATACTACTATAAGCTGAAAATAAAAAGAAGAAGTCGAATTGAGACATAAGCGATATGGATTCATTTGAGGCAAGTGCCCAATTTTCACAGATACTACGTACACTAGTGCCTTCTTTGCCTAGCTTAACGAAGGCTGCACATTTTGCTTTGAAAAATGCCGAGAGCGAGGACTTTTTATTCCCATCTATGATGGATATATTGAACGATAACACGGTGGAAATAAATACGAAGTCAACGATATTTCAATTCATAGAGGTTTTGATTAACGAATCATTTGCGGTATCACAGCAGTCCAAATCACACTACAGCTTTCCGTACATTCAGAATTTAAAGCAATCGCTTCCAGCAATCATATATTCTGTATTACCAGACGCCAATAATGCCAATTTGTTCAATGTTTATCAGAGCTTAAAAAGTATTTCAAAAGTGTTCAAGATAAACTGTGACGAGTACGATAAGAAATTTAATTCGAATTTAATAGACAGCGACGACTTGGTGAATCTTGATAAAGATATACCATTTCCCAAGATTGAGCTTGGGGATATAGTTGTGGAAGAAAATGATTCTTTAATAGCTGCATGGTCCCTTTTAATCAGCAAAAAGAAACAGAGCCAGTACGAGAGACTTAGGTTATTGAAACATTCGAAAATGATCCAAGAACCCGTCGATGAAGACCAAATGTTTGCCCTTAAGGATAAAAATGACGAGTCTAAAGACTTGTTATCCAAAAAGCAGATCCTTATGAGGATGGAGGACGACAGAGAAGTTCATAAAAGATCGAAGGAGACATTGTGGATGGTAAATAGACCAAAAGAATCTAGTTTCATAACAGAAAATGAGTTTCTTGAGTATTACTGGAAGAAACATCATAAATTGAACCCTGAAGAGGACCAAGCTTTATTAGAATCTCTTGATGTGTTGAATGAAACAGTCGCAAAAAGCTACAAGGATAAACAATTTTAATCAAAATTTAAACATTAAATGACTTCATAATTTTATAGCATAATTCTATTCAGTGCCCCTTGGCAACATCACGTCAGAGTTGAACTCGATAATATACTCAATAACTCGTTCTTACCCAGTACAGCATAATTGGCTGATGTACGTACCTTAGTTTCCGTGTCCAAAATTGCAACCGTTATCTTTCCAGCAGCAGAAATACCTTTGTACGACGTAACGTATTCGAAGCAAGGTTCAACTATTGGAGTAGAAGCACCACTTAAAAATATGGCACTTAAGCCTAATTTCTTGTCACAAGCACCATCTAAAGTTATAGATTTTTGGTCTGTCAAGGCTTTTTTGTTATCTTCTGCAGAACTTGGAGGTGAGTGAGAACTAGAACTTGGAACATTCTTCACTTTATACTCTTTAATCAATGATTGGGAATCAAGCCCCAGCTTATCACGATTATAATAGGACATCAAGAATTTGACAGCCTTCAATGCCAATTGGTTTTGTTGAACAACAACCAAATTTTTAATTAAGGTAGCGTGAACACCGTCTTTCTCTTGGAACAATTCATTAATATGTTGTATACAATCTCCCATGGCGTCTAAACTTCTTTCACGATCATCAATAAACGAGCTACCAGCGTGGAAGCGAACCGTACAATCTTCTATTTCGCAGAATGATCCTGGTAGCCTCTCAACCTTTGATTCGATCAATTGAATAGCTTGGGACATCCAAGAATTCAATTCAGATTCATCAACAATAGAAATCCATTTACTTGAGCCCACCAACTTGATATAACCACCATTTTCGGCAATCAAACCGAGATTGGGGGCCCTTCTATAAATCCTTTCGAGATCAGACCTCTTGAGGACACTGACGATATAAATATGATTTTTAGGATCACTCAATAAATCACTTAATAATAACAGTAATCTAGCATCAGAAAATGAAGATCCTTTGTTAACTATTGGAGTTGTAGTAGTTATACCTAAGCTTAGTTCCTTAATCGCTTCCGTAGGTACTTCCAAACTCAAAATAAATAATCTTTTACCGTTACATTCCATCGAATAAAATTTATTAAAAATTTTACCAGTGAAATGTGTGAGGTTAGAGATGTTTCTACACTGCTCGCGATTCCAAGCCAAATTAATGCTTTTCAAACAAGTAGAAACCCAGTTTTTAGAGTCATGAGTATTGACTATTTTCGAGCAATTACTCCAGCGTTCGAGCTTTTCACCAGGATTCATGGTTAACAGTCTTTTGAAAGTAATCGAAAATGCTTTAATATCCCACGGATTGATAAGCAAAGCCCCTTTTCCGTTACAATAAAGTAAGGGAGACGATCCAGTAAATTCAGATAAAATCAAAGGTGACTTCTTATTGTATGTAGAGGTTATAAATTCATGGCATGTCAAATTCAAGCCCTCTCTCATAGATGACACGACAAAAACATCTGCTTCACACAAGAGAGCCAAGTATTGCTCGAATTCCAAGTCCTTTTGAAGGAAAAGAATGGGTGGAGTATCCGAAATATTTTCTGTTAATGAGTTAATCCTTCCGACTATTTGCATTATTTCAGATTCATATCCTGGGTCAGCCGATGTACCGATACAAATTTGAATAAAAACTACCGTTTCAATGTATTCTGGATTGTCCTTCAAAAATCTTTCATAAGCAAGCAACTTCTGTTTTATACCACGGAGCTTGTCAAGTTTATCCCTGCTGACGATCAATTTTTGATCGGGCCATCTCTCTCGTATCATGTGTGACCAGTCTAACACAGCTTTTGATTTTGTTAGATCGAAGAGCGACTTCGCATTAATACCCACAGGAATTGTGTTTGTCATAGTAAAACGACCTTCATAAGAAACACCAAACTGATTCGTATCAGCCAAAAGTAACCTGTTACATGTCTGAAGAAAATGTCTCACATATTCGTCTGTTTGAAAAGAAATACAATTCGCACCCAACATTCCCTTCAATAAGGCTTCTCTTTGAGGTAAGCAACGGAACACCTCTGAAGATGGAAATGATACATGTAAGAAAAACCCAATTTTTGCATTAGGAAGCTTTTCTCTTACCATTTTCGGAACAAGGAGCAAATGGTAATCATGTATCCAGATCATATTTTCTGGATCGTTCGGGTCTGCCTTACCATTTACTTTTTTATATACTTCAACTATCTTATCGGCAACTAGCTGGTTCAATAACCAGTACTGACCCCAAGAATGGTCTTCAAAAGCTTTCGATTTTGGATCGTCTGGGATTTGGTAGTGCAAAGTGGGCCAAAGAATGTGCTTGCAAAATGATTTATAGTGTCCTTGAAATGTGAAATCGTCTGGAAAAACTGGCTCACATGAGTATTCATCTTGAAGCCTTTTAGAAATCTTTTCAGTAACCTTTTCAGGGACCGCATCACTTGGCATAGCTAAAGTGCCTACCCACAAGCGGCTCTTAATCACATCAGACTCAACCGATAACCTAACCGCTTTAGTTAAAGATATGTTACCTTTTTTAGCAAAAGCAACATTCCAAGGTGCGGTTTCGAAGATATTGTTGTGGTTAAATAAACCCTCTTCAATATCAGGTTTTGAAAACCCCCCAAACGGTGCTAACTTGCTCTCCGACCTCCCATGGACCATGTTATTAAAATCATTTTTCCATTCGTCATCTTCCAGAGACACATCAGACTCCAGTGTATCATCTTGGTCTTCAGCAATAGCAACAGAGCTTGAGCTACCGTTGTTATTCAAAGTGAATGATGGACTCTGTTTTGAAACAGAACCTTTATTTCTGACTGACGGAATTGATAGATTGGAATTAAGGGACGTTAAGTTTGGAAAAGAAGTTGTTTTTGACTGCCCCAAAGCTCCTAAGTTAGTCGCTGATCTATTAATTTTCAAGGCCGGCAAGCCAAGATCAGCACTCTCCTTCTTTGGATCAACTACCGAACTTTCGACTTTGAGGTTGCTATACCTCGATTTAGGTTGGATATACTGAGGCTGGGACTTTTCATTCTCTTGCGACAGATTCAATTGAGAACTACTGGAAGAAGGTTGTAACTTATGTTTGTAAAAAAAATCTTCCCCTGAATCCCTAGCGCTTTCGTTAAGGCTTCCGATTCCAGGTCTTTTAAACACATCAGCAGACCTTGTAGACCGGTACTCAGGCATAGGAGTTTGCTGTCTAGAGTTAGCTAGACTTAATGACGGAATTATAGAGCCCTGCGATTCCGAGTTGATAGGCTTGGATGCGGATACATTAATCCTAGACCGTGATTGTGCCTTCTCATGGACATTGCGGCTATTTTCCTCCCTCCGTGTCACATCAATGTCGAAATTGCTATGAGATCCAACTTCAAAATGAACTGTGTAAGGTAAAAATCTATGTTACAGTTAGTTTAAGATGCCATTTCGATTATATTGCTTCGCTTGTTATCACTTACAGAGACCCGATAATTATAGTCATTTTATTCAATCTTTATTTATTATAAATGACTATATTTGATTAGACTTCGTTTTATATTTATACGGTCTAAAATCTATGAATACAATTACTGAAGGTACCAGGTGGGATGTTGCTTCTAGAAAGTTTCACATCAATATAGTTGCCTTCACGTGACATCCGCAAAAAGTTACTCTCAGTGGATGCGGATGCTGGAGAATGTCACTAAACATCTTCGAGATCATCGACATCCAGTTCGTCTTCGAATAATCCTAGAGACATCAGATTACTGTCATTAATAGGCAAGTCACTTTCAGCTTTAGCTAGTTCTTGAGTCAAGAGGTCTTCCATATTATCTTCATCGGACAGAAGTTCCGGCTGCGAATGCGGAACTAACGGCTGTATCAGAAGCGGCTGCACTATATTCTGTGGAGGGCTACCTTCATGATTTTCTAACGTTTCACGGGGAGAAGTGTGCGATTTCTCGCTATCATTATCTCTTCCAACAGTATCGAAATCGGGAACATTATTATCATCGCTTTCATCACTATCAATTCCCAGAGGATCACTAATATGATTGAAGTTGAAAGTGAACTCTTTAGTTCCAGACTCTTTTTCATTGCGTGCCTTCTCAGCTTTTTCCTTGAGGATTTTGTCTATTCTCTTTTTCTTTATCTTCTCTGCCGACCTCACAGATTTGATAACAGACTTGAACTCTTGCTGCACAATGTTTCTGAAGTATTCATTATCTTCAAGCGTTGGAAATGATTTCGCATAAGGTGAATAAAGCTTCTCTGCTTTCATGAAAATATTAGATCTTCTCCTTTCTCGCTTAAGTTCAATTTCCTCTTCTTTCCTTTGCTTTATCAAAGCTCTCTTCTTTGCATACGCTACAAAATCGAATCTAGTAGAACCAGGAGCCAATACCAGATTATTGCCATCTAGACTCTTCTCTTCAATTCTTTCAAGTTCCGGAGCAGGAGTTTCGACATCAGTCTTTTGATCATGCGCTACATCACTCATTATGCTATCTTCATTATCGCTATCAGCCCCCAGGTCGTTCAACTGAGACTCGAAATTCGTTCTCCATTGCGAATAATCATCATCTATCAATTTGTACAATGATTGCTCTGTTAACCGGGACTGCTCAACTAATTTTAACCTAGCTTCTTTCTCTGACATTATATCCAAGTAGTCTGAAGTATTTTGATAAGTGTAATCTGGTGGAAGGTCAGGCAAATAGGATGGAATATATTTGGGTCTCTCAGTCCGTCTCGGTACGAGTTGAGACATTTCATAATGGTCGTTTACGAAAAATGGTAGAGCGGCATCATTTTCTGAAATTGAGTGTCCTGCCAAAGTCGAAGTTAACTCATTGACCTGTCGAGTAACTATGCCTACTTCCTTCTTGTAAACTGAAGACACTTGTTTTGATATGAGGTATTCTTCACCTATTCTGAAAGGTTTTATTTTTTTTATGCTGAAACAAAGATTTATGTCATTGAAAGACGGCTTTCTTCTTCTCAGGTACTCTGCTAGCTTATGCAACAAACTAATCAAATCATCAAAATATGTAATGCATAAATTAGTTAATAGGTCCAACACTTCTATGGTACAAGAAATTCCACGAGCATTCAACATAATGGCAATCAATTTCGTAAGTTCCAAATCAATAGCGCTTGTATCTTCACGTGTAGAGATTGCTTTATTAGCCCATTCCTTAATATCATCAAACAGAACAGCGTTAACATATTCCACATCATTCTCTCCTTCATTATGTTTAGCATTCTCACGCCGTATTTTATTTATATCATCTTTGTTATCACTGGTGCTATTGGCGATGCGAGAGCTTCTTCTCGTTCTCCTATGACTAGGACTCAGTTCACCTCCTGTAGCCATGTTCTTAGAGCAATATGAGAATGTTTTATGAATGATCAATCACACATAGGTACGTCCCCCGTCCTAATTACAATAAATATATTGAGCTATAATCATATGATGGTGTCAATACTAACGACTTTGAACTTAGAAAAGTTACACAAAACTGAGCATGTTTAAGTACACATACAATATATATATAGATAGTATTACGGATCTAAGAATATTCATGTGTTGCTCAAGAGGTATTCAATCGCACCTTGGACACTTCCTCCAGTTCTTCTCAAGGCCTCGACATTTCTGTCAAAATCAAAGAATCCCATGTCATTAAGTTGTCGCAATTGAGCTTCGTAGCGCTCTTCTGGAGGACGGTTATCAGGAGGGGAAGCAGCAGCACCACCACCACCAAACATAGAGAAAGGATCAACAGGTGGCATACCATTGGGAAACAAAGAAGCGAACGGATTAGCGGCAGCATTACTTGGGCTCTGGTTAGTAGCATTTGGATTAGAGGTTTCTGTAGACTCTGTTGTTTCTGAACCAACAGTAGGGTTTTCGCCAGGAGCAGGAAAAGCAGAAGGCAGGGCACCACCACCAAATCCACCCATTCCAGAGCCTCTGCTCATCTCCATCATCGATCTCATTAACTCAGGATTTGAGAGCATTTGCCTGAAAAATGGACTTTGTAGCATTTCTCTCGCTTGTGGACCCATTGCTCTCAATTGGGGATTCTGATTTATCATATAGTCCAACATCTGAGGATTAGATAAGAGCGAATTCATACTTTCTTGAAACATTGGATTGGACATCATCAGAGAAAGCTGTTCAGGGTCAGGCATTCCTGAATTCATTCCTCCATCAGGTCCAAACATGGACGCCGAAGGAAGCTGAGAATACCCAGCATAGCGTGCACCAGTGAGATCTGCCAACGGATTGAATGAACCTTGACCAGCGGCAATATTAGAGGGAACATTTGGTGTTGGCGATGTATTGTTAGTACCATTATCACTACTTGTAGAAGACGATTGCTGAGCCCCTGCTGGTTTTGATCCTCCAGCACTTTTGACTAAGTGAATAGTATGACCCGATTGAACCTTGTATGAGGCGATTGTCTCCGTATCTTTTAAGACCTTTCCTGAATAAATCAATCTTTGCCGTCCTGCCTCAATAGATGCTTTCTCAGCTATTAAGTTCTTTAATTCCAAGATTGTTAGCGATGGTGATACATTCAATTCATACTTGGCATCTCCTGATGATTTAATGATAATGTCAATATTATCGGACATTATTAAGTTGTTATTGTCTATGATTAAAATTAGCTGTTTAATTTATCATTATGGATCTCGCCTGCGAAATCTTGGAGAAAAAGTTCCCATATTATTAAGAAATTTCTAGAACTCAACAATAAATATCGCTACATGCTCGCTAATAGATAGCGTGAAGCACAGATTTTAGTGAGAATCTCACCATTTACTCTCTAGAGACTTGGTTGATCTCTATTGCCAATTTTATTGTGTACACTTCATTGTTGCTACATGGATCCAAGAGAAGAGGTGCATAAATAATATATATACTCATAGGTTTAGTATGCATTGTAATATGGCTTAAGAATTTGATTATCTATTTGAAGGCAATGATTATGATTAAAAGGTGGAAAAAGAATTAAAAATATTAAGGACATATTGGACGACTTAAGAAGATCTCATACTTATCAAAGATGAGGAAAACTTGCTAGACTTCACTTACTTACATCTACTCTCGATCCGCAATCCAAACATGTGTAACCATCTAGGCCATCATCAAAGTGAGACTTTCCCTTGCTTTGCATAAGCGACCATTCTCCCTTTGCGGGAATCTTTTTGCACTCTTCATTGAGGCATCTGGCTGATGTTTTCTTGTATCTTAAGCCACAGGAATTACAAAGTTGTCCATCTTTAATTGACCAGGATGGTCTCCAACAGGGAGATTGATCGGAGCCACATGACAAACACACTCTGATGGTCAGACTTCCTTTGGTTGGGGACCTGAGAGGTTCAGTTCTTGCTTTTTGCTTTAATGAAGGAGGAGTAATAGGCACAAACTTTGTTTGAGGAGTGGGTAAAGGAGGCGATGACACCATATGCGTACGACCCGGGGTTGGAATATTGGAATTATCTGTGACTGTGTACGGCTGATAAGCATTGACTGACAGTGCATGCCTTGTAGGTGGTGATGGTAAGCTGTGGAAATGCAGATATGAATTTGTCGACGATATTGGGGGGGAAATCATCTCACCATGAGTTCGAGGAGGAGTAGCACTATATTGAGCTGATTGGATTGTTGTCTCAAGGTGATGATGCGAATGCCTATGGGAGTTGAGCTGTTGATTCTGACCAAGAGCGATTGATGCATGTGCTGGTGTATCAGAAAGCATTGTATGACTTGAATGATATGGAATTTGATGCGGTTTGCTTAATTGGATCAATGAATGGGCCAATTCGAGATATTCTGGATACCTCTCGACGTCCCTCATGTAGGTCTTGTTTAAATAAGTGTAGTTAGATTCGAAGGGGAAGTTAATTTTTTTCTCAAAATGATTGACCTTTGGAATCAAAGTTGGCTTAGTGATTTTGGAGCTTATTCTGGAATCAAAGTTTGGTTTATATGCTAAGTTATTTTCAACAGCTGCTGAGGAATGCCTGTTGAGATAGTTATATTGGTTCAAATTGAAATGCTTGGAGCTCTTATTTATGGTATCGAGTAATTCGTATCTCCAGTTTTCGTCGTTGGGTTTGTATGTGTCGAAATAGTCAAGGGAGACTGTTGGTGTGATAGGTTTCAACTTGATACTGCGATTGGTTCCACTGAGTGAATTCTCTTGTAACGCATCTGCTAAGGAAGGAAGTTTCTCTCTAACGTTAGATTTGTCTTTTGTAGAAGGGGTAACTGACCCAGTCAGACTGCCCACCTTCAGCTTGTACCGAACTGATGGTTCCAAGAATTTCTTGTTCGGAGACAAAGACCGGGCTCTATATGTCAGATTTTCGTGATTTCTGCTGGTAGATGAAGCGCACGGCTGTGATGGAGGTGCTGTCTTTGATCTTTTTTGGTCTGATTCATCTGACTGAATGGAAGTAGAGGACTCGCGGAGCATGTCTCCGAATGTCCTCTTGGAACCATGCCCTGAACTCTTTTCTCCGCTTCCAATTGGTGTATTAATCTTGTTCTTGAGTTGGCTTAATATCTCATTGCAGGAACGAGATCTGATATGACCTCGGCCGAATGAATTAAACTGATGATTGTTTAGCATATTTGCCTGAAGGAGACTCATTCTATGACTCGTACTCTGGATAAGTCAAATGGATGCAAAATTCCTCGATATATTCAATTAATGTATTGAACCAGTATTGTTAGGTAATGGTAACCAGAACAACCGAAGATTAATCTTTTGATTTCCTTAAACTAGTAAAAGGGATACAAATGCGAAATGTAGGATCCCGGGGACGACAACGATTAAAAAGGGATAGACACCTGAAAAGAATGAATGTTAACCGATAAAGTAGGCTGTAGTTGAGAAAGCCGATTAGCGAAAGTATTGGCCCGTTAAGTGGTCGGTGTTTTTGGAATCAGGTACAAAGGCGATCTTAAAGAGCGTGGAAAGGATGCGAAAGGCTTAGGTTAATCAAGTAACGGAAAAAGTTAGTATTAGAGAACCCATCATATTTATAACACGCATCGAAGGGATTGATTTAGCTTGGATCAGTCTGTTTTAGGATAAGTATCCAGCCATATGATCGATTTGATGTCGTGAGCTGATCTTAGCCAGCCCCATTGGGAATCAGGATGTCTAGTGCTGGAGTGCGATTAAAAAATGGCTGGTTAGAGCACCTACCCTGCGTAGGCACCCCTTCACGATATCCTGATTTGGGCTCAGGACAGGAAATATCTCCTACACTATTCCTATATTGTACCTGGACGAATCACACTTACGCAGGGTCTGCTGAGTGGTGGATTACAAGTCAATGAAATTGTGGGCATCTCACCAGCCGCGATAAGATATAGATATCAATTGAGCCAATTTTCATTATATACTACACAATAAGCTGTAGTAGACAATGTCATATACTTACATTATAGACCATACATGGCTTGATAGTTCACTCATGAGAGACTTTCGTTCAATCACTTCAAGCTGGCTCTTCTTTGACTGTGGTAAAGGCTACACATTATAGATTCAAGTCACGTTCATTCTTTTACTATACACTTTAAGAAACCTCACTTCTTTGCTTCGTTTTCTGCCTTATGCTCTGCTTTATTTGCTCCAATTGACCCAGCAACGGAAGAGGCTATTCCTCCTGCTTGTCCCAATCCCAAGTGATTTGCGATCGAGCCTCCGCCAACGCCCCCGGCTACAGAAACTGCGATGTCTTTAGCTTGGTTTAATTTATGATGGTCTTTATCACCCATATTTTTAGTTTAATTTAGCTTAGGGTGCTTCGTTTGCCTATGACGATATTTGTCAATAAAGCATTGTCCACTCTTTATATAGCGTTGTAGTGAAGTTAATTGCTATTGATTTCATAGCCATTCTACCGAACTATGACCGGAAAGACCGCAATTGGCCCTTACGAGGACAAAAATTTCATGATATTTTGTTAGTTAATGACTTATAACGCAATACTACCAGGACTACACTAGGCATATTTGGAGGGTCTGAAATGGTACCGACGCAAGATGTTTGTAAGTAATAAGATTTGTTTATGGGCCTATATTAGTTTGCAATTTCTAACAGAATATTTTAGCACAACCAGTAGAACCATTTTTGAAGAAGTTGTTATCATCATTGGATTTACAATACAGAACCCCAACAAACCAATACCCTAATGTCGAAGCGTACGCAACGCAATTTGCAAAGCAATTAAAACCGGCCTGCGCAATCATTGTTAATGGCAAACCATTAATTCCAACAAACAATAATGCCAAATTGGAATTCCAGAAGAAATGGCTAGCAGTACCAATAACATCACACCAGTTGAACAGCTATGACTGTCATTTGATACCTGGAACTGGCACTTACGTGATAAATTTAGGTGGAAAATTGAGATTTGATGAGAGTGGGAAGAATAGGCTTGGAGAATCGGCTGATTTAATCGGTCAGAATACAGCAAAAACGTCTAGACCTATATGGGGTTCTTGGTTTGGTTTTAATTTGAACTTGGTCGTTGACGAGTCATTAGTCGCAAATAATGATGCGGAGGTGATAAATAGCTTCAACTACAGAATTACATATAAACCGGGTGATAGTGTCATTCAAATTTTATGAACGATGATTCATTGAAAAGAAATAAAGCATTTTACATATATCAGCTCTTGAGTGAGACTTTTAATATACATTTATAATTAAGTGGTTGTTCTGACGTATTCGTTTAAAAGTAAACCTAAATATTTGTCCGAATATTGGGTAACTTCGTCAGTGGCATTGTACTTCAATTGCTTAAGGGCCCACCTAACATTGGGTTCAATGAAATTGTAAAAAATCACGTCAATCTTTTTCTCATCGGGGACGCTATCCGAAACCTGTGTTGCTTGGACAACACTAGGGATTGGAAAGTTGACAACTGGTTTATGAGCAGTATCGTCTCCGTCGCAACCAAAATCATCACAAGTTACATAACCTTTAGGAAGCTTTTTTCTACCACTTCCAGAGTGTAGTTTGACCCTGTCTAATCTACTGAGTTTAAGAATTGGATAAGTGAAATGCTCTTGCCTCTTCCTTATGCTGGATTCCTCCAAACGCATAAAATATTGGTGCACTGGCAACAATGGATTGCAGTCAGAGCTGTCAGGATATTCTGAAGGAAATATATATCCTTGTTTGTTTAGAATATGAGATATCTTGAGAGCAATTCGCTTTGGGACGGACAATTTAACCCACAAGTTTTCAAATGGTGATACAATATATTGGCTATCAATCGTGTAAGGCCCTTTATACATATCGTATCTAATGGAACCTGTATTTATAATAATGATTCGATCATTAGTGGAACCATTTTGAGGCAATGTGGGTAATATCTGTGACGTGAGTAACAGGAAGATACTTTTGGGGTGACTCACAGGAACGTAATCCAAATAATAGTTCTCTGCAACATAACCTATAACCTTGTGTAGCTGGAGCTTCTTTCTGGTATCTTTAATAAGCTTAGAGACATTTTGACCTTCCTCAGTATGAAAACTCTCGAGATTATTAGCTTTGGAATGATGCATAAAAGAGTTCAAGTTAAAATCAATATAAGATCTGGAAAACTTCTCCGTGACATCATCAGAAGCCACATCGACGTTGACACTCGCCCAGCCCACCGTCTCACAAAATCTCCCGCTTTGTAAGCCAGACAGGTTACCATCAAAGACTGTAAAATCTCTTATATGACTATGGCCACCAAAATACTGGATAATAGTGTTTGGATAAAACTTGCGTAAGAAGAGATGCAAGTTATATAATTCTTTCCATTCGTGTGTTATAGGTATATGGCCAAATATGATTAAAACATCAACAGCCTCTGGAGGATGTGCCTTGATAGTTTCTTGGAACCATGTGTGCTCATGAATGATTTCCTCAATAGGGTATACTTTGGTTTTATCATTGTTTCTATTAAAATTGAACAAGAAACTAAAGGCAAGGACCTTGTATCCTTTTTTTGGAGTGACAAAATACTTGTATTTCTGACCAAATGGTACCAAAGTACCATTTTTAGAAATATATTCAACATTGGAGCAAACATAGTTCGTACCGTAGTGAGCAACAACCACGTCAGCTTCTTGCTTAGAATTCTCCCACAAGTATAGCTCATGATTCCCTATTGTTGCCAAGTCATAGTCTTGCTTAATAAATATAGGTAAGGCCATCTTACCATTAGGTTCAGTAACGTCAGTTAGCCCATTCCCATCATGTCTATCACCAGTATCTATTAACAACAAATCCACATCCTTATAATTTGCTATTTCCTTTAAGCGAGTAGTGAATGATATGAAATCTCCCCAATTAGCATGGTATTGCTTTTGGTTTAAGTGTCCAGAATACCATCCATGTGTATCTGTCGTATGTATAAAGTTAACCTCACCCCATCTGATATCTCTTATCAAACTTCCAGTCAGATTCAAAAACGGGAAAGAAAACCAAAAATATATTCCGAAAGCACTTAAAGCTACAAGGAAGAGCCTTGTGATATACCATTGACACACAAACCCCATCAGTAAGCTTCTTTATCGAATATATAATATTAAAGTAGCTCTCAGACGGAATGTCAACTTCGAGGACGCGAAAGGGATCCTTCATACGACCTTAACTACAAAGGTTTTTTTGATCATCACGTTGATAATATATGTATATTACATTAGAAGTGCAACTAAACAGCTAATTGTAAGATCACAAATAGTAAGGAATTGCCCTTTATTTATCTAATTTGAATAGATGATGGGAATTTACAAGCCTTGTTGAGCTCTTCTTCTGTCTCTCTCTTCTGAGATGGACAATTTGATACCCTTACCCTTTGGCAAGGAAATCCATGGCTTACCAGCTTCAGTACCGACAACGAAAACGTTAGTTAATCTGGTGACGAAAGTGTTGTCGAGAGCATCCTTGATATGAACCAAGTCGAAACCACCCTCGTGTTTTTCTCTGTGGACAATAACACCAACTCTTCCCAAGTTACGACCACCAGTGACCATGACCAATCTACCAGTATCGAATTTGATGAAATCAGTGATCTTTCCAGTTGCCAAGTCAATCTTTACAGTATCATTGGCTCTGATCAATGGGTCTGGGTATCTGATAGTTCTACCATCATGGGTAACAACGTAAGGGATACCTCTTTTACCTAATTGAACTTTTCTTACTTTACCTAACTTGTAAGAGGCTTCTTCAGCAGTGATTCTGTGAACGGTGAATCTACCCTTAACATCATAGACCAATCTGAAGTTTTCATTGGTGGCTTCTAAAGAAATGACATCCATAAATCCTGCTGGGAATGTGGAGTCAGTTCTAACCTTACCATCAACCTTAACATGCTCTTGCATCATGATAGCTTTAACTTCTCTACCATTTAAGGCATACTTAAGTCTGTTTCTTAAGAAGATAACCAATGGTAATGATTCTCTTAACTTGTGTGGACCTTGAGATGGTCTTGGAGCATAAGTTCCGGACAACTTGTCCAACATCCAGTGATGTGGAGCTGCCAATCTCTTCAAGTGCTTCTTTGGACCTCTAGCCATTTTTACTACCAATTACTATTGCTTGATAAACAACTTTACTTCACATTTCAATTTGAGAATTTTTCACTAGATCCCGTAAGACAACTTTAGCTCGAAACTGCACATAAAGACAAAATTTTCGAACGGTCTAATAGGATTTATTTTGACCGAAGCCCTAAACACAAATACGCACGTGATATGTATTGAACAGGCCAGATAGGCATTTCAAGAGTTACTCAATGATTTCCCTTACTTAGCAATAAGATTTAACTAAATATACTTACTTCCAGCGACCAAACCATTTTCCATTACCTTTCAGAGCTAACTCAGTGTCAAGCTTTGCATTCTCGCTTATAAGAGTATCAAGCTCATCTTGCAATTCTGCAAACCTCTCTGTCTCGTTAGCATTAACTTTTAATAGCTCTTGAATGTCATTCTCAATCTTAGATGGAAGCGCTGGTGATTTCATAGAAGATGTAGAGCCTGATTTGAGTGATGCCAGGGAAGAATCACCAGCTACTTTCGACTCCAAACCTTCTGTCTCTTGCTTTAAGTGGTCAATTTCCCCATTTAAATCAGCTATTTCACCTTCAAGTTCAGGTAAGGCAAATTTAATATCTACCATCTGTTGCACAATTCCAATGTGCTCACGGTTGAGATTTGAGTAGCTCGTTTCTAATATTTTGATCTTATGTCGTAAGTTCCCATTGTCAACTTTTATTTCTTCAATTTCAGAGAGCTTGGCCTTCTCATTATCATAGATGTTCTGGAATTCGTTTTCAAATTTGCTCAATGCCACAGGATCAATGTTGATCTGCATGGAATCGTATACTAAGTCATCCAACCTATAATAGCTATGTTCGCCATTTTGCGTGGGGTGAGAATTCGAAGTTCTTTTTGAACTGGATAAGATTGAAAATCTTCGAGACACACTTCCTGCTCTTTTCAACAGCAGCAGCTTCTCATCATGGAAGTCAATATATTTCTCGTTCACGTATACATTGAACAATTTGTTTTTTAGGAAATCTAACAATCGATCAAAATTTAATAATAGCAAATTTGATTCATTCTTCAACATCAAATTAATGCCAAATTTCAAGATAGATTCAACACCTTGAGTAATTATAATATCATAAATTCTGATGACTATATCGAGGGGAAACTTGTAAGCGAAAAATGTTAAAAACCACTGTGAAGCATACATTGAAGACTTAATTCCTTGTTTCAGCAAATGGTTGAATAGCACTGGAGATAAAGATTCAAGCAACCTATCAAACTTATAAAGTAACAAATGTAATCCCTTCATTTCAGGACAAAATAATTCTCGTAATTGATAGTCTTTCATTAGGTTAACCAACAAACAAAAACATTCCGAATCATTCATATTCATGATCAAAGGTATAGCTATAAAGATCATTCCTTGTGTATATCCGACATCAGGATCAAAGAGAGAATATGCTTTAATAACATTAAATAGCTCGTCGCCTTTTCTGACCTGGTCAACATTTGTGAAAAAACTAGTTCTCGTCAAGTCTCGCTTAATCGACTTCTCATGCACTGAAGGGTCATTCTTAAGCTGATAGTAGAATTCCTCCAACTGATAATTTTTGGATTTTGAAATTAGCTGCCATATGATGCCTCTGATCTCTTTTGGGATGCCTTTCATGATTAAATCATTCAATTGGTCAGGTTCACTTTTGAGCACTCCCTGGTAGTCATTTACGATTTTTGTCCAGAAATCCCAATCAATTTTATATTCAAATGTATCCAAACTTCCTACCGTATTCTTTATATCATTATATGTTTTTCTGATACTCTCTGTACCAGAATTTATAGATGCTCTAACTTTTGAATCCTTCGACTCAAATTCTTCATTTAATTGATTATAGTTCGACTGCAACAAATAGTTAGAGCTTGTTTTATCAAAAGTTGAATATATGTGATTAAATTTATCAACCTTGGATTGATTTGATTTGTTGATAAAGGCGGCTTCAAATCCATTCAACAGAAACCAGTCTTTAATTGGGGTTCTTTCAGGCACTTTGGGAGATGAGCCATTTGTGATATTCTGCGCCAGGCTCACTTCCTCCTGGTCCACGAGTTTCCGAACCTCTTCAGAGTCAGGCGCTTCAACCGAATCAATATTTGACTCCTCGTCCTTAGTATCACCGATTGAATTCAAGTTTACATTCACAACTTCTGATGTGATCCCTGCTATATTCTCATGTGCTTCAGAAACGTTCTGAGGGTTCAATCCGTTGTCATCTTCCCAATCTCCTGTTGCTTGCACAGACACATCGTCCAGTGTGAGCGCTTCTTGACTAGGATCAGATTTACTAGAGGTATCCTTCTCATCAGCTGAAGGATCCAAAGATACATCGTTAATCTTACTCTTACCTTTGTTCTTGCCTTTATTTTTATTTTTTCTCTTCGATTTCGTTGATGCTTTCGTGTCTTGTGCTGCAACGGGCGTTTGATTATTTGTATTCGATATATACTCTGATTGAGCATCCTCAAACTCATCACCCGACAATGCCATTACTACTCCTTCGTTCTCGATGGCAAGGTACAGATGTCTAGCGAGTCGGTCTAATATTAATTACTGATAGAAAATACAAATAGTAAATATTAGTTTTGAGATAATCTTAAAGATTGACCCCATACAGTCCCAATACAAATAATAATGAACTTAATATAATGAACTTACCTGATTCATTCATTTACAATAAATAACTAAAAAACTAAAGTGAGAGACAAACTAGTGTCTCTAAATTCAACAAAAGACAGTCAGATATAAATATTTCTAATGAATGTACTGATTTAAACAGAAGTGACCCAATATGATTCGTCGTAATCGTTAAACATAACTTCGGCATTAGAATTTACAGCTTGAGAAATCTCAGGTGTTACAATCCTAACAACCTCATTGTTGGAGAGCGGGTGAGCTAATGAACTGCTCAATATATCATCAGTGGATGCTGTCATTGATGACACTGTTTCATTAGTATCGAAATAAGAGCTCAAAATATCATCACGATCAACGGCTGAGTTAAAAGAAGCGTATGATCCAGGTGCTGAAGGTCTCTCGGATGAACTCTGATCTTCATATATATAACCTCCTTGGATGTTCTTCTCTCTGCATAAGCTTTCCAATTTCTCCTTGTCGCAATTAGGGAAATGTACCCTTATAACATTTTTGGAAGAAATATACTCAAGAGGAAGTTCACCAAGTTCGAATAAGTTAGTAAGATCTTGCTTTAATTCTTCAATTCTTTTCAGAAGAGAGTTTAAATCCAGAAGAAGTTCATCTAATATGTTTTCACTTAACATGGTTTCGGAAGGAATGCTAACGTCTAGTTTGATTGGGAATTCGATGTAACAGCCAGTCTCAAGCTGCTCGTATTGCAACTTTTCTTCAAAGGTTGCCGGTGGGTCATTCTTGGCCATTGAAAGGGTTATTCTGTGAAACTGCGGTGAGAGAGACAAATTCAATCTAATAGATTGCTTTGGCCCCTTTTGAGTCCTCAACTTCAAGCGATTACTCTCAATATTAGAACTATTGTTAGAAAAAGGGAAGTTAAAGAAGGATCTATAAGTAATTTTCACATTTTGATTGAACATCTTTACTCGGTACGAGCTTTGATATTTCTGGGAAAAATTACTAAACAAGAACCCCTTCTTGAGTGAGCCAAAAATCTTCGATGGAGGTTGTCTGACAGGGCACTTATGATAAAATTTGAAGAACCTAAAATGATGAAACCTTGTGCGATGTGATTTACAGTGGTTGTTGAAGTTAAATGTTCCATTAAAACCACTAAAAGAACCATAATACCTAATAAACTGTGACCTATGACTTATTTCTCTCCCACTTCTTCCCATAAATCTTTTTCCCGCATCAACAACTGGTATAGGGATGGCCCTTGGTTGTACTTGAGTTCTACCAGCGAGCTCATTACCAACTTCTTCTAAGGCTCTTTGGACCTTTCTGGAAACGTTTCTACTACCTAAAGCAATCAAATCCTTTAGTTTCTGTACGCTCATGGCTTCAGTTGATAAGCAAATCAGATATTACTGCCACTAGCGTTCAAACAGCTTGACCTAAATGTTGCTCAAAGAATATAAACTTTAAAATCCCTTATATCGCATGTGCGTGTTTTGATTCAAAATACTATTTCCGTCTCCGTCTAAAATGCGAAATCGGACTAAGAAAAGAAATTTGCACCCATATGGTTAAAGAGACACACATCCGAAGAATGAAGCTTAATCATCAGCCAGGGACTAGTCACAAGAAGGAGAACATTGCTATACCACACAAGAAAGCATTAAAATCAGGTGAAAATTACTATTGCACAAAAAATTGTCGTTATATCGTATATTTGAATATCACAATGGGCAATCTATCTAGAAAAACAGTTTGTCACAACATATTTATATATGGTACGAGTAAATAAAAGTGCTCAACATTATTGATTAAGATGAACAATTTTCTCAGGAGTTTATAAGTGTAGAGTCGTCTATGGCATCATTGAATATCAAATCATAATCAGCCCCATCAGTATTGAAGAGAGCTGTGTTCTCTTTTCTTTGTTTCTTGAAGGTAGGTTCATTGAACAAAAGATCCTGTTCAGATTCATAGCCGTATGAATTTAATGATAATAACGACGTAGGACTCGTGAGAGAGTTTTCTGAAGAATCATTTTTGATAATCGATGGCTTGACATACTTGAATGAAGTATTGTTACCAGTTGGAATATTGTTCATGGCAAAATCATCAATAATCTCTTGTTTTATTCTTATCCTCTCCATGTTGTCGAATTGACCTGACTGAAGCCTTGAATGACCTTGTTGCAAAGCATTCTCGTTGGAAATAATAGAGTAGGATGGTGATTGGGTGATGGCATTAAATTGTGAGGTCATTGGTCCTAAATTAGGCGACAAACAAGGAGTCTCGATAGGATTGTATTTCTGATGATTTTGGTTGTTGTTTAAGTTGTCTATATCTTCTTTCCTGTCAGAGATCTCACTTTGACTTCTGGACCTGTAGTTTTCATTGTAATCATTATATTTTAAATTATTAATTCCGTCAGATGTTTCCTCAGCCTGGGCAACTTCGGTGGATTGTGTATTTATGGAGCTAGCAAGATTTCGATCTGTGTCCAGCGTGCGTGTGTCCTTGACATTATTTCTAATGGGCCATAACTTGGTCTTGTAGTTACGATTCCTTAGCAAATCATCTATATCATATTCTTCTGGTAGCAAGAAACGGACCATTCCCTCCAATTCTCTCACTTTGTTTTCAACTTGAGTCAAGTGGGCTCTAGTCAAAGGTGATCTGACAGCCCTCGGACTGTAAGAGCAACACCACCTATGCTGGATACATTTAGAACAACTAGGCAATTCCTTGGAACATTTGAGCTTCCTCTTTCTACAAGAATCACATGCCTGTTCTATAGCGTGGTCGCTACTACCTGTTATTGACCCTGAAGTCGCTTCTGCTCCAGTTGCATCTGCAACTACTTCATTCCTTTCCATTGACAGCTGCATTTGATCTATATTCTTCACTGCTGTTTTATTCTATCCTCTGCGTTTGCAGTGTTTTGCTGTTCGGTGACATCAAATTTTTTGAGCAACGTCCTTACTGTCTGACTTATATTGGATTGAAAAATTTACTTATCGCGAGAAGTCCGAAATCCCTAAACTGAATTCAGGTAATTAGCGACCAACGCAGCAGTGAGGAGACACTTTGATGTGCGCAGCAGAGACACCGCAAAGGAACAAGCTAAATCGCTCCGATAATCTACGAACTGCATATACCATGACCCATGCCTCCCATCGTACACACAATTTGGTCAACACAGCAATCATGCCGCACATCGCTGCTGCACAACAAAATGCACGCAAAGAAAACTACTGCACATCAGTGGTCGCCTGCATGACGGCGATGCAATCATACAACATTGGCCATGCAAAGTTCACGTTCTGTTATTTCAAGAACAATTGTGCATTGGCGTTCTCTAACAAAGTGTGCATTGATGTCCCGCACAGTTGTTCCGTAAACTATCCCCCCCACTTTGCTTTCCCAACAGTCTGCTAAATTTTCTTTGATGCCGCTACCGCTTAGCTACTCATCGTAATTGTCGATAATCATGGGAAGCTCCGACTCCGAATATTCCTGCAAGATGTTTTCGAAGTAGTCATATCCCTTTCGTCTATACACAATATACACAATAGGGGTGAAGGTCGACATTGGTGATTCCGTCGGTGCCGCGGTAGCTTGACAGATTCTGAATACTTAGTACATAATAATAGCGGGGTAGTAGACGTCTAGCCACCAACGCAAAGATTCGTTGGAGAGAATCCCAGTTTTACTATATGTCCTCCCGTTATTTCATTTTGCAGAGCTGGAGTGCATAAGGAATAAAATTTACCAGGTGGGTTAAAAGAGTATAATACAAAGAGGAGGTGAGTATTAACCCAAAACTCGGACGGGTATCCAATTTCGGAATGTAAACAGTTGTAGTATTCAAAATTGAATAAATCGGTAGCGTTGAAATTGAGTAACATCTCTACGCAATTTTTTGCTCTCCGATGATGTTCGTTGAGAGCTCTATATAGGGTCCGCTTTAGCTGGCTGCGAATTGAATGCGCAAGCAGAAGCATTCTGCTTGGGAGTGTTTCTGGACTCTTTCATGGGCGGTGCGCATAATATTGGCTATAAATAGACACTTAGCCAGGCATGCAGTAGGCAACTTATGTAGGTTGTCAAAACCTAAGAGCAAGGATAGAGTAAAGCAATTGCCCGAGATGCCGGAAAGGTCTCGTACCGCCTAATTACAAGCAACTCTTTTAAGTCATAAGTTGCAAATCATTATCCTATCTGATTTGTTTTATTGCAATTGCTCGACAATCTATGCTATTCTATAAATAATCTTATTACAATGGCATTCCAACTGCAGTTGGTTTCAGCTTTTGTGTTCTTGACATTTGTGAGCCCATGATATTTTGACTAGATTTCCTAAAAGCCTTGCGATTGTATTTAAATGATTTCTTCAGTTTTTGAGACCCATTCTGAGAATGGCTGTGTCTGGCTTGCTTTTTTTGAGTATTCACTGATTGACTAAAGAAAGGAGAGACGTTACTCGAACCTAAGTTTATCCTCTTGCGTTCTCTGGACAATATACCTAGCATTTTCTTGAAGTCTGCAAAATATTCTTGCTGAACCTTTTCAATATCTATTAGTTTTGCATAGTCTCTTTTATTCGTGGGCAATTTTGAAGCCATATCTTTTAAAGTAGATTCTTTCAAGATTTGACTGATGGGAAGATGAGCATTTATCAGCTTCTCAATTCTGATTTTGTTTAATTCAGTGTACGAAAAATTAATGTGATCATTATCTGTCACACTTGATGTCCTTGATACTTCTCTCGCTGAAACAAATGATTCTTGGAATTTGGGAGCTAACTGATTGATTTTTCCACTAGCCTTAAAAACTCCGCTATCATTTGTTTTAGATTTGCTTGTGAACTTTATTTTTATTTTTTTCCTACCATTCAAAACGTCATTTGCTAGCTTACCCAATCTAACGTAATTTGAAGCAAAACCCGCCTTCATAACTTGGTACTCCATCAAACAGTTCTCGCTCAATAAGTAAAAAAAGATTCTTTCAACATCCGTCTTATCCAACATCTTGCCCCTACCATGAAAAGAATTAAACTGATGACCAGCATTAGTTATTTTGCTATTATTGTAGCCTTTGAAAACATCTTGACAATGAAGTACAGTTACTTTCTCATTTTGTAGAGACTTTACCAATTTTATAATATCTATAGCGTATTCGGTACAATCTTTTTCAACAGTTTTGATGTCAGCAGAGTTTAGGCAATTATCGCACATTTTTTGACATTGAATAGGATTAAAAGATTCATTAAAATAATGAAGAACTTGCTTTCTTCTGCAGTCAGTCGTATTTTCACAATACTGAATGACTTGTCTAAGTTTGGCCAAATGGTTTTCTTTACCGACTTCACTTAACTCGCTATCTCTATGAATTAAATTCTGTAAGGTTCTCGCATCCTTATATGAATAAAACATTATGCATTCTGATTGATTTCCATCTCTGCCAGCCCTCCCGGTTTCTTGATAATATCCTTCCAAGCTACGTGGAATAAATAAATGAATAACGAACCTAACATCTGGCTTATCAATACCCATTCCAAATGCAATCGTCGCACAGATTAGCTGAAGTTTGTTTGTTTGCCATTGATGCTGTACTTCAAATCTATCTTCAGTCGCCATTCCAGCATGATAATAGGATGATTTAATGCCCCAATTATTCAATTTTTCGCTTGTTTGTTCGCAAGATTGTTTCGAATGACAGTATATAATTCCAGTACGACCCTTTTGTTTGACGAGTATATAATCACTTATCCATTCTAGATAATTTGACGTCTTCCATTTGATTTCGTAAAATAGATTCGTCCTATTAAAACTTTGTTTCAAGAAGACTGGATCATTCATCTGAAGAAGGTGTATTATGTCCATTCTAACCTTTTCACTTGCAGTAGCAGTCAAGGCCATTAAAGGAACCCTGGGAAACTTTTGTTTGAATAAACTCATTCCCTTATAATCGGGTCTAAAATCGTGACCCCAGGAACTCAAACAATGTGCTTCATCAATCACTACTCTCGCCAACATATTTCGTTGGTAAAGCTTTGCTATAAGAGTTTGAATTTGATTTGAAGAGTTTATTTTTTCAGGAGACAAGTATACTAAATCTAATTCTCCATTCTTGAATAATTCGATTGTTTGTTTATTCTCTGAATGCGTTGCCTTTGAGCTGATCATTCCCGCTTTAATGTTTCTGCGAAGTAGGTGATGTACTTGATCTTGCATCAATGAAATTAAAGGTGAAACTACAATTGTAGTTCCCTTTGTTTTCCCAGATTTTATTAAAGCAGGCAACTGGTAACATAGGGACTTCCCACCACCAGTTGGCATCAAGATAAATACATCCTTTCCTTGCAATGCAGCAGATATAGCTTCTAGTTGATTTTGCCTGAAGTTTTCTAGCCTGAATACGCTATTAAGAACATGAAAAACATCATCAATAAAAGGTTCAGACCCCGGCGGTATGTTCTCTTTATAAGATGTTGGAAAATTGATCAAATTGAAATCATCATCGTCATCACTGAAGTCACTATCTAAAATTGGATGTGGAATTGATTGAGTACTAATTGATGTCCTTGTACCTTTACTGCCACTAATTTCATCCGTACTACTTCCTCCGAAATCCTTGAGTTGAATCTCACTAATGCTATCAGACTCATCATCAGAAATTATCTCAATGCAACTAGTTTTAACTAGTTCCCTCTCACAATTAATTTGAGTGGAAAAAGTGCCTTCAATTTCTTCAATGTCAGACTCTGGTTCGTCCTTGTAAGAAATTCCGAAATTTTGAGCCACATCTGGTGATAGCCTGATGTCATCGAGTTCACCTGTTTGCACATCACAATTCGTAATTTCCGAAGATTGTGTATTTTTCTCAACGTATGTACCATCAAAAGATTCATCATCGTCAATGAAACTTTGCAAATCATTTATCTCATCCCTGTCTTGAGAAGGGGTTTTTAATCCTTCCATAACGCCTTCACCAAAATCATCCTCATCCTCATCTTCATCTTCACCCTCTAAACTCCTTTGCATGGATTTATTGTGTCGGTTATTTTTCTGCTCGAGAACGTAGCGTCTGGCCTCCTGTAGATTTGAAGATGGTGTGTGCGGTTCTGGAACATCAAGAAAAGCCTCATGATCAGAATGAGCAGGAGTAGCTGGGTGTGACAATTTTTGATCAATGGGATCACTCATATGCATCTTTAAAGAGTGATCTGGCCCGACAGCTTGCACTGGTGAAATCACATGTTGTAATTGAGTAGACTGTATTGGTGGGGTATGGAATCCGATATCTGAATTAAAATCTAGCGTGTGTATTCCTAGATGCTGTCTATACTTAGCTATGTCAGCCTCCAAGAGCTTTGACCTTGGTTCAACTTCCTTGAATAACTTTTGTTTTTCAACGAACGACATAGTAAGAGACTCACTAGCTTCAAATTTCTGTTTGAGTAAATTTATAAGACTCTCCTGTAATTCTATAATACTCCTGAAGTCTGAGAAAGGATCTGTTTTCAATCTTTTCGGGTTAGGTTCCGCAGTGAGATCTATCACTGAAGTAGTTGGTATATTTTCTCGTATCTTTCCAGGTGCAACTTTTGTTTGCACTAGCCCTAGAGGTTCCAGAGGTGAGGGTTTAGACTCATCGGCTACCGGAAAACATGGCGTCAACTTAGCTGGCGCGATTGTCACTACTGAAGGTTTCCTAATTTCCTCTGCCTCTCTAACACTAACGCTGGGTGCCATCAAGATGTTTATACTCAGCTTGTTTGGCATCTGGGGTCTCTCTATTTCCATCCATTTTAAATGATCACTTATATTCATTACAAGAGAGTGGCTACCAGATCTCCTAGACAAGTAGCAGTTTGGTGGGCAAGGTTTCACTGCAATCCCGCTCTACGTGTATTTCTTATAGATGCTCAGTGTTTACATGTACTAGAGTAAATATGTTACTTGACATGCAGGAATACAAACCTAATAGGGAGACATATTATTATATAAGCAAACGACATACTTAATATGAGATTCTATTTGGTCTTCTCCTTTGGTCCCTTACAGCCTTTGGAATGCTGTCACGTACGTCCTTTTAACATGCATGTATAAAAGGTGGACATATATCTCCGCCCCCGGAAAGTCCCAAATAAATTATGAAATCCCAACATGACGGAATCTCGTACTGCATAGACATTTATCCAGTAATCTATATTCCGGTCACGGATTGAACGGACGACGAAAGACACGAAAAAGTGTTCTTCCTGCTTAGAAGCTCCCCTCGTTTCCCCGACCTCTACCTGAGGAGATCTTTTACCCGTCCGGTTGGAGCCAGTGATCGCGAGGCGTCCCCTTAAAGCTCGCTATGCAATTTTTTCTAAACTCCAGAGGTGAATAACAGCTCTCTTATACAATGTCATCTACATTAGCAGCAGTGGTCGATAGTGTTAGTGGTAACTTTTCATTAACATGGTATCAGGCATTCAGATGTCAGTTACATTAAGACTTGGTACTGTCAGATGTTCATTGCCAAGGAACAAGACGAAAGGCGAAATCCGGTTAGTGATATTTTTACGTCATGTCTTGAAGTCGCGGCTGCTTTTTCTCGTAGCACCCTGTTGTAGCGCCATTCCGTAGCGCCTTGTGTCTTTAGCCGCCTCTCGTAGCGCGGTGGTTATCGTCGTGACTCTCACAGCGCCATGCGCCCTAAAATTTCCGCTGCTTCACAGAAATTCCGCATCGGAGCAAGATGATTGGATTAGAGGAAGAAGAAAGCAACGATGAAGGCAAAATGACTGAAAGCTGTAAGGGAAAAGGTATACGCAATGCACAGCAGGGAGCTTCTCGGGTTCCTTCTGTCTATTCTCACACGGTAAAGCCCTCCCACAATGCGTTGGACTAGTATTCCGTATCTGTTTTGCGGAGAAAAGTGGGTTATTCTCATCAGCAGAAGTCCGATGCGGAACATTTTTTTGGCTGTGAAATATAAAAGGCAATGATGCCTGCTGAGAGCTGACACAAGACAACATAGCTATCGATATTTAATCAACGGTAGAATCAAAAGTGAATTAATTTTAACTCAAGAAATATTATAGCAGCTGAAGACTGAACTGGAGGTATAGATACATCGTCAGAGACATATTCCCCACTTTCAGGATAGGCTCATAGCACATTAAAGAATTATAGCTATGCCATTAACAATGAATACAGATACGGATAACTCAATATTCGATCATCCTCATATTTTTCCAATAGGACAGAGTCACCATAATTTTCATCCTTATCTGAATAATGGACTTAGTTATGGAAACAGCACTGGATCAGTAAGATCTAACTCACTTATATCAACTGGATCCAACTTTTCTGAGCTTGACTTGTTGCCAGAGCTTTGGAGAGCTGAGTCTGACGAGCTGAATATTACTCAGAATAGCTTACTGCCTCCAATATTTAAATCTTCAGATATATGGAATCCTGAACCTACAAAGTGGCTTCCCAATGATTTGCTAGAATTGCCACAACCTGCGTTCGGAGAACCCGATATTTTTAATTTAGAGCTCCAGCAAGTTCCACAGCAGACAAAATCCCTGAAGAAGCCACTTTGTCCTTTGAAACAAAGACAAAACCTCAACACTAATCTATACAAGACTGAACTTTGTGCATCATACACTAAATTAGGAGTTTGCCCCTATGGTGGGAAGTGTCAGTTTGCGCATGGTGACGAGGAGTTGAAAAAGGTAGATAGACCTCCCAAATGGAGGTCAAAACCTTGTGCTAATTGGGCTAAATATGGAAATTGCCGTTATGGCAATAGATGTTGCTTTAAACATTCCAATTAGACTGGCTATTTATTATCGCGTCATTGCCTGTCATTATCTACGTTATTCACATATATTATCACTTATGACTTCATTCTTCATATTATTTTATGGAGTTCCCTAATTTATTGCGAGAGCTTTAAGATGACTTTACGAATATGTTATATATCTATTTAATAAAAGTTTTGTATATTAAGAACATAGTAAGACTTAGGCGCCGTGATTTTGCTAGTGCTCTTAGCTTGATGACATCTTTTATACCCAGCCTCAGTTCCCAATACATCATTAAAAAGGTGGTTAGGGTGGCCATGATGTTCTCCACAGCGCCCGCTAAAAAGCGAGGAGCAGATGAATCTGCCAGCTGAAGCGGATGAATTAGCTTTAGCCTTTCTTCATCGGCTGGTATAGTTGATAAAGAAAAGGAATAAATTAGTCAATATTTCGACGTGAGTTTGCGTTTATAGTACAATATGTGCCGGGTAAGCTCAAAATTTTTCACCTGGTTATCAAGATATAGTTAAGAGTATAGTAGGTTATACCGCTTTAGACTTACCAGAAAGTCTATTGTACGATGGATGGAGATATCAAGGGTGAGATTGCACTTGACATTGGAACAAAACTCAACGATTCCTCGAAGAGAGTAAGAATCGGAGCATTGAATATTCTCCAACGCTCTATATCTAATGAAAGTCACAATGCTGAAGACCTAAATACTATTCTTGATGCATTGTTAGGAACATATAACTACTATAATGACCTTGAATCCAGGAATGAGGTTCTCAATACACTAGTTGTGTTGCTCAGGTTAGATCATTCAAAGTATTTGACTAGGATTGAATCATTCATTAATGAAATTATTTGCGATGGAAAATCAACAATTGCATTGACTGATTACTTGACATTGTTGAGCTGGGTAAATAAGCTCACCACAATCGAATTAAAGCAGGGTCTTGTGGACAATCAGATCAAGTTATTAAACATTTGTGCCAAGCTCAGTTTTCGTGAGCATAAAAGGCATGGTAAAAGAGTATATCTGTCGACAATAAATTCAGTAAAGCACTCTCTTAATGTTAGCTTGGTATCCGCCGATGACTTAGACATAGTCATGGTGTCTTTGCTCCGATGCAAGGATCCAAATGCAACATTATTATTTACGGGAGTTTTGGTGAGATCCCTAGAGGATTTGGTTCCTCTGAAACCATCCTTGTTACAACATTTCACAGAAATACATAAGAAACAGATCTTGGATTATTTTAAAGAAGTTTTATTTGAAAAGGTTGCTCCAGAGAGTTATTCATTACAAAATTTTGGCATATTTGTAAATAGATTTGTTGGTAAAGAAGATTTTGAAGCTTTGATATCGAACATAGAGAAGTGTATCCTCAGGTCTTCTGAAGTGTCTTTCGGCTCTATTTTACCTTACTTTTTTGGAAATTTACAGGAATTTGACATAAGCAAGATCTTGGTGGGCACAAAATTGCTAGGATCTACACTTTCGTCTTTGAAGTCTAACAAGGAGCACGTACGTGAAGGTGCTTTCAGATCAATTTCTTATTTACTACAGCATAATCTTAAAGGCTCCACGCCCGAAGATATTCTGGTCATATTAGATGAGGTCTTCAAAGCGATCAAAGCGACTAGTAATGCAGAAAGCAAAAAGTATATGGTAAAATGTTTATCCTTAGTAAAATCATCAGGCGCAACACTGAAGATTCTAGAAGGTTTGATGCCTCTTATCGCAAGGGATCAAAATGAAACGTCTTTGGCATCGTTGGTTTTTGCATTTTTGTCACAATATATATATGGTGATAAGGTATCTGAAGAATTAAAGAAGAAGGTGTTGGAGCAGGTTAAGGCTGGTTTAAGCGAGAAAAAGATCCCTTTGAGAAACATATGGTTTTTGAACTTAGGAACTTTTGCTTTTGATGACAAGAAAAACAATAGTGATGTATTATCCATTGTGAAACAACTCTTTACAGAAATGATGAAGACTTTGGAAGAAGCACAAATGTCTCCTTTGCCTACAGTAGGAAACAAAAGCATCACATCAGCTCACATTGTTATTGTTCTAGCAGATTTAATAAAGTTTGAGGATAAGGAGAACTTAGTGTATTCAAGATCCTTGTATGGTTATGACAATAAACCGTCGATAGTTGCAGATGAGAAAGTTGTATGTAAATTGGGAAGTGATCAAGAGGCTTTGTGGCTTGCAAGATCATTATCTTCAATAATGTCCCATATACTGGATTTATCGGATTCCTCCTTGGGATTTACATGGCTCTACTTATTGACTTCAAACAATGTTTCTTATAATGTTAGATCGTATGCATTACTTTTATTAAAAGAAAAGTTGAGCTCAAATCTTAGTGAATTGCTAATAAAGTGCATTTATGAATTCTTAGGGGACACGAGAGAACTAGAAACGTTCAATTTGAACACTAAATACTTTTCACCACTTCTTTCCTTGCTTGGCTCTTATTCGAAGCAGAATTTAGTAAACTTGCTTGTGGCTACGAACTATGACGATATACCTGTTAATGATGGCTGGGTTGGCCTTTGCAGAAGATCCAGCGAAGACGTTGGGAGCTTGGTTGAAAATAATGTTGACTTTATAACAAGTAACTGTCTTGAGATAGCCAACACCTCAGCTTCAAGAAAATTGAAGAGGGCAGCAATCACTTCTATTGGAGTTATATCGTTTATTCAACCTCAAATTGTATCATCTAAAATTGCATCTTTAGTTAAATCAAGTCTTGTTCTCCATGAGATAGCTCTGGACGATTTACTGATATGGCGTGGAGAAGAGGGTAAGTTGGTCATTGATGTACTTCTGACGAATACGAGTCAAAAACATGATCATAATTCAAAGGATTACGAAACTAAGAAGTGGGAAGAAAAGGTGAAAAAAGAAATAGCCAGCAAGAAGAGCGCTCCAAAAAAATTGACCAGAGAAGAGCAGAGCCTTGTGAATGATCAATTGTTGAAAGAATCAAAGATACGTTCCGATATTAACTCTAAGATTAATCAATTGGAAGTCATACTTTTGATCATCAAAGAGTTGGTTCTTAACTCGTTACAGATAGACAATAAAGCTCAAACGTGGTACCCAGTTTCGGTCAATAGTGTTCTCTCGATATGCGAGAATGAGAATCTGCTAACGCTATTAGGTAAGTTACCTATCGAAACATTTTTAGACTTATCGTTGCTTCTTTCTTCCAGACTTGGCAATTTGAAGGCTTTCGTTGGTATTGCGAGTTTAAGGGTTTTCAATACTAAAGGTCTTGACCAGAGTTATGTTCAAGAGTCAGTTTTAGACTTATTAAGTCGAATTCTATTCAGGATCAAAATTCTCTCTGATCAGTCACTGTTGGACGAGTTGAGTTTTTCTTATATTCTACCTTTGTTAGAAAAGGTCATAGAAAATGGTAAACTTGTTGCGATGAAGAACTCAAAGAAGAGTGCAGTTACTTCTGAGTTCGTTGAAGAAGACCAAGAAGAAGCACTTCTATCATTGGCCATTGAGATAGTTTCGTTACATGCTGAAGTGTTTGAGAATCCCACTATTGCAAGAAGTACTATTCTTAATAATTTAATTTCTTTGATGGCATTACCTTCTAAGGCAAAGAGTGCTAAGGAGTGCTTCTTATCATTGTGTCAGTATATTTCGGTAAGGATATTACCTCAAGATCTTGATTTATTGATGAAGAATGTGATTTCGAAAGAGACATTTGTGAGGCTAGCAATACTTGAGGGTTTAGATTCGGAGTTTGACTTGAGAAATGAAACCGACTACTACAGTGAACTATGGATTGCTTATCATGACAATAATCCATCTATTTCAGAGTTAGCTAAAGTGGTTTGGGATGATAATGAAATGAAGTTGCCGTCCGATGCACCAAGCAAGTTATTGGAATTTTCAGGCAGCCAGAGCTCAAGTTTAAGGCTCTCTGTAGCCAGCAGCATTTATGATTCGGTTTCTATTTTAAAGGAAAATGATCCATCTATTTTTGAGAACACATTAAAGGAACTCATAAATCTCTATAATGTGAAGAAAGATCCCCCGCCCGCAAAACTAGATAGGTTTGGATTGGTCATCAAGTCATCCGTTAATCATAAGGATTCTTGGGAAGAAAGATCAACTATTGCCCTCACATTGAAGCTTTTGGCTCCATTTTTCAATCAAGAACTGGTGAAACGTGTTTTCGAGTTTCTAGTAAATGGCTTGGCCTTAGGAGACAAGGATCCTATCGTAAGACAGGAATTACAAGAGGCTGGTTATGAAATTATAAATAAACACGGATTCAACAATATCGAATCGTTGATCCCAATCTTTGAAAATACTCTTTCGGCCCGTGATGAAGGATCCAAAACTCAAGACCATGTTCGTGAATCCGTCGTTGTATTATACGGCGCGTTGGCCCGTCACCTTGATAAATCTGATAAAAGACTCGAAATAATCATTCAAAGAATGATAAGAACCTTAGATGCTCCTTCTGAAGACATCCAGTATGCTATCTCAGAATGCATCTCTCCATTAGTTGGCTCTTTTGAGGATAAGTTGCCCTCTTACTTCTCAGATTTATTTACAAAGTTATTTGAAGGTAATAATTTGGCCTCAAGGCGTGGAGCAGCTTATGGTATCGCAGGTTTAGTTAAAGGTGCTGGAATAAAGGCGCTAACAGAATATGATATTATTAGAACTTTAACGGATGCTGCTGATGACAAGAAGAATTCTAAGAGAAGAGAAAGTGCTTCCTTTGGCTTTGAATGCTTGTCTCAAAGTTTGGGAAAGTTTTTTGAACCTTATGTAATTGAAATCTTACCATTAATTTTAAAGTCTTTGGGAGATTCTAATGCTGAAGTTCGTGAAGCAACAGAACTTGCGGCGAGACAAATTATGAAAAATACCACCAGTTTTGGTGTTAAGAAACTTATTCCCGTTGCTATCTCCAATTTAGATGAAATTGCTTGGAGATCTAAGAAAGGATCTGTTGAATTATTAGGATCGATGGCATATCTTGATCCAACCCAGCTCTCTTCTTCTTTATCTACAATTGTTCCTGAAATTGTCGGTGTATTAAACGATACCCATAAGGAAGTTAGAAGAGCCGCAGACCAGGCACTTAAAAGATTTGGTGAAGTGATTCGTAATCCTGAAATTCAGGAAATCGTTCCTGATTTGATCAATGCTATCGGTGATCCTACTAAATATACTGATACGGCATTAGATAAATTGCTTAAGATTCAATTTGTTCATTATATTGATGGCCCATCCTTAGCGTTGATCATTCATGTTATACATAGAGGTATAAAGGATAGATCTGCGGCAGTAAAGAAAAAGGCATGTCAAATTGTTGGAAACATGGCCATATTAGTTGATTCGAAAGATCTCAATCCTTATTTGTCGACTTTGGTAAGTGAATTAGAAGTAGCTATGGTTGATCCAGTTCCTGCAACCAGATCAACGGCCGCCAGGGCTTTGGGTTCCTTAGTGGAAAAGCTAGGCGAAGAGAAATTCCCTGACTTGATACCTCGACTCATTGAGACTTTGCAAGATAAAGGTAAAGCTGGCGATAGGCTAGGTTCTGCTCAAGCTTTATCTGAAGTAATTTGCGGTCTTGGTGTTAATAAACTTGAGGAGCTTTTACCAGTGATCTTGTCGTCTGCAACATCGCCATACAGTCATATTCGTGCTGGCTATATGCCATTGCTCTTGTTTCTTCCAGTTTGTTTTGGTTCGCAATTCTCTCCTTATTTGAATAGAATTATCACGCCTATCTTATCAGGCTTGGCTGATACAAATGAGGATATAAGAGACACAGCTCTCAGAGCAGGAAGGTTAATAGTTAAGAACTATGCTACGAAGGCAGTTGATTTATTATTACCAGAATTAGAAAAAGGCTTGTCAGATTCTAACTATAGAATTAGGCTCTCCTCTGTTGAACTCACAGGTGATCTTTTATTCCAAGTTACTGGTATATCTGGTAAAAATGAGATTGTTGATGATCATAGTGAGCATTCGAAGGAAATCAATAAGAACCTCATTGAAGTTTTGGGACAGGATCGTCGTAATCATATTTTGTCAGCGTTATTCATGTGTCGTTCTGATGTTGCTTTGATTGTTCGTAGTGCAGCAGTCGACATTTGGAAAGCATTGGTAGCTAATACGCCTAGAACAGTGAAAGAGATTCTTCCTACCCTTACTACCATTATTGTTAGAAGATTGGGTTCTGATGATGAGGTCCAAAGAACAATTGCTGCCCAAACATTGGGTGAAATGGTTCGTAGGGTCGGAGCTAATGCGTTGTCTCAATTACTTCCTACTTTAGAGAAGACATTAAGAGGCAGTGATGATGGATCAAAACAGGGTATATGTATTGCCTTAGTTGAGCTAATAAAATCAACTCTGCAAGATGGGTTAATAGAATACCAGGATATCTTCGTCAGGATTATTCGTGATTCTCTTGTTAGTCCTTCTCCAACAATAAGAGAAGCTGCAGCATTTGCATTCGAGGCTCTTCAAGATGAGCTTGGAAAAGTCGTTATTGACAACGTCATCCCTCCATTATTGAATATGATGACTCTGGAGGACTCTGAATATGCTTTGCTTGGTTTGAAAGAGGTCATGTCTATGAAATCTGACGTAATTTTCCCTATTTTGATCCCTGCATTATTGTCCCCTCCAATAGACAGCTTCAAAGCCAATGCTCTATCTTCGTTGGCTTCGGTGGCTGGAGCTTCAATTTATAGGCATCTTCCGCTCATCATCAATACCTTGGTCGATGCAATTATCAATGCAAAGTCAGAACCAGAAGAAAAGCAAGATGAAATTAGGTCTGCACTTGAATCAGTTTTGTTGTCTATAGACAGTGCAGATGGCGTTAATCCTTTGATGCAACATTTGTTATCGCTCGCTAAGCATGAAGATAACGAAAAGAGGGCCGTAATTTACAGTGTATTAGGTCCATTTTTTACTAATACGAGTCTCGATTATAGCATTTATTTGCAAGATATGGTTTCTCAATTTATATTGTCTTTAGGTGATAAAACTCCAGAAGTTGTTGAAGGTACCTTTAACACATTAAATTCTTTGGTCAAAAAGCAAAGTAAAGAATCTTTAGAGAAACTTGTCAAGGTTGCAAAGCTGTCTTTGGAATTAACTGGAGTGAGTGGAGAAGTTCTCGCTGGCTTCGCTATCCCTAAGGGACCTAGCTGTATTCTTCCAATATTCTTACATGGTTTGATGTACGGAAATTCTGAGCAAAAGGAATTAGCTGCCCTAGGAATTGCAGATATCATTAATAAGACACCGTCAGATAATCTCAAACCTTTTGCTACCACAATTACTGGTCCCTTGATTCGTGTGATTGGAGAAAAAGTGTCGAGTGATATTAAGGCCGGTATCTTGATTGCATTGAATAATTTATTGAACAAGATTCCTCAATTCTTAAGGCCGTTCATTCCTCAACTTCAAAGAACATTTGTCAGATCTTTATCTGATCCTAAGAATGAAGTCCTTCGTTCTCGAGCTGTGGCTGCCCTTGGAACCCTCATTGAGTTTCAACCAAGAGTGGACTCATTAATCACAGAATTGGTCACTGGAGCAAAGAATGCGGAAAATGAGGGAGTCAAGATTGCTATGTTAAGAGGAATGTTACAAGTTATCACTAAAGCCGGAGCTAAAATGAGTGAAAGTTCGAAAGCGATGATCATGGCTCTTGTTGGACCAGAAATTTCAAATGCTGATGGAAAGGTTGCAATTGAGTATGCCAAGTTAGTTGGGTCTGTTTCAAGGATTTTGACCCCAGATGAAGCAACTTCTATTTTAAATCAAGAGATTCTAAAAGAAGGAGATCTTTCGAAGGAGAAATTTTCGATTCCAGCTATCAATTCATTCTTGAAATTCTCACCTCATCATATCTTAGATTCGAGCCTATTTGAAGAAATTATTGATTTCATAATTAAGTTTTGTGACTCGCCAAACTCCTATATAAGTGATAACGCTATTTTAGCTATTGGAAAGCTTATACTATCGCCAGAAAAAGAAAACCCTTTATGGTCTAATCAAGATGTGCTAGAAAAGTTGATGAACCAATTATCCATTAGCGCATTAGATCCAAACTCAAACTCGCCTGATACCAGAAGATTGTCTTTAGTTGTTATTAGAACAGTTGCTAGATTCAAATTCGAAGCAGCGATCAAACCATTTTTGGACACAATAGCTCCGTCAGTTTTCTTATGTGTCCGGGATCCTATTATACCAATTAGGTTGGCTGCAGAGAAGGCATTTCTCTCTATATTCCTCTTAGTGGAGGACCCAAATATGGAGCTATTTAATTCTTGGTTCGAAGGAAAGGCGACAATAATGAGTATTAATGGTACTTCGATTCAGCCGAGATCTTTGGGTGACTACACTAGAAGAGTGGCTTCAAGGTTAGCAGGTGTTGAGAGAGAACGGATAGAAGATGGTGGAGATGCTGAAACAATGTTCAGCGATAGGTTTGAAGACGAAAAAGAAGTATGGGCAGTTGGTGGCCTTTGAACCAAACTTTAACTATATAAAATTATATTAACTTCTGGAATCTATGATAAATTGTCAGTATATATATATATAAGAAGACAAAAGCAGTATTAAATTAAGCACGTCCTATTATAAACCCTTTTCTATAAATCACTCCTCCAAAAGGTCCCTGAATTGACCACTTTTTCCTGAGCTCGTGCTATAAGCTCTTTTACTTAAATGTCTACCATTTGCAGAAATCGAGTCACTTTGAAACTCTTTTGATAAAGTAGGCATCGACAAATTAGTAGGCAAGTCTAACTTCAAGCTTCTCAAAGGAGGTAAATTAGTGCCTGAATCTGCGTTACTTGACGATGGAGATAACTTGGGAGTTTGTAAGTTTGACGATGAAGGTGGAGGTGTTGTTATCTTACTTGATTGAAAATTTTGATTTTGAGCTTCATTGCTAGTCGATCTCATGGTAGGAATCATGAATAGATTTGATAAATTAGTATAACTGTTGTTGGCAGACATTATAGGAGTATTTGATGCTGACAACCCAAGGACAGGCGAATTAGGTAACGTAAACGTCTTAGACAATACAGGAGAATTAGGTCTTGACCTTTTCAACCTTTGTTTGATGTAATCAAGGTCTGACTCTTCATTGATTTGAGAATTATTTCTAGCCTCTGGGACTATTGGAGTCATCCTCTGTAGTGCTGACAACGTATTTAAATGCTTATGTGAGTTTGATAATGAAGTGTAACTTTTTGACTGACCACCATTAAGATTCCCAGAATGATTATTATTATTGAGATTATTCAAATTTGATAAGTATTGTAAACTTTGAGATGATGACTTCGAAACCGTTGGTGGCAAGCTTGATGGAGGTGGCTTCCCATTGAAGTATTCAATTAATGAAGGTAACGACTTTGAGTTTACAGTCTCTAGCTGCCTTAATTCCTCAGAAGCAGCAGTAGCTAAAATGTCTATATTCTTGGTGCTTTGCATTCTTTTCAAAGTAGGCCTATTATCTTCAACTTTTTTATCCTCATCTTCTGGAGAAGAGTGAGTTTTAACATCCTCCATCAGCTGACCTGGTGGCTCTGACTTATTCTGGAGATTCATAGCTGTCAGGATTACATGTGGTAATGCACCGTTTACAACAGGTAGCGAAAGTGGAGGAGGTGGCGGAGGTTGTGATACAGAAACAGCAGTACCAGAAGTCATTTTATTATTATCAGCAGATTGTAAATCACTATTACTTCCGTTGCTTACTATTGTTGGTGTTTTATTGTAGTTGCCGTTCATTTTGCTCAAATTTTTATTTCTCCTCGAATTGGGATTTGTATGAATCCTCAAGTGACGGGTCAACTCATCAGACCTGCTAAACTTCTTGAAGCACCCAGGGTAAGTACAACTATGTGGTTTCTCGCCCGTGTGGGTTCTAATATGTCTTGTCTGGTGTTCTAACCTATGAAAGGCCCTTTCGCACATGGGGCATTTATAAGGCCTCGACGACGGATCCTTTTTCGCCTTCGTAGTACTCGGGGCAGTTTCTTGCACTCTAGTAGACATCGCTTGTATAATATGGACAAATGGTGTCCTTACTTAGTTGATTCTATTACTGAAGGCTAAGATTTTAACGATGTCTTTCGCCTCCGAGTAACTGGTGGAGCTCTTGAAGACCAAAAGAAACACAGATGAAGTAAAAATCTACTTCCTCCGGTACTGTTCTAAACAGAAGAAAGTTAGTCTCCAACTAATTTTCCGTCTTTTATGACTACTTGTTTTTCTTTCTCAAGTGGTTCAATAAAGTGAAACTGGTGGTGCTCTTCACAGAAGTGTAAAAAACTATATTCTTTTTTATTGCTTTGTGCACTTCAACGGAGAATAAAAATGAGGAGATGTGTGTCAAATATATGTGCGCAATTTCAAGGGGTTCCCCAGGTTATACTGAGGATGATGAGGATGGCGTATGAGAGAGCAGAAAAAAACCAAATAGAGGCAGTATTGTGTAGGGTAACTGGACTATAGTTCGGAGTGATGTGAATTCTTAGGGCCACACTGAGAGAAATCCAGCTATTGAGAAGTAGATGCAGTGATATAACGACCGTTGTTCCGTAGTATAAAAAAGGCCTGCATCCTTTATCAGCAAAATCGGATACGAGGTATGACTCCACATATGCGAACGGCAAGAATAGGCGACAAGAAATTACTCCAAAAGCTCTAGATTAACAAGAGGACGAAAAAGATACAACAAAGCCCCAGCTTCATGTATGCTTACTGAAAACTCTACGGTGCGTATAATTAAGGTTACTGGTCCACAATCGTTAGAATGGAACATGGGGAACATGCTACAAAATATTTTGCTGGGCTATGATCCGACCATCGGGCGATTGTGTTGCGTGGGAAAGAGACTGCGATGAGCCGGATTACGGAAGAACTTATTAATTTTGTTGCCTAGAGCAGATTTTGGATCGCGGAGGCAGCGTATGCTGGTAGCTCGGTGTTTGATGATAGGAGCCTTCGGCTGAATACGGAAACGCCATGGTCGAGGAAAAAAGACAACGCCGCGAGATGTGGTCCCTAATTTTTTGTCTGTCTATGGCAGGAAGTTTGAAGGGCAGAAAAATCATAATATATGGAGTTGACTCTGATAGAGGGGAGGGCGCTGATGATGGGGAAGACGTAAGAAATTTTGCAGTTGCATGCATATAAAAAGGAGAAAGGTAAAGACAAGGGCATATTTTTCTAAGCTCGTATGTTGTAAACTACACTCAGAAAGCTGCTACGGCCTATAAGGCTGGGCAACATATGAAACAAGAAGAATCTTTATGTTCCTAGTAAGATCGTCGTTCCACGGAACTGAAAATTTAAAATCACGCGCGTTAAAAATAGCTTGGTATCTTTAAAGAACCACTCAGGTATGTTTATCTTTACTTAAAATTCACCTCCGTACGGAGGCGTGACAAGAAGAGTTATGGCAGAAATCAAGAGCCATGGCCTTATGGTGATGAGTCTATATGCTTTCTAAAACCCGACAAAGTACCTGCAGTGCATTTAAACCCGAAGCCATATATCTAACATTTTATACGAAGCCCAAACAACGCAACAATATGTACTATAAATCTATTGTTGATTATCAACAAGTAATCTTAAGTCCTACAGATTATTGCTATTGTTCTTTAGCTTTTAGTTTTCTTTTTCTTGCTCTTTTTATGATTTTAGGGTAGTACTATTTCGTTCAAGAAGATAAACTACTTATATACAGAAGTGACATTTTAATGTAATGAGCGATTATTTAGCTGAGATAGGCATCTGCTGTAGAATCCCTAAATGGGTCGTAAGTACTTTTGTTTTACTCAACAATACAAACTCGGTACAAAGAGGCTCGAGATATAATCAAGTGCAAAGTTCTGGACTTTCAGATATGAATACGAATGCTAGCATGATTTCTCTTTTTTAGCGGCAGTCTTGCAATAAAACTAGGCTTTCATATTCGAGAACCGACCTTCCTAGCTTGTTGCCTTTTCAAGCATCTCTGAAGAACGTTTCGCAATCTTGAAAAGTATGGGATAAGGTTATTAGGCGAATAGCAATTGAAGAAAATTGTATTATGATTACATAGACAGTAGAGTTATGGGAAAGAGTCTGTCGAGTCTCTGCGGGGACCCTTCTAGCTTTTCAGCTTTTTTTTTTCTTGCAGCCAGAAAGATGGCCCTAGTTGTGTTTGTGGATTTAAATAATGGAGTGTGTATTTTTGCAGTCATTCACTGAAAGTTGAGATTTTTTTTGGCGGCTAAATGCAATATATGAAAAGGCAGCAAAACTCACGAAACTATTTATATTCAATTAATTCCTGAAACCAAACCAGGCACGATAAACAGAGTGCTAAAGCTACGCTAATCGAATAAGAAAGCATATATATCTCCTACACGCCTCAAACTTACCCGCGGTCATAGTGCTACCATTCAGCTAGAAAGAGCTTACACATAATTCGAAGCTTGCAACAAAGTGGATACAAAATCGTTGCATATACACTTTTATTCAAATAGTTATAATGCAGTCGAAGCAATTTATTAAAAAAAGTGTCTCTCCGCAGCTGGAGCTACTCATCACTGATAAGAGAATTATTAAAGATTCAGATAGTAACGAAATAAAGAAACAAGATGTTGAAGAAAGAGAAGAAGCGGCAACAGAAGAGATCTATGAAGAGAAAACAAAGAAGCAAGACGGGGACCTGACTACACCCACATTTAGACAAGGTAGGACAGAAGTCTCATCGAAAGAGCTGACAAGAGGTAGACCATCTGCATGCGTGTTTGTAGCCAGTCTTTGTTCGACGAGATCAGATGATGAATTGTGTTTAGCGGTTACTGAACATTTTCAGCAGTGGGGTGAACTTTCTACTGTGAAGGTGTTGAGAGATACCGCAAACAGACCTTATGCATTCGTCCAGTATTCTAACGACAAAGATTCCAAATTTGCAATAAGAGAGGGTCATAATTCAGTGTTAAATGGAAGAAATATTAGATGCGAAGCTGCCAAAGTAAACAGAACTTTGTTTATAACTTCCAGATCAACCATTACCGAAAGTGAAGTGAGAGAAGTTCTTGGTGACTTTGGGGAGATAGAGCAGCTAATTTGCAGTAATGAATATGGCAATATTTATACGATGAAAAAAGGGTTCAAAAATTCCAAATCATGGTTCTGCAAGTTCGTTTATAGAGACGATGCAATCAGAGCTTTTGCTAACTTGACAGAGTCCAGTACCTTGAAGGTTGAATGGACACAAAACATTGAAGAGACAGATTCGGTTGACTCTGAAAAGTTATTATCTGAAGATCATAGCAAACCACGATTCGACAAATATTCGATATTTGTCGGCCAGTTAAGTCAAAAAATCACCGAGGAAGATTTAAAAGAAAGATTTGAACTTCACGGAGAGATAGCTGATATAGTGATCATCAGGAGACCCATAAATACTATATCGTTCATAAAGTTTAAGGAAGAGGCCAGCGCTGCAAGTGCAGTAGAGAGAGAAAATCATGCAATGTTCAATGGTAAGACAATGCATGTTCAGTACCGCGAGATCCATCCATACTCAAATAAACCCACTACATCTAAATCAAGTGGAATTGCATTAGCACCACCTCCAATTAATTTAAATAGAAGACTGATTAGCTCCAGTAATGGGAAGACAAATAATACGTTTGTTACAAGAAAAGTATCAGGTGGACACAATACATTTCCTATGTCAAAACCTAAATTCAATGGCCATTCCTTTAATAATTTCAATAGAAGCAAAAACAACTACTATAAGAATGGATTTATTAATCAACAACCAAAATCATTTGGGATCAATTCAAGAGGGGGAACTTCTGCAGCAACAAAGGGTCAAAAGTCTTACAGGTTTAATGAGTTCGAATATTCCAAATCAAAAGAAAATCTTGAGCCTGGTGAATACGATGTACAAACACCACCGCAGAGCGTTCAAACATCAGATTCTCATACTATGGTCAAGAGTGGTTACTCTCCTTCAAGTGCTGTAAACAGTGAAAGATCTGATTATGTGAAACCAGGAAAGAAGGATATCCACAGTACTAAACATGAGATTGCTAATCCCAATATTCCTTACTTTTATTATATTCCAAACACTGAACTTAATGGCGGTATCGGCAATAAGTTCTCAACACCACAAAACTATTACAATCCTTACCAACATTTTTATCTCCCATATGAGCCAAATCAACATCAAGGTGGTTATAGGATTCCTTCATTTCCTATTTTTTACTCTGCAACAGGAAATGGACCAGAGTTTAATAACTTCATGCCTCTTGATAAGGAACAGCAATAAATATCACCGTACAGTTACGTATGCTGATTACTGAAATATGAATCTCATTGTTCCTGGTTTAATTCTTTGCTTATCCGCTTCTTCTTCATTCCTTTAAAGCTCATTTTATAATACCAGTGTTTCAGTCCTCTTTCCCCTACTTACAGGTTTCGTTTTTATTTGTTTTATCCTATTTCACATATCCTATTAGTTGATACGTTTGTATACCTGATGCAAAAATTTAACTATTTTCGAGTAGATTCAAAAATTATGTTCCTGTAGTAATTTGATTTATTATCACCCTTAATATATCTACGAGAAATGATTGAAGATCTCAGTTCTTTGCTTCGAGCGGTTACTGTAGATTCCAAACTAGATGGCGATGAATATTATGATAGTGTTAAGAGACAAAGACTTGAAGGTGAAAGGTTAACCAACTATAAATCAGATGGATTCATATTAGCAGAGCGTCCTTGGAAGAATGACCCGAATTACTTTAAAAGTGTATATATTTCAACACTAGCATTAATGAAAATGACAATTCATGCAAATTCAGGTGGATCTATAGAGATCATGGGAATGATGACTGGTAAGATTATGAAAAATGCAATAATCGTAATGGATGCATATCCGTTACCGGTTGAAGGAACAGAAACAAGAGTTAATGCTCAACTGGAGGGTTACGAGTTTATGGTACAATACCTTGAGCGTTCGAAGCAAAGTGGACATGAAGATAATATCGTAGGCTGGTATCATTCGCATCCAGGATATGGATGCTGGTTATCAGGAATTGATGTGGCAACTCAGAGTCTAAATCAAAACTTTCAAGACCCATACCTTGCAGTAGTCATTGATCCTGTAATGACGTCGCAAAGGGGTAAGGTGGAGATAGGAGCATTCAGAACATACCCAGACAACTACAAGCCCAAGAACGACGCAAATAGCGTGAACCGTAGTCAAAGTATCTCCGCCAATGTACCTAAATCAAAGAAGCAAGACTTTGGTCCCCATTCAGAAAAATATTATTCATTAGCTATAGAGATTTTTAAATCGGAGACTGACGAGCATGTACTAGATTTAATAATGAAGAAGGATTGGATCAGCACATTGATTGAACCAAATGAAATTCGAAAACAAAGAGACGTTAACTTAAAGCAAAGCCTTCAGAATATTATAGAAGGTTTATCAGCAAATGAACAAGAAGACCAGATTGCAATGAGAGTAGTTCGAGCGAATTTCATCAAGAAATTTAACAAGCTCTTCGAAGAAGAAGTTCAGCTCAAACTATTGCAATCGAAGCCTGGAGAAAGCTTGCAGGCAAGTGAAATAAGCTCCTCAGCTGATGAAGATCTAGATGAAGATGACGAAGACGATGCTACTAGGTCTGGCTCGGAAGAGTCTACTAAAGACAGGCTGGATATGTCAGATGACGAAGTATCAATGGATAGTACGAGTGTGAACAAAGGCGAAGAAACTCTGGACCGCAAGAAAGAATTCTCATTCGATGTGAATCCTGATGATCAAAAAAGAACTTCATATTCATCTTCTGAGATGACTAATCAATCCAAAAATGAAGCCTTTGCATCAAGAAAAACCTCCAGGGAATCCGCGTACCGTGCTCGTTTCGAGAGCAGGCAGAGAGCAGGTCTAAAAAAACACTCCAACGTTAGGGCTGCAGATGTGCTTAAGAAGGCATCAACCTTAAGTTTGATGTCTGCCGAAGATGATATCCATAGCCTAATTGCGCTAGACCTTCAAGAAAAAATTTTTTTATAGAAATACGGAGCTTGTTTAGTTATTTATATTTATCTCACATTCAAATTTCATCGCGATAGAAAAAGAAATCATCAACACAATCTTCTTTTCTCATCTCTCGAGCCACGAAAATCGACGTGAAATTATCTTTGCGGTCAAAAGTGGATTCCCTTATCTCAAGTCTTAAAAAAAAAAAGACTATATAAAGTCACCACAAGCTTGACTGATACGTTAGCCATATAATAACTGCATCCGCAATAACTGCTATTTAAGAGTGATACACCTTGAGTTAGAATTTTAAGTTATCTTTTTTTTTTTGTGTCAAATATTTAAGAGGAGAGAGAAGCATCTGGATTTTGCTCCTTTGCTCTAACAACTAAGGCATGACATCTCAACCATCGGTGACAAACAGAGTAGATCCTTTTGTTGACAGAATTATATCAAACCCGTTATCCTTCAAACCAGCCAAACAACCTGAAAGCGACCAAGCAGAAAATCTTAAAGGGTTCATTCGTTTGAATAAAAATTCGGCTAAAATATCAAATAGCAGCGACACCGGTGCTTTAAATACAAAGGAACACAATCTGCTTATATCAAAGGAAGAAGATATGAAACCGCGACCAAGGTCAATGGCAGAAGCGGTGGCTGCTTACACTGGGAAAAAGTTTCTTTCCAAAAGAGAAAGGGAGGTGGGTCGTAATGAGAGAAAGGAACACTTGTTAGATAGTGATCTAGAACTTCAAAATGAAGAAGATTTTGGGGAGTCTGAAGACGACTTATCAGTTAAAAGTGAATCTGACTCATTCTCAGACTCTAACTATGAATCGGCATCAGAATACCCTGTTGAAAGGACTGAGCCCATAAAAAATCAAGTCAAAGACGAAAGCCCCAGTCCTGGCCTTGATAGCGAGGATGAGGATGACGATGATTTTGATGACGACGATTCAGATAGCAGTGAGAGTGACAGTGTAGCCAGTTATTCTTCTAGTGATTCAAAAATATCAGACGATTCTGAAAACTTGAAAATTCAATTAAAAGAAGAGGCTAAAGTACCATTAGCCAAAAAACCTGTTGATGAGATAAAGCAGAGCATTTCATCCGAGAAGGAAGAATCTACACCCCCTACTTCGCCCGAAGACGAGAGCCGCAAAGTACCCGAAAAGTCAACAGAATGTACGTATACTGCGCCTTTGAGTCTGTTTTATATGATTAACGAGGTGAATAATGACCGTGGGTCTAACGAATCTAAGAGAATATATAAAAGCTGGCGAGAATTTTCCAAGAGAAAGCCCGTTGGATTACTTAATAATGGCGTTACTTGTTATATGAATTCTGCTATTCAATCTTTGATACATATTCCAGCTTTACAACATTATTTAAATGATATAAATGCAGGGAAATATGACAAAACATTGAAAACTAGATCGGTATCCCATATATTGGCCGAATTATCAAGGCGCATGTGGGGTCTTGATGACGGAAAGAATAAGAATAAGCCATCTAAATATGTCAATCCCAAAAGAATTATTCAAAGGCTAGGTGATATCAATTGCATGATGAGCGAGTGGCAACAAGAAGACTCTCATGAATATTTGATGTCCTTAATGTCTAGATTGCAAGAGGACTCGACTCCAAAAGGTGTAAAATTGAATCAATCGATACTTTATGACATATTTGGAGGCTTGCTAAATCAAAAGGTGACGTGCTCGAATTGTTCCAATGTGTCAGAAACAAAACAAGAATTTTATGATTTATCACTTGGCCTAAATAAAAGGCGATCGAGCGGTTCAAATAGGTATTCTATCGAGAAGTCAATGGATGATTTCTTTTCTAGCGAGGTAATTAAGCCTGAACGAAGTGAAAGAAATTCTGGCTATTTCTGCGAGACTTGCGAAAAGAATACTACTGCAGCTAAGATAAGCACAATTGACAGATCACCGGAGACCTTGATTGTACACTTAAAGAGATTTAAGTTTGATGGAAACTCCTCCTCTAAATTGAAGCAATCCATTTCATATTCGAATCATCTTGATTTGTCAAAATATACTACCAAAAATGAACCCACCATGTACAAACTTATATCAGTCATTGTGCATGAGGGTCGATCATTGTCGTCTGGACACTATATATCTCATTGCCTACAACCAGATGGCACTTGGTCGACTTACGATGATGAGTACATCAATAAAATTAATGAAAGAGAAGCTTTGACTGACCCATCTGCGTATGTATTAGTTTACACTAAATTAACTCCAAAGTTCAGTGAAGACAGAAAGAGAGCTTATTCTACTGAAGCCAGCATTCAAGCGTCTAAGAAGAAAAAGCGAGAATGAATATTATTCTGGCATTTTATAAGACCAAATAGACATACAATTAATGAAGATCATTTATCGTATAAACTTATATGTATTTGACAAGACAATAACAATATATCTTCCATTCAAATAACCAAATTATATATATCAAGATAGTAAAAACCTAATTCAAGACTGTACCCCACTTTATCCTGACCACAACGAACATTAGTGGTAAACCCAAAGGTATAAAAAGTGAAAAAAAAAGGGAATGAAGTAACAAAAAATGAAAATCCCTGACCAACCATCCGCCAAAAAAATCTAACCACAATTAAACGACCTTAAAAAGACCCCAGAATATGAGTAACCAAATAAAAAAAAAATAAAATAAGAAGAAAGCTGTGGCTAATTTGAAGCTCACTCGCTTAATACTGTTTGGTAGATATCAAACATCAACAATAACATCTTCCTTATCATCATCAAACTCATCCTTATCGATACCCTGAAATCTTAAGGTACTTAAAAAAGAACCGTTATGTATATCTCTGAAATCAATTGAATTTGGTCTCCTTATAGGAAGTTTAGACTTTTCATCAAGTCCTCTGTTGCCTATGAACTTGAAGTGACCAAGAGGGGGAGAGTTGGTCGATACAGAACTAATGGACGAGCTTGCTGAAGCCGTTGAATTTGCACTCGACAGGTGTCTCCTATTGTATAACTTCTTAGCTTGCTCAAGTAAGACATCTGTCGAAGAATTATTAGGAATGAACTTTATATAATATTTTTCGATCACAAACTTTCCCTCCTTATAAGACTCTTCGTAAGAAAATGACTTCTTATAAGTCCACCCCACTTGAACCTTACATTGGTGACAACGAACTTTGTTTATTAAATAAACCCCCGTCTTCATCTTTGTTTCCTCCACTGTTGGATCAGCATCATAATTAATTAAATTGTCCACCAAATAGGCACTTCCACTTGCACCGCTAAACTGATCTGATACTATTAAGACTGACAAACATAAATGCGAGGAGCATTTTTTGCAGACCATAATTTGAGTGTCTGAAGACTCATACATGGAACTCTCAAAGAATTCCGAAAACTTCAATCCCATGTCCACTCTTCGTACCACTAAGGCAAAATTTAATTGTTATGACGGATCACTATTAGGGGTAGCGCTGTAGCAATCCACCCCGTATCTCTGTCCTATAATATAATTAGTCAGATATTTCAGTACTGAACTGAACCTGTGACTAGCGTTTGTGAATATCAAGATTCTACTACTTCAACTATTGCCTAGCTGTCGTATAGACTTAGTACTTTACTTCTCTTAATCTCCCTGCGGCGACAATTTTAAAAAAGTGGGTTTTTATAATTGGGTCACTTTTTGAGGTTTGATAAGACAGGTTTTACATATTATCTCGGTTTTTACAAGTTTATGAAGGACAATTTGAATGTTATATTTTACTATTTACAGTATTTACCATTTAAAATATGGACGGACTTTGAAGTTCAATGGTTCATTATTTAAAAACATTCTGGGCTTTTCAAGTGTCTTCTTCTGTTGAAGCTCCCAAGCTCTACGTAACTTTGTTTGCTCAGTTCTGAGAATGGCCTTCAAATGAATATATGGATGCTCTATGATACCCATTCTTCCTCTCCCTTTTATATCAACTCTCTTTCGCCAGCTACCATCAGAGCCTACCCAAAGCGATTGAATATAAAGCTCATCCTCATTTAACTTTGAAAGCCTGGCTTGTTCTAGACCAGACTTCAAAAACTTCTCCATTTCAGTTGCCATTTTCTTAGGGTTGAAATGAAGCTGATTTATAGCATTTTTGACCTTATATTTTCTTATAAACCTAGCGACTAGATTGGCTTTCTTAACCGATGATTTAATTCTGAAAGACTGAAGATAAATGGAAGGTTCCAAGAAATCGATCTCTCGTTCTGTCAAAGAAAGTCTGTAAGTCTTTTTACTATCTGGATCCTTCACAATCTGGTTATTCTTGTAAAAGCCATTTTGGGAAACGTTTACTTCAAACAATTTCCTTTTCAAGGGTGTGATATATTTATCAATTGAAATTTGATTCTTTTTGGATTCATCCAAATAGTATTCTTGCAAGGTCCTATCATTCGCTGGGAAATTTTCTGAAGCTTCTAAATGCTGTTCTGTTTCTTTCACATTACTTTCATTTTCTTTGGCCTTCGTTAAGTCACCGAAAATACTGTTTTCGTTCCTCAACGTCCTTGCCGACAGAAATAGTCTCACCGAGTTTGTTTTCAAAAAAGGTTTTGGAAATGCAGCTTTCACAACATGAATTGCATATACCTTAAGAAACATCTCGCAAGCTGATCAAGACTCTCCTTTTACTTTAACAAACCTACTGATAGCTTTTAAACAGTGGGCTTTCTTTTTAAAAAATTTTTGACCTCGAACAGCGTAATGTACGGCATATAATGTGTAACGACAAACACAGACTAAACACACCTACAATAAATAATAAGATAACATTTAGTTTCTAATGACAGTACTTGTATATATAAGCATAAGAACACTGATTATGCAAAGATAGAAATATTATTTTCTTTTATTGGGAATGTTTGAAATAGGCTAATCAATTTAGAATAAAGAACTTATTGAATTGTGATTCTCGGTTCTTTAGTCATCATAACCCTTCAAGTTCTTGTCTCTGGGCCCATTTGGCAATGGGTATACCCTAGGAATTGGCTCGTGGTCGCCGTATAAAAACTTTCTTCTTAATGGAGTTGCAATCAACAATAAAGGTGCCGACAAACCTAAACCTATTGCCCAAAAGAAATGAGGTTTCGTATGAGCATGATAGCGTAACCACTAAAGTATGTTAGTAAGAGTTGTTTCTTGTACACTTTATTTATGAGCCTTCATAATCGCTGATATCTTGTTCACTTTAAATTGTTCGATAAATCTAGATTACTCTTAAACAAAACATGAAAGCGAAAAGATATGCTGAGAGCCATAATTTGAACAAACTTGCGAGGGGAGCCTTAGCACTCTTCATCCAATCGGACTAGCAATTCGAAATCTCATTTAATGACGATAATTCCCTTTATTTGATATACGTACCCTTATAGGCTGAGAATAGTAAACTGGGTAATCTCCCCAAACTTTATCAGATGCTCCCATGTTGACAGTTTCCTCTATTTCGTATTAATATTCTTAAATAACTGTTTTAAGTATCTTGTCGATAACTCTACCGTAGGCACATCTTTATTTCGTTTAATTGGACAAAAAAAAGTAATCGAAATATTAAACCTGCATATACATACACACTCTATATACGAATAGTAATCAGCTACAAGACGCAACATATAATTATAAGTATTTCCTTACATTGTCCACAAAAGACCTAAGCTGTTAATCGCTTACGATTTGTTCTTGCTCGATCTTTTCTTGCTGCTTGATTTCGTTTGAGATTTTTCAGCACCCGAAGAGGTAGAATCAGCAGTTTCTTTAGTTTTAGCCTCTTTTTGACTTTTGGCTTCTTCCGCAGCTTGTTGCTCATAAAATTCATCTCTGATCTTTCTGTTGTACCATTCAGCGTAATACAATCCTCCTTGCAAAACTAAGACCCCAACCAAAACAACAATAATCATTACCTCTGAAGCTGCCATTACATTGATTCCAGTATTTCTATCAACTTCGCCCCAGTCACCTGTAATACACGAGTTCACCCCAATTCTCAAATTGGTCAAATATATGATGATAGCTACCACATATAAACCCAAAGAAAAATATTCAAAATATTTAGCATCTTCCTCAGGTTTGTAAAGCTTAATAAAAGACCCAATTAACCCTAGAAGCATAACAAAATGAAACACATAATGGACGTACATAGGTGAGTTTCCCCAAATAGTATAATGTGCCAAAGAGATGTCAAATCCATTAGGATCATACCTCCATAATGTGTTCAAGTCATATGGCCATTGGGCATATATGACGCCTAATCCAAAGGATGTAGCTCCGATTAACAAGCCTGATCCAATTGGAACCAAATCTCGATAAGTCATTGTGAAATATAATAAATCTAAATGATACTGCTGTCCTTAATCCGTAAAGTCAAAGAAATTTTATTAGATATGGTCGATATATCACGTGATTGTTGTGAAAGAAGATAGTTGGTCCGCCTGAATGATAACTATTATTACTCAAATGTCAAGAACTCATGCCACAAATAATGGATACTAGTTGCTTTTCCTTGATGAATGCTTTGCATTTTCAGAGTTTTGTCCATGAGTTTCATGTTACAGTAATATTTGCGATCCTGCAATAATAATCTCTAATCTGCATGAGGTAACGGCAACACATATTTAATTTCAAAGGTTGTAATCCCAAAATTAGACTGTTAAAAAGCGTATCCATTTCGAGAACTAGAGTTTAGTTAGCTATGAGAAGGAGCCCACACAATTTCACGTAAAAGAAACACTTCACAAAGATGAATGCGACAATTTGATGAAATGTCGTCTTTTGTCGCAATCAGTTTTCACCACTTTGGAATATCTAGATAATCCAGCCCTCTTTAGATTAAACTGCAATCGTTTCAAGTGTGGAGGCTTTAGTGGGGACTCTAGAATATTTAAGTTCTTAGGAGTTACAGAAAATTTACAAAGTGCGATACAAGGACTTCCTCGTCAGCATAGGATTAATTTGAGGGCAGTTTAATTAGCACATATAATGAGAAGCATTAAATCAGTAGTTGTTGGGGATGGTGGAGTAGGTAAAACATGCTTATTAATCTCATATACAACTAACACATTTCCAAGTGACTATATTCCAACAGTGTTTGATAACTATTCTGCGTCTATTATGATAGACGGGGAACCTATCAAGCTAGGTCTATGGGATACTGCAGGACAAGCCGAATACGACAGACTAAGACCGTTATCTTATCCTCAAACTGAAATCTTTTTATGTTGCTTTTCAGTTGTTAATCCAGACTCATTTGCTAATGTCAAGGCAAAATGGATACCTGAAATAATGCATCATTCTCCGAAAGATGTTTTGATTATACTAATAGGAACGAAAATTGACTTAAGAGAAGATCCTGCGGCAGCAGAAGAATTAGCTCAGCAGCACATTAAGCCAATAACTACTCAACAAGGCAATAAGTTAGCAAAAGAAATTGGAGCTTTAAAATATATGGAATGTTCAGCTTGCACTCAAGTTGGGGTGAAAGAAATATTCGACTACGCAATTAGGTCTGTTTTAAATCCTCCCAAAAGTAATGATTATGTCGTTAAGAACGAGAAGCCGAAAAGCGGTCCTTCGGGAACCCCTACAGCTGGTGTATCGCCTGTAAAGAAAAAAGTTAAAAGAGCTAAAAAATGTACTATCTTATAGATACGATTTCATCAATCTACATTTTGTAACTTTTTAACTTTAATCTTTTTTCGCCACTTGTTAATTATAAAGGATAATGGTCTTAGACTAAAGATGGTATAGTCAGTTTGAATGTATTACTAATTTAAGACAAATATTTATAGTGTATAGACGATCTAATCAAAAGCACGTAAATAGATCAATTGACTATCTTATTAATGCTGCTCTGGATGGATGTACAACAGATGGCGAGTCTGAATTATTTGTTGGAGAGTTTGGGCTTTCATTATTATTTGGCTGCTTCTTTTTGACTTTCTGATTCAACTCCAGGTAAACATTTTCATTCTTCTTCTTTAATTTCGTTTTTCTGTTCTCTGAATTTCCACCTCCACCAACTGTCAACTCAACATTTATCTTTCTTCCGTTAATCAAAGTATGATGTAATTTTAATGCAAGGTCCATTTTTTTCTGAATCCCCTCCGATTCTTTATCAAATTCAACAAATGCAATACCTTTATCTTGTCTGATTCGTATTTTATCAGGTGCAGCCTTCTTAAAGTGCTTTAAAAGCTCATCTTCAGTTACTTTATAAGGCAAATTACCTACAAATATAATAAATCTAGCCCCACTAGAGGACAGAGACTTGTTTTTCTTTCCCCTTCTTGTTTTCCTTTTCTTTTTAGGTTCTTGCGGTTCATCCTTTGATTCTTCATCCCGTTCTCTCTTTTTGGTTTTTTCTTCTTCCCTTTCTTCCTTAGACTTATTCTGCTTGAACTTCTGAGCCTTCTTCTCCCTTTTGGAGATACCTTTGTCCGTTGACATCTTAGATAATTTTATGATCTTCAAACCTGAATAGTCATTCCATCTACTTTTCGTGAAAAAACGTTGTTCGCACCTGGCGAGCTCATCGCTCTATCATACTTGTTAACTTGACTGGACAAAGAAATATTTTGGATATGGCATTAAACGACAAAATAAAGATAGACATCAGGACGAAGCCCACTCCCTCAACTGTATCGAGGTCGAGATCTCCTCTGCCACATGTGCATTTATTCTCACTGGCTAGTTACAGAGAAAGATCCCCAGACACATTGCAAGAATCTGAAATTGAACGACAAAACAATACCTTGAATACCCTGACCTCAAATGAAAAGGGTCTTGATCAATCATCTGAGGACCAAAATGCTCGAGGTAGATCAAGAGATAGAACGTCGATTCCTGTGGTAGAGGAACTATGTGATAATGATGAAATGATTAGTTTAATGGGATTTGGTGGGTTTGGGACTACGAAGGGAAAGCATGTTAAGTCAACGAAAGGGGGAGGTGCTAAGAGTGATACGAAGCCAGAATACAGACAATATATGAACAGAACAAAAGGTTTCAATAGACCACTTTCGCCAAAAAGGAAATAAAAGATAATTTTATTCTATAAAGTACTTAACAACTTTTTGTGTTCCTCGTACAATTCTTGGTGCTTCACTCTTAAGTCCGTGTAGGCTTTTGAGAGCTTCTTCATCTTCTCTTCAAGCTGGGGTGTATCTTCCGCATTATTGTCGGCCATAACTTTGACAGATGAATCAATTGTCGACAAATTTTTGAATTCCAATTCTTCTTTTGTTAATTTCAGGATCCAATCTTCAAATTCATTGTTGTCTTCATTCTTTGGAAGCTCCATGTATAGGAAATGATCAGAAGGCTCAGGATCGACTAGTATTCTTTTAAACTGGGGTATGAGTCTATGCCTCTTGTCAGTAACACCGTTCGCCGCTGCTACGGTCTCAGATGGGCAAACATAAGCAATAAGTTGGGATATCGGTGCAGTACAAGGCTCGAATGATTTTATCACTTGCTTGGTAACAATGTCTGAAGCAATGACTCTTCCTGCAGTGTCACCCGAAATCATGTTAGTGCCATCTAAAGATATCGTAATTTTTGTTGGTGCTATTTGCTTGTTTGTGCTGCTTGTGGAAGAATTATCAGCTTGTTGATGGTGGGTAAAGGAATTCTTTAATTCAGTATCGTTATCGAGTGTTACAATTTTGCTATTGCCGCCAATGCTTTCTAAAACGGAGGTATTGGGATTGATTTGATAAAGCGGTATCATTCTAATTGTTCCATTCAGTAGACCAACGTATAAGGCTCTATTCGCAGGATCTTTAGCAATGCAGTTTATGCAATCAGGCAATATGAAAGTAGTTAGAATATTCTTTGACATTATATCATAAATCCTTAAGGTACCGTCATTTGATGCAGTATATAATCTTAAATCATTAATAATTCCAGAATCTGAGAACAATAAATCAGCGATCGGTAACGTGTGATCATTGAACAAAGCAAACGGTTTTGAGCTGACCGTGGTATCTGTAGAGCCGTAGATGGAAACTAAGTCAAGAACTCGCCATATCATACACCTCGCGTCCAATCCACCAGTGGCTAAGAACGTCCCACATTCAGAAAACTTGAGTACAGATATCCCTTGGTAATGCGCTTCTTTTACACATAGCAAATTCCCTGAAGCTAGCTCCCAAATATATAGCTTGCCACTTTTCGCCCCACCTGCTAGTAGCCAAGGTATTCTGTAGCGAGGTACACTTCTGTTCGAATGGTGTAATCCAGATGTAGGCTGATGACATAAAGCAAGCGCATCTAGTTGCTCTGGAACAGGAATTCTTTGGTCGGGACTCTCCTTTCCCCATGAGTATACATTTATCAATGCTTTGTTGGGACTGGCGACGAATAATCTCTCTCCCAAGCCTACGCCTGTCAAAGCTGCTCCATTCTGTGAGCAGTCTGCATTTCTAAACGTAGCATGGATTTGTGAATTTGGCAATGAAGCAGACATGCCAAATGAGCCCTTTGAATGCTTATCATTAGGGTCTCCCTCTGATATATAAAAGATAGATTCTTCCATTCCTTACTATATTAATACAAGCTTGAATACCTTGAAACTAGATCTCTTCAGAAAAGTATTTCTTATATCGATGAGCTCTCTGTGCAGTGTTGAACTATAAAGAAAAAAACCTCGACACGTATAAACTATTTATAATGATAGCACGGGAAAGAAAAGACGCAAGGAAAGATGCCAGTTGACATCCTAGCAAGTATATTTTTTGATGGTCCTCAAGTTGTGCCTGGCTGGGATTATATTAAAAAATATGGTCCAGTTTTACTCACTCTAGGTGGTTTAAAATACTACTTTGGTGGTGCCTCCAACAGTTGGGAGAGAGATATGCACGGGAAGGTATATATGATCACAGGTGGCACATCTGGATTAGGTGCATCACTTGCCTATGAGTTGGCTAGCAAAGGCGCCCAGATCATTTTGTTATCAAAATCGACGAAAGATTCGTGGTTAGTGGAATTTATCGATGATTTAAGAGAAAAGACGGATAATTTTATGATCTATGCTGAAGAATGTGACTTAAGCTCACTTTATTCGGTAAGAAAGTTTGCCACAAAGTGGCTAGATAACCAACCGCCAAGACGGTTGGATGGTGTAATCTGTTGCGCCGCCGATGCTATTCCATTTGGCAAAAAGAGACAAGCCACCCAGGATGGTGTTGAGAGACAAATTGGAATCAATTATTTGGGGCATTATCATTTATTAGCCCTTCTTGGACCTTGCCTTAGGTCACAGCCTCCAGATAGAGATGTTAGAATCGCTATTGCAACTTGTTCTTCACAATCAATAGGAGATATTGATTTAGATGATTTGCTCTGGGAATCCAGGAGATATCCTTCGCGTAGTCCTCTCAAGGTTTATGGAACATCCAAGCTATTATTAGGTTTATTTGCTAAAGAATACCAGAGACAAATAGATTGTTATGAAAGGAAAGATAAGGCACCATGTAATGTTAAAATTAACATGGTTAATCCTGGAGTCATGAGAACTCCCTCCACTAGAAGATATATATCCATGGGATCTATAATTGGCCTTTTTATTTATCTTTTGTTACTCCCTATATGGTTCTTGTTTCTCAAAAGTCCCCGTCAAGGTGCTCAATCATTTTTATTTGTGCTTTCAGCTCCTATTATTGCTAAAATTGGGGGCGGGAATTTGGTTCAGGAATGTAAGATACTACAAAGGACTAGGACGGAATATCAAGACGAAGAACTACAAAAATCTATTTTTCAAAAGACAGAAGAATTAATTTTAAGCATAGAAAAGAAATCCGCCATTGAAAGAAAAAAGTTAGAAAAGTTGAGAGAACTGCAAGCCTCAAGAGAGCAAAAAAGAAAAGAAAAGGAAGAAGAAAGTGCTAAAAGGAGAGCTAATATTTATGAGAAGCCTGAATCTCCTGAAGAACTTGAGGCAAAATTGAGCATCTTGAGAAAGCTGATAGGGGTTCTGTCCAACTCTGGTGTACATGAACCACCTTTGTTTCCTGGTGAAAATACAGCTGAATCGGAAACTTCCGGCGCGAAATCTCAAAATAAAGTCAAGCCAAAGAAGCTGAAGTCCTCTAAGAAGGGTTCAAGCAAGAAAAACTAGCTCTATTTGTCATATATGTTGACATTTTATCTTGTGCCCCATTCGATAATAAGTAGAAATTTCGTACTTAATTAAACTAGCATGTCCTTTTTTTTTCAACTTAAGTATTGCTCAAAATCAACGCATTTTATTTACGGCTGCCGGTTATCCCTCTTAAATGACATTCATTATGTTGTCTTTAAAGTAGTCTCTTTTGAACCCTTTATCAGGTCGGCAAGAGTTTCCTTTATCGTGTCACGTGCTTATCGGTGTCTCTCGATTTTCATTGATTGACTCGAGGGAACTGATTTCTTCGCCTAATCCCTCAAAAGACGCAAGCGAGTTTCAACGAAGGTCATACTCAATTTACAGTATACAAAAAGGATCCGACATAGTTGACGTAATACGTATAATTAGGACGATAAGCTCTTGAATCCTTCTACACCTCAATACCGTGAATTAGATACTTTAAATCTAGTTTTCTCACATATTGGCAAGTACATTACTTGGTGATGGATTTAGAGAAGCCTGACTTGAAGGGCGCGAATAAAGGGAGGATTCCCACGAGTTCATTGACGAGACTATTGAATGAGTCAAGCTCCAATACTAGTACTCCAAGAGCTACCACGCCAACTCCGAAGGAAGATTCAAGCGACCTGGACTCGGGGATTACTGTTACTCCGCTAGGGGCAAAGGGTCTCAATAGGAATGGTCGTCCAGGATCCCTTGAAGGCGTATCTCATTTAACTATCAATGATAGTGATCTGCCTGCGGCCGACCCCGGTAGCACCTCCGAGTCTACCTTGAAAGCTCAACCTAAAGTCATTAGTGGATTTGATTCTTCATCAGTTCCGCAACCAATACCTGGCTCTCCAAGGACTCCAGGAGACAAATCAATGGCCAACTCTAATGCAAATTCGTACCAATTTAAAGACGCAGCGGTCAAGCCTCCTTCGGAGAGTCCTAGGTATATCAGAGCAAACTCTACTCACTCCTTATTTTTGGGCTCTGGAGGGAGTGACAACCTTTCAACTTCAATTCCATATAGTGCACCAGGCGGAAAGAGCAATCTGTCTATTTCGCACAATAGTCATTCTAGCGCAACGCTTTCGAATCTGTTCAATAACGAATGTGCATCACACATTCCAAACTTGCCAAATGGTCAACATATCTCGTCTATTCACATTCAATCTCCTCAAGTGAGTTCTTCTTCGATCGAACCTCGATTCGTTATTTCAAAACAAAGAGTAGCGCAAGCACAAGCTGCTCAGGCTGCGGCAAGCTTGAGCTCTTCTCAGAGATCAAATTCTCAATCGGGCTTGTCTTATCTTTTTTCTTCTAAACACAGACATTCTTCAAAGGGATCATCTACTGATTTAGGGTCATTATATAATAACTCCTACCAAGATCAAGCGCTTCAAAGTTGTTCTCCCTCATCTGTCTCGTCGGCCGAATCAGCTGGCTCGGTTGCATTCGCTTCTCAGTCAAGGCACAATTCAATGGCTAATTTGAAAAGATTTTTCAAAAAAAGTCCAACTCCTCATTCTCCCACCACTCCGGTGTCAAATTTATCAGCTTCATTGCGCTCAGTTGGAGCCAACAGTAATAGTGGTGCTACTACTCCTGGCAGTGGATCCTTCCAATCGGGTTCATATGGACAGCCGATAACGGCCTCTTCATCGAATGCTTCCTTTTCCCAGTCACCAGGTAATTTTACACCTGGGTCTCATTCTATCAGCAGAACATCTACATTGCAGAATAAAATCAACTACCAAGAAAGAAGGGGTTCGGTAGCTAACGTAATTAACCAGCAACAACAGTTACCATTTTCTAAAAGGTATGGAAAATTTGGAGAAAGTTTGGGAGCGGGTGCTGGTGGAGCTGTCAAACTAGTAACAAGATTATCAGATAAAAAAGTCTTCGCCGTTAAAGAATTCAGAAGTAAATATCAAAATGAGTCAAAGAGGGACTATGCAAAGAAAATCACCGGAGAGTATTGTATAGGATCAACTTTGAAGCACCCTAACATTGTCGAAACAGTGGAAATTTGTTACGAAAATGAAAGGATTTTACAAGTGATGGAGTATTGCGATTATGATTTGTTTGCAATCGTCATGTCTAATCAAATGTCAAGAGAGGAGATCAATTGCTGCTTCAAACAGGTCTTAAATGGGATTCACTATTTACATTCGTTGGGATTGGCTCATAGAGACTTGAAGTTAGACAATTGTGTTATTGATAAAAGAGGTATCGTTAAAATAATTGATTTTGGCTCTGCTGTTGTATTTTCTTACCCCTTTTCTAAAACTTTAATCGAAGCACTGGGTATCGTTGGCTCGGACCCTTATCTCGCGCCTGAGGTATGTGTGTTCAATAAGTACGACCCTCGACCAGTGGACATTTGGTCCGTTGCTATCATATATTGTTGTATGATGTTAAAAAAGTTCCCGTGGAAAGTTCCAAAATTCACTGATAATAGTTTCAAATTATTTGCGACCAGAGGAGAGGGTCTTACGCTTAGCGAAATGCTTGTGAAGACTCCTCCAGACTGCTTTTCGACGGGTTTAGATAGCATTCAAGAGGCTAGTGTCGCGGAGCCAGATCAGCAGTCGGGATCAGCCCCAGGCAATGGAGAAGGAAAACTGCACACATCTAATGAAACTGGACCTGGTAGGTTGCTACTTGCTTTGCCAGAGGATTGCCGCTCATTGATTGGAAAGATGGTTGAAATGGCCCCTGCATGTCGTATCACCATAGATGAATGCTTTAATGACGAATGGCTTCAATCAGTAAATATGTGTACTGTGATAGAGACTCCAAATGAATCCTCTGAGCTTATTAAATGCGATGATCATGTTCATACTGAAGTGAGTCAGGCAATGGCTCATATTGCTGCGTTTGAAAAAAATAAGAGGAAGGGTTAATCACTTGTATTATAAACCTTTCCACTTCGTTCCGGGCACTCTAATAAAGTCATTGATAGAACCAACCTAATATAATTTTATTACCAGTTGTCAAGTATTATAACTGCATATTCAGAAATCCGGTAGTCTACAAAGGTACAAAAACTCAGACTATTCTGATTATTCGTTTTTGATCTTTTTTCCGTTCCATTAGTTTCTTCATTATATTAAGAATGTATATACATGATTTATCTATTGTAGTTGTACTTTTATCGTGCTAATTTATGGAACAATGCGTACACCGATCACTTCAGCCGTCAGTATTATAGCACCACAAATCGATTGAAGATCAAGTTCCTTGTGTCTCTCGTCTGTCTTCTTAATTTTCGCAATTTCATAGACATGCTTCAAGGATATCTCTCCAACATGATTATGAACTGGTTTGTCAGCACCTTTTGAAGCCTGAGCTGCCTTCAATAATAGCCACGAAGTAGGTGGAGATTTCATTTCAAATGTGAATGTCCTGTCTGGTTTCACTGTGAGTAAACAAGGAATAGGAGTGCCTGGTTGAAAATGTCCTGTCCTCGCGTTAAATTCTTTACAAAAGTCAATGGCTTTTACCCCTTTTGAACCAAGGGCTGGTCCCACAGGAGGAGCAGGAGCTGCTTGTCCCGCTCCAACTATAAGCTTAACCATAACACTCTTTGCTGACCTTGCTGACATAATACTACGTTTAGCTTAATGGAAGTCTTCAAACTACAAGTTGAATTTTGCTCAAAAAAAAACGATATAAAAAAAATCCACAGTCACATGATCAATTGATATTCTGCCTCAAAGTCTTATACTAAAAGACCAAAACAGATTAATAGACCCGAGCAGTCTTGACTTGTTGTTGAAGTTCGTGGGGCACATTCTCATCTAAAAATTTTATCAAAGTTTTAAAACACTAGTAGCAGAGTACTTTGTTGTGATTTTCTTGTAGCCAAGCTCATTGCTATTGAACTATGTAAAGTCTATGCTTTTTAGCATGCTTTGTAGATTAAAAAGATATCTCGAATCACAATGTTGCAATATTGGAAAAGCGGATGCCCTTGTTTCGAATACGTTTAAAGTACAATGTTAGTGCTGGTTTGTACTCTAACTTTGGCTCTTCGCAGATATCGAAAATTGAAAATTTAAAACGAAGCTCAATATCTTTTAGCACAACCATGTTAAAGACGTTCCCATTAAACTCAAGGGCGAAAACTACAGCTCTCAAGCAACCAAAGGAGTTATTTTCATTCGCAAGAGATGAGCAAGGAGAGTATGTGCTCGACGAAGTTAAAGAAAAACATTTATCTTATTATTATTTTCCAGATTCATACGTTGAGAAGCAAATTGATTTAGCAGCAGGGTTCTCTCAATTCAAGAAGATACCGGAAGAGGATAACTTGGGTGATTTTGATGCTTATTTAAGAGCAATAATGAATTATGAAAGGCAAGAGAATGAAAATAAGAAGTTGAATGTTGACATAGTGACATTTAGAGGCTTGATGACAAAGATTTTAGCGCTTCCATATAATCTCAAAGACCCTATAGATCTTAACATCGTTGCCTTTGATGGACAGCTATTTATTAAGGCTGATGAGGAAATCGAACTTCGAAGGAGACAACAGCAACAACAGTCTCAATCAGGAGACCTGCAACAATATGATTATTCAAGACGATGTGAATACAGTGGTTATAAGTTCGAGACCATCGCTACTCTTCCTAAACCGTGGGCAGAATGTTCGAGGCAGATGATTGAAAGTAGAACTAAGAAACAAGTAAGCAACTATCAACAGTATTTGTCGGTCGTGAAAACAGGCATTGGAAAAGTGAAGCTTTTGGTTGCAGGGGAAGTTGACTGTTTGTGGGACTACATACCAGAGGATAATAAGGATATTCTACCACATTACGTAGAATTGAAGACTAGTAGAGCTTTGGAAAATCCTTCCCATATTGTCAATTTTCAAAAGAAACTTTTTAAAACCTGGGCACAGAGTTTCTTGTTAGGAGTCAGAAAAATAATATATGGCTTTAGAGATGATAATCTTATCCTTCGCAGCGTAGAGATTTATCAAACAGATGAGATACCAATTCTTATCAAAGATAACCCTGTTAAAGAACAAGACAAGCATGAAAGTATAAACTGCATGAATGCATTAAAATGGTACGGCGCCGTCATAGAATGGATACAACAATCCGTACCTATCGACGATGAATCAAAAGCATACAGATTAAGCTATGACCCAGGTTCTAGATCTTTTGCACTTCATGAATTGCTTACCGATGAAAACAAACGCTTAAGAAATGGAGGAATTTTGACTCAAGAGTTCAAGGATTGGAGAAATGCTATTAAATCTTAGGGGTACTCGCCTGTTTTTTCAAAGAAAAGAAGAGTAACGCAAACGTCTTGAGTAATAAACAAGGGTATTATACGTTGATGAGGACCATCTTTCAACAAAATTCTGAGCGTTCTATTGGGCTGGATTCTGTTTTACGACAGTTTAATTAAGCGACTATATGGTCCTTTAATATTCTGTAATAAATTTGCAACATTTATTTTATGGTAATTGTCACGTCTTTTTTGCATTCATGGTTTGTTTGTTAGTGCATTTGGCACTGTAATATATAGAGGCGAGATGAGGTTGTTCACTTTTGTTAAGTTATACAATTATGTTGACTCCAAATTAGTATCTGGTCACAAACATCACGGATTCAAGGTAATATCCAATAAAAGCGTTTCTAAAGATTGCTAAGAACATGGTTTGTTACTTTTATGTAGGGTCATTATAAGAAAAGAATATACGCAATTTTGCAACCATCTTCTGTTACACTGTAGTTCGTCACTTCCTTGAAATACTTACAAAATATTTCAATGTTCCAAAGAAATAAGTTGTACACAACGAAACAAATTAGATTCGAATTTTTTCTTCGGATATTTATTACTCAATATACTGTAACCGCAACAGAAAGAGACAGGAAAAAGGACGAAAAAGCGAAGAACTAATTGACATTCCGTGGAATTTTAAGCATCGCTATTCAACTTCAACATCTAGATATATTTGACTGTTAATATCTAATTTGTGGACATTTTAGTTGTTTTACCGTTTATGTATATATATTTATGGCATTATGATAACAATCGTTATATTTAAGAAGCATGCTTCGGTTATATCGGTCATTACGCACACAAAACAGTGAAATCATTCACATGCTGGATTCGCTGTAACCGATGACGACCCGTAAGCGCTTACTGAGCTGGAGCTTCGCTGGACTTTCAACCTCTGTAAGCTCAATACCTCACACTGACCCATCTTTCAATCCTTATAATTCACTAAAAACTTGAATAAGCTACTTTTCAGTCAGTTTGGTTTCATCTTTCCCTTCCCCACCAGAACCGTGGTTTAAAAATAGTGAGCCGCGCTTGCAACGTTAGCGATGTTTATCACTAAGCACCCTGTGAGAAATCTCGCGCGCATTCCAATTAGTGCATGTTAGGGTCACATTACGTCGTGGTGAGCGCGAAACTTTCCCACATTGATACCTCTGCTCCCCGTGTTATCTACCGAGGTTCATCATCGCGCCCAATTATATACCTGTAATAACTAATCGATCTGTTCTGGACCGGATTCAGTAACTATCTACGACCACCCCGCTTACATGTCTCAGGCGAACATATAAAGCAAAAAATTCCCCAGAATATAACGGCGATTTGACACACCTGATAGTATTATAAGTAAATCTGAGTTAAGAAGTATCTTTATTATAGCTAACTTATAAATTATTTGAATAAAGATGGCACCAACATATACGAACTCCAATGGTTGCCCAATTCCAGAACCATTTGCTACTCAAAGAATTGGTGAGCATGGTCCTCTTTTGTTACAGGACTTCAATTTGATTGACTCTTTAGCTCACTTTGATCGTGAGAGAATCCCAGAGAGAGTTGTTCATGCTAAAGGTTCTGGAGCATATGGTTACTTCGAGGTCACGGATGACATCTCAGATGTCTGTGGTGCTGCCTTCTTAGACACTGTTGGAAAGAAGACAAAGATTTTCACCAGATTCTCAACTGTTGGTGGTGAGTTGGGTTCTGCTGATTCAGCTAGAGATCCAAGAGGTTTTGCCACTAAATTTTACACTGAAGAAGGTAACTTAGATTTGGTATATAACAATACCCCAATTTTCTTTATTAGAGACCCATCAAAGTTTCCACATTTTATTCATACTCAAAAAAGAAATCCAGAAACTCACTTGAAAGACCCAGATATGTTTTGGGATTACTTGACCTCTAATCAGGAAGCCACTCACCAGGTCATGATTTTGTTCTCAGATCGTGGTACTCCTGCTTCTTATAGAACCATGAATGGTTACTCAGGTCATACTTATAAATGGTCCAACAAGAAAGGAGAATGGTATTACGTTCAGGTTCATTTCCTTTGTGATCAAGGAGTCAAGAATTTGAATAATGAACAGGCAGGTGAGTTGGCCGGTTCTAACCCAGATTTTGCTCAAGAAGATTTGTTCAAGAACATTGCCGCGGGAAATAATCCATCCTGGACTTGTTATATTCAAACTATGACTCCTCAGCAAGCAAAGGAAGCACCATTTTCTGTTTTTGATTTAACGAAGGTCTGGCCGCATAAGGACTATCCATTAAGAAGATTTGGTAAATTTGTCTTGAACGAGAACCCAAAGAACTACTTTGCTGAAGTTGAGCAAGCAGCTTTCTCCCCAGCCCATACTGTTCCTTATATGGAACCATCTGCTGATCCAGTTTTGCAATCGAGATTATTCTCTTATGCTGATACTCACAGACATAGATTGGGTACTAATTATACTCAAATCCCAGTCAATTGTCCAGTCACTGGTGTATTTAACCCACACATGAGAGATGGTGCTATGACTGTAAATGGTAATTTAGGCTCAACACCAAACTACTTGGCCACATCTAGACCCGTTGAATTCAAAAACTTTAATTTGCAAGAACAACAAGAGGTGTGGGAAGGCGCTGCCTGCCCATTCCACTGGAAGTGCACTGACGAAGATTTCAAGCAGCCTGCTGCTTTATGGGAAGTGTTGGGCAGATATCCAGATGGTCAAGCACATTTGGCTCATAATGTTGCTGTTCACGTTGCCAATGCATCTCCACACATTCAAGATAGAGTCTTCGAAATGTTTTCTAAGGTTAATCCTAACTTAGGTAATGCTATTAAAAAGGAGGCTTTACAAATCTCTCCAAGAAAATAAATCATTTGATTGAAGCTCAAGGTACTCATCACTTCATTGATGTTTGTTTACAAGAGGTTTAGTTTGTAGTAAATAATGAATTTGATGTTAATTTATTAATTATATGTAATAAAGTTTTAGCTAGTTACCTAAACTAAGCATTCGATTAAGAGCTGTTTTCACAGTCTTCATAATATCTCTGATACCATACGAGATCACAACTTAGTAGTATTGCAAGATTCACACGAGCAAGATGATCCACATTTGCAAGATGATCCGCAACATGAGCTGGACGATGGTCCGGACTTAGTAGTCTGTGATGAGCCGTTCGAAGTATTTTGACCACACATTTGATTTCAGGTATATTTTTGTTGAAAAAACTCAAGTCATTGTAAATTTCTCTCGAATCGCGCTCCTTTTTATATATATGATAAGAAATTGCGGATACACCTACCCTGTTAGGAAGTTATAAGCTAGACTTGAAAATTTAATGTAGACTACCAAGAGCTTCTACAGGCTCTACAAATGAGCAGTAATATAGAAAAAACAGTTAAATGTCTGGAAATCGTCATAGACTATAAAAATTTTATCTTCTTGTCAAACCCCGTCACTGAAATTTAAAATCCCTTATGTTTCCTTATATACTATTAAGTTTGCTTCTAAATGTCTTAGTACAGTTGTTAAGTATGAACTAGATGTAAGCCAATAGCTAACTAATATAGCTCTAAAAGATAATTTTGGTGACCCAGTAAAGTTCTTATGTTTCATCATCTCAGGAAAACCTACGGTTGAGGATGTACATCGTCATTAACTTCACTTTTTCTCTATAAATGATATGCAAGTTGCCCCGAAAAAGACTTTCAATTGTATTCAATATTCAATATTCAATATCAATAACTAATATTGAGCTCCGCTGGTATGTTTCGCTATAGATTTCTGGTACTCATCGGTATGCCTCAAGATCGATGGTGGAGGGTTTGGAAAGTTGGGTAGATTTGGAGGTGGCGGTAATAAAAACTCATTCTCTCCTACTTTTTTATTGGAACTTCCAGGAGCATTACGGTTCAAATAAGCGAGAGTTATTTCATAAGGAAGTTCTGTGGGATCCCAAATGCCAGTTTCCTTTGCCTTAGTTTCATAGTAATTGCAATAATATCTAATATGGTTCTTGCCCATCAAATGAGACTTCCTGACACTCATTGTGTCATGAGTCAAATACGACTTACAGTAGTCGCAGTAATACTTAGGCATGATATCTGTTGATGAAGAGTCTGCCTTTATTTTTTTAAAAACATAAAACAAGTTTTTATCTGTCTTATATGCCGGTGGGTTCAACATCATATGACGAAGCTTTAGCAGCTGCATCATCTCATAATTATGGATGCGTCCCAACTTCAAATATATACTAATGTGACTTCTGTATCTAGCCTTAATCATAAGAGTTTGGGAAAGTATTTACGTTTACAGAGTTAATATAATACCATACGATTTTGCATATTCATCAATGCTTGAGACGAAGCATTATCTTGATGTGATCATTAAAGCCATTACCATCAAAGAATCAGTTAACTTTTCTTAATAGCATACAGCATGTCGGTTGCGTCACAGCATTCATTCATGAGTCAAGAAGACTCTCTCAGTTGGTTGCTATAGTGGGTAGTGGTACACATCGACATGATTAGTTGCATATTAAACAAGAGCTCCCATATTACTCCATTCAAGGACGTAATAACATCTACGCAAACTCGCTTTCAGTTTCAACCTCATCTTAACTACGACCATTGATATTAATTGGCTTATATCTATAGAGCTGCTAAGATTCTTCATTTTGAGAAGAAAGCAAAAAGAGAATCTTATATGCATGTTATGAGATGATCACATGATTCATGATCCGCCAATAAAATTGAACAGTTAAATTGGTGGAATGCACTTCCACAACCGATATTCGGGCCAAAAAAACTATTGAATGAACCCACTTCAATCTACTATAATTAAAGTCAATAATAAATAAGTGGAAGGAATTTGCATCATGATGTTCAGGCAATCAGTTGTAAGTATTAACATGTGTATTCAAACAGATTTGTGATTGAACATTTTCAAATGAAAATGAAATTTTTTATATTTGTTTTATTGATAGAAAAGAGAATATTCAATTGAATACTAACTAGATTTAGCGTTTCATCGCTTCTAGAAGGTCATTATCAGCTACACCAAGAAGAAGCAACTTGGTATCAGACTTGTACGTCCAACAAATTAAACAGTTCAAACCAACGGCTCTTTCCAACAAGGAGATTGAGGAATCTGTTAAAAAGTTCCAGTTGCCAGGCAAGCCATCTATCCCAGAAGCAGAAATTTCTTCGCAAGCCTTAGGTGAATATGAATCCGCTCCAGTTGAAGTTCAAGATGCTCCTTCCGCATCTCAAGCTGCAAAGCCAGCAGGTGAGGAAGATTGGTTTGTTTTTGAAGAAGCCGAGGAACACCATTGAGAATTATAACATTTGAGATCATGGATATCCCCAAGTGGGAGCTTCATGTTGAATTTTTTCTACATGAGGCAACCATTTATTTATGGAAAATTTGGTTACTTAAGTGTTGCGTAAAAGATGGCTAGACATTGTCTATCCGTGTAAAAAAATAGAATGAATAAAAACATCATCTCCGAATGCTTCTTTTGTAGTAATAGATTGGCTACTTATGTACGATACGTGCTTCTGATAGTATTCAGATTTCCATGAAAGTCTTGGATGACTCTATTTTTGGAGTTCAGGCCATCATTAACTGCTTTCGAGGTGTTCTAATCCAATGGATTTCTTTTTTCTTTGAATTTGAAATCAATCAATCATCCTCTGTTACATTTACTCTTTAATAGCACTGATTTATAAACTGATAAACTGATAAGAATAAGATTTATTTGATCTTAATTTTTTTTTTTAAATCGCGAGTATATTTACCTTTGTTTTTATGTTGATAATAACAGCCATTTGAACCATAGTTGATGCCTAATAATAAAACATGTCAACAGATAGACCTTATTTGGATATTGAGACCATAAAAAATGCTGCTGAGCTAGTCAATTCCACATTGATTTCAAAAGCTTATATCGACGATGAAATCAAGTTCATTTCTATCGACTGGAAAGATCTCTTAAAGAATCAAGTGTCAGATTTAAAAATTACGGAAGAGATATACAATAACGACAAAAATGGGCTCAATATTATATATTCTTTGTTGCAGGCGCTTGATAGAAGTAAAGCGCAGCATCGGTCTTCGAATAAGATCCTTGGGCAGAAAGACGCCATGATAGGTACCCTTAATAAAAAAATTGAATCACTTGAAAGTAGACTAGTTGATTCTGAGTCTAGATTGGATAAGGTAATTCAATTTGACAAAGGAAGTCTCACAAAGAAGGTTCAGGAACTAAGTCGGATCAACAAAATTCAGACTCAGGATTTGAATAAACTTAAGATTTGGTGTTCAGATGTCAGAGCTAAATATCATATTGAATTGAAAAAAAAGAATTTGGAGATAGATCAGTTGAGGAATAAATTGATATCTAAAAGAAATTTGTCGTCAACGATAACTTATGGAAGACCTCTTTCGTCGTCCCCTTCAGAAGACATTCCAAACGTGAACCTGAACGTGGTTCATAATAATATTCCAAGTATTGATAATAGCTCCTTACACGTCCACCAGTCATCTAACTTAGAGCCTTTGATACAGAAAGAATATGAAGAAATTGTATCCGGGTTGACAACAGTAATTGAAAGTTTAGTTACTGAGAATTTCAAACTCGCTACATTTATAAAGTCCCTCAATGATTATTATACTAATCTTAACAATCAAATTTCAAACTCAAAATTTAAAAATTTAGAGACAAATTTGCTAAACCCATCGGAAGCGATTGATTTAAATGCTATATCGAATTCAGACTCAGATGAGACTAAAAAACATTTCGATGAAATGGAATCCTTTGACTATGTCGCAAAGCCATTATTGAATAACATATATAGAAACTACCATAACATAAGCAACTTGGTGGAGCAAATTAGTACAAATTCCATGACGAGCCATCATGAATCAGAAGATATGAGAAAAATAAAGCAATTAACTGAGGAACTCGAGATAACAAAAAGAAACTGGCAGGAAGCAATCAAAACTTTGGAGAGTTGGAAGGCTTATCGGCGTAAAAGTGACGTTAAAGATTAATCCCTATCATTTTCTATTTGACTTCGACCAGAGTGCACAATATCCCGTAAGGCTCATTTAATACTTTTGGGAGAGCCTATGTTTTTCAATACTGTCGTTTCTAGAGAAATGACTCTCAATGGAAAATCTTTAACTAAATCCTTCTCTTGAGTATCGCTTATCGGTGATTCCCTAAACCTGAGAGAAAGATTGCTAGTGTTTGCATCATACTCCAAATAGGTATTAAGAATGATACCTGTACAATAGACCTCGTCATATTTTAAATCAGATGTGTCCATTACGATATCAATTTCCGAATGCTTGTTCATGGTTTCCTGCGAAGATAGATTTTCAGTGAAATCAACAATATCTGTAGATTCATTAGTGTCGACTATTTCTTCCGAAGTAATCCTTGAAGTACATCGAAGAGATTTATTGATTTCTTTATCTTCATCTTCATCTTTTATATAAAATTTCACGATTCTTAAGAGATCCCCAGCCTGTAGAACATTGAACTCATTTTCATGAAGACCGTGAAAAGATTCCACAGCGACAACAATACCTCCTAAGGATATGAATGACCCCAGAAAAGGATCTCTAACTTGTCTGATCATTTTTTTGTCTTTGGAGCACTGTATCAACTTTTGCAACATTAAAGTTCGAGAAAAGCTGTCATATTGATCGTAATTGCCAAAAGCCATACCAGAAGGTTCCGCTATAATGGTTTTGAGACTATTATACTTAGTATTATAGTTGATAGAAGTTACTTTATTCTCCTTGAAGCCCTTTCTCCCTTCTCCGGCTACCTCGCACCTACTGTTGGTATGATCCATTGCACTCATATATGCCAGTGTGTCTGTATTCATATTATCATCTTTGGAGATGTTGACTAATATATCTCCATCAATTGCTGAGCTCAATGGGGATAACATCTTTTCTGACATTGGGACGCTTCTCAAAGCTATGTTAGACAGAGTTTGATCCCTAGTTCCATTGTCTCCAACGAGACTTTCTTCATCTTCGCTTCCTACTGGCCAAAAATTTGATCGGATTTCGGCTGCTTTGGTCTGTTTTAGACTCCTAGGTCTCCCAATACCTAACTGTAAATCTTTAAATCGGTAGATGTCTCTACCAACATAAACTGTACAACAACAACATGTATATGCGACCACGATTAAGGTAGTTATGAAAAATACACCCACTATGGATGCCACAATTGATCCAATGACTACACCATTATCCGTCATGTTCTATGACTTATTAATATTACGGTACAATAAAATATATCTCTCTTCTGAAATGCTTAGACGTGGTAAGAGGATTTGGTTGCAAAGTTATATCTTGGATGATGCACGACTTTAAGATCATACAAGATTGTGACTGAGCAGCTCTTTTGAATTAGTCCTTAAATTTCGAAGGTGCTCCAAATCGATCTAATTCGGAATCAATGTCTATGAGATCATCCAAGAGTGCCTGGTCGTTTTTCTTTTGCAATTCTCTTTCAGAATCAATTTGCCTATATTTCCGCTTCGACTTCTTAGCTCTACTTTCTTTCTGCTTTTTCTTCCTGTCCGCAATAACAGCCGTTCTACAAGTTTCTGGATGTTGAATTTCCTCTAACTTCAACGCTAGAATTTCCCTTGCTCTCTTTCTATTCTGTTCTTGTGATCTCGAGTATTGGCAGGTGACGACTATGCCAGAGGGCTTATGAGTTATCTGGACCTTACTGTTACTTTTATTGATCTTTTGTCCTCCAGGGCCCCTGCCTCCCTTTAAGAAATTCTCCTCTAATTCATCTTCTATAATTAACCACTTGGGCCTTGGAGGTAATTTGTTCTTTTTAGGAATACTGTAAGATCTGCTGTTAGAAATAGGGCCATGAAATACGAAAGTTGTCCATCTGTGGGCTGCCTTAACTTTAAGGAAATTCTTCAACATTGTTAATATATAAGTATTTCAATCACTATGAGATATTGGAATAATGAAGGATCCGGAACATGAGAAGATGTTGAGATATTGCTTCAATCTTAAACGACAATAATAAAATGGTTTTCTGAGTAAATTTGGTCCTGTACGTAAGACCATTCGACATTGATCTCTATCAAGACTATTCAAGGCAGTTGATTAAGAATGTTAAAAGGTGGCAAGAAGTGATAGCTGAAGAGGCAACGAGAGGAGACGAAAGGCGAAAAAATAACTTAACTTATAGCTTTTATATTTTATATTTTCTCCCAGTATGACCGCCTGAAAGCATGAGATAAATGTAATGGGTACGATACGAATTTTCTATTGCTCGTTGATTATACTGACATCTACTTGCAGAATTTAAATCATGGGTCATAAACAGGCATTGAGTTAGCATCATAATAGGCTCACCGATGCATTGCAACATGGTCTGTCAACGTGTTATAGATTGTTCAGAGTTTCGATAAAATCTTAAATATGTAAAGCTTAATTTGTAAAAAGCTCTTTAGAAAGTATATGTGAAATACTGTTTCATAGTTAGTACAATTCCAAGTCCAACCGTACCCGATGATTTCGACTAGAAGTCTCTTTCTAGTGTATTGTGTTACTCAGGATGAAAGTTTCAAACAATTTAGCTCATCGGACGCGCTTCATTTTTGAAGCATTTTTTCCTTTTTAGGTAAGTCTATTGGGGACATTAACACGTCTATCTCAATTATAATTCACAACTATTTTAATTAACAGCTTTTCAGTTTTAAGTTCATATTGATTCTTATCGTTGATTGACTGTCAATCTCTTATTTCAAAGCTAATTATAATATGTCATTCGAGAGACCAGAGATCTATGGCGCACAGGTCTTACCTGGCGAACAACCACAGGAAAACTCGTTCAACGAAATAACAAGAGCCTTTCGTTCTTTTATCCTTGAATTTAGGCTTGGTAGTCAGTTTATTTACAGAGATCAGCTAAGAGAAAATCTACTTATTAAGAATTATTTTTTGAAAGTCAATTCAGAACATTTAATAGGCTTCAATGAAGAATTGAATAAAAAATTAACTGATGATCCTACAGAAATGATTCCTTTATTCGAAAATGCCATTACTGACATTGCGAAGCGGATTGCTTATATCTCAAATGAAGAGACCCCGACAGATTTTCCAAGCTGCCAGTTGATATTATATTCAAATGCATCAAAAACATCTATAAGGAACTTGGACTCTGAGAGTATTTCAAAAATTGTGAGAGTAAGTGGAATAATTATCTCTGCATCTGTATTGTCTTCAAGAGCCACTTTAGTGCAATTGATTTGCCGCTCATGTAAACACACAATGAAAATTAGAGTTCATTCAGGATTTGGCCAATTGAATTTACCTAATAAATGTCAAGGTACACACAATTTTGATGATACTTCTACCCAGGAAAAATGTCCCCCAGATCCGTATACAATTGTACATGACAAGTCTACCTTTATCGATCAACAGGTGTTGAAATTGCAAGAGGCGCCAGATATGGTGCCTGTAGGGGAAATGCCTAGGCATATTCTTTTGCAAGCTGATAGATATATGACTAACCAAGTAGTTCCCGGTACAAGAGTTACAATTGTTGGTATATACTCTATTTATCAAGCCAAAAGCCGATCTTCTGGGACTCTTAATACAGTGGCTATTCGTAATCCTTATTTACGTGTGTTAGGAGTTCAAACGGACGTTGATAATGGAGTAGGAGGACAAGGTATTGTTTTCAGTGAAGAAGAGGAAGAAGAGTTTTTAAGACTCTCTAGAATTCCTAATTTATATGATGTATTTGCTGATTCTATTGCACCTTCTATCTACGGAAATAAAGATATTAAGAGAGCAATTGCCTGCTTATTAATGGGAGGGTCCAAGAAGATATTGCCTGACGGTGTCAGATTAAGAGGGGACATTAATGTCTTACTATTGGGAGATCCAGGTACAGCAAAATCTCAGTTATTGAAGTTCGTTGAGAAGATTGCACCGATAGCTGTCTATACATCAGGTAAAGGTTCATCAGCTGCAGGTCTAACTGCTTCTGTTCAAAGGGACCCACAAACGCGTGATTTTTATTTGGAAGGTGGTGCCATGGTATTGGCAGATGGAGGGGTGGTGTGTATTGATGAGTTTGACAAAATGAGAGATGAAGACAGAGTGGCAATTCATGAGGCAATGGAACAACAAACGATTTCAATAGCGAAAGCAGGTATCACTACTGTATTGAACTCAAGAACTTCAGTATTAGCGGCTGCAAATCCTATTTTCGGAAGGTATGATGACTTGAAAAGTCCAGGTGAAAACATAGACTTTCAAACCACGATTCTTTCCAGATTCGATATGATCTTCATTGTTAAAGATGAGCACAATGAACAGAGAGATATTTCAATTGCTCAACATGTTATGAATGTTCATACCGGTGGCAAGTTTTCTGAACAAAATCAAGAAGGCGAAATATCCATCGAAACCATGAAAAGATATATTCAATTCTGCAAGCTCAAATGTGCACCTCGTTTGTCCCCAGAGGCGTCTGAAAGGTTGTCGTCTCACTATGTCTCCATAAGACGTCAATTACAGATTAATGAAACTGATATGAATGAACGCCTGTCAATTCCAATTACGGTTAGACAGCTTGAAGCTATCATCCGTATTACAGAATCCTTGGCAAAACTACAATTATCACCCGTAGCTTCTGAGGAACATGTTGAGGAAGCAATCAGACTCTTCACAGCATCAACCATGAATGCGGTTGATCAAGGTGTCTCTAGTGGTGGGCTTATAACCAGCGGAGAAATGAATCAAGAGATTAAGAAGATTGAGCATGAACTAAGGAGAAGACTTCCAATAGGATGGTCAACGGCATACAAGACACTAAGAAGAGAGTTAGTTGACTCTGGTAAAGCCAGCCATGCTGCTCTCGACAAGGCTCTCTATATTATGGAGAGACATGAAGTCATTAAATTTAGGCATCAACGCCAAAATATTTTACGATGCGGAGTCTGAAAATTTATTTATTTACTGTTTCCCTAGTTTATGTATTTTCTTCAGTCTTCAAATAATTATAATGAATATATAAAGTTCTGCACATAATGAACGATTTTTTTACGAATATATTATTTCTTCGAATATCTCTTTGTAAAACTTTATAGATTCAAGCTTCATACAATATGACTACTGACGAACAGATTAGCGATGGTCATGATGACTTTATGTTTTTTGGCTTGGGTGGGTGTAATGAAGTTGGTCGATCATGCCATATAATTGAGTACAAGAATAAGGTAATTATGTTGGATGCTGGTGTTCATCCAGGACTATCAGGCTTGTGCTCATTGCCTTTTTATGACGAATATGATCTATCTAAGATTGACATCCTTTTGATAAGCCATTTCCATTTGGACCATGCTGCATCTTTACCATATGTGATGCAGCATACAAACTTTAAGGGAAGAGTATTTATGACGCATGCGACAAAGGCAATTTATCGATGGTTACTTTCAGATTTTGTGAGAGTTACATCAATTGGTGGTGGAGGTGACTCAAGACTTAATAATGGGACTTCAGGAGATGGTTCCAGTAATTTATATACCGATGATGATTTAATGGGCTCATTTGACAGGATTGAAACAATTGATTATCATTCTACCATTGAGATCGACGGTGTTAGATTCACTGCGTTTCATGCTGGCCATGTCTTGGGTGCTTGTATGTATTTAATTGAAATCGGGGGGCTTAGAGTCCTTTTTACTGGTGATTACTCTCGTGAGGAGGACAGACATTTGCAAGTGGCTGAGGTTCCCCCAATGAAGCCCGATATTTTAATTACAGAATCGACCTTTGGAACAGCTACCCATGAACCAAGGCTCGAAAAGGAAACTCGGATGATGAGAATCATCCATTCTAGTTTATTGAAAGGCGGTCGTATCCTCATGCCAACTTTTGCATTGGGACGAGCACAAGAATTGCTATTGATTTTAGAAGAATATTGGTCTCAGAACGAAGATCTTCAAAATATAAGTATATATTATGCCTCCTCTTTAGCAAGGAAGTGTATGGCTGTATATCAGACTTACACCAATATTATGAACGATCATATTCGTCTAACTGCATCAAGTACTAATGAAAAACAAAACCCTTTTGACTTTAAATTTATTAAATCCATTAGAAGCTTGGGTAAATTTCAAGATTTGGGCCCATGTGTTGTCGTTGCATCTCCAGGTATGTTGCAAAATGGTGTCTCTAGAGAGTTGTTGGAAAGGTGGGCTCCCGACCCTAAGAATGCTGTCATAATGACAGGTTATTCCGTTGAAGGTACGATGGCCAAGGAGCTACTATCTGAGCCACAGACCATTCCTTCACTTATAAATCCGGAAATGACTATACCTCGTCGTTTGAATATTGAAGAGATATCTTTTGCTGCTCATGTAGATTTCCAAGAAAATGCTGATTTTATAGATAAGATCAATCCTCTGAAAATAATTTTGGTTCACGGAGAAAGTAATCCCATGGGTAGATTGAAATCTGCATTATTGAGTAAGTATGCCTCGAGGAAAGGAACGGAGCAGGAAATAAAAGTGTTCAACCCTAGAAACTGTGACGAACTTAAGATAAACTTTAAAGGTCTAAAGGTCGCCAAGGCCCTAGGCTCATTAGCAGAAGAACAGATCGATGAGCTCAAGGATAAAATTGAAGAAATTTTAGAAGAGGGAGTGAAGGAAGAAGACGATTCAATGAATATCGATGATGAGAAAAAAGAAATCGAAGAAACTGAAAAAGATGGAAATTTGACTCCCAAAAAGGAAGATGGAGAAAATGACGTGCAAAAGAGAAATGAAGAAGACGAACAAAATGTAATAAAATTAGATAAACCGATATCTGGCGTTCTTGTCTCGAAAGATTTCGATTTGAACCTTCTTCAATTACAAGATTTGCATGAATTCACTCAGCTATCAACCTCCATAGTCAAATCTAAAATTAAGTTGAAAATAAATGCAGACATATCATTAATGCAATGGCATTTAGAACAGATGTTTGGTTTTATCAAGATAATTAGTGATGATAAAGATCTTTGGGAGTGTCTCATTATGGACATGATTGATATCACTGTGGACAGATCAAAACAAGGTGGACTTTTTTTAACAGTTGAGTGGATCAATGACAATCTCATAGCAGATTCGTTGGCTGACAGTGTCATAGCCATCCTATATTCTATTGACTCGTCACCGGCATCCGTCAAAATTTCGTCGAAATCTCTGTCACATCTGCATCATAAGATTAAAAAGGAGGAGCTGGATAACGATATAATAGAGAATGATGGCTTAGCACATGCAAGCAGCTCGATAAGCAGTAGACTTCATCGTATCTCGGAATTATTGAAAGCTCAATTTGGAGAAGCTTTCTCGCTAGAGGACAGTAAATCTGCAATAATTAAGATCGGTAATAATAAGGCGAAGATTGACTTCGTAAATTTGTCGGTCGAATGTGGCTCCAAAATTTTGAAAATTCGAATTGAAAACATTATTAAAAGAGGGTGTGATTTAGCAGCTCCCTTAAGCCAGTCAGAGAAATTTGTATAGGTTACTTCAACATAATAAAGCATTTACATCTTCTCGGTCGTGTAAAGTCCATTTTTTTACTATATTTTCTTTTGATGTTCAGACGTTAAATCTTATAACTAACGTAGTTTCATTACCTTTGTAATAAGACTAAAGCAAATACTATGGCGTAAGTATAAACTTTTCGTTTGATTTCTACTGCGTGTAATACTGACGATACATTTAGTGAGTTGGTTGACCGTCCGCGTTCAGAATTGACTGAGCTTGAGCTCCAAAAGCTAGAGGAATTTGAGTTTTCACACGGTCCCATGTCATTGCTTCAAAGAGCAGTGGAAAGTAATGGTTTGATAGTTATCTCCTGCAGAAATAACCACAAGCTTATTGCTAAGGTTAGAGCGTTTGATAGACATTGTAATATGATTTTAGAAAATGTTAAAGAACTTTGGACTGAGTCTGTGAAGAATAATAAAGGAAAAAAGATAAAAGATATATCTAAGGAAAGATTCATATCCAAGATGTTTCTTAGAGGCGATTCTGTGGTTATAATTTTAAAAGCCTAATGTGCATTGCAAGTTCCATATAAATATACACTTGTATATTCTTATTGAAATTGAAAAGTGGAAATATCTCAGTTCAGTGGACTGTACTCTCTGAGTAGTGCAATCATTAGTATTAATTACGGATCTGATACGTCTTCTGCATTCGGTGATTTGTGGAAAGGTCTGAAATCCCGTTCTTCTAGCATAATATGCTCTTCTGGACATAGTTGGAATGTCCAAAGAGTTCCTATATACATATAAATAATGTGACGAGTTTATCCAGGCGAACTTTAACAACATCGTAAAAATTTGTTTTTAATGAGTTTGTCGCAGTAATACACCCAAAACTGTAATTTTAAATATGATAGAACACTTTCTTGTTTAGAAGATTAAATTTGTTGCTTAATAGTTTAAATCCTTCAGCTTTAAGGTACCCAGCGGTATAGCAGTTACATATTTACCGTTATTTGCGGTAAATAAATATGAAGCTAAAACTCAGGACCCAAAGCACCGAAGCCTTGAAATCTACACTCTCTTTGATAAGCCGAGTTAGAAGGTTTGTGGTACTTCGATTTACATATTCCCAACTATATATCATTCTGGTTGACGAATATTCACTGGAGCCCCAAGTATGGTGCAAACTACAGATGAATAGCATATTTGACCAGGTTGAAATTCAGAGTCTAAAAGATAACACTATTTTACTTGAAATAAATATTGATTTATTTCTTCAGACGCTTAAGCATTTCGACAGAGCAAATAGTGATGGATTGAATATAAGACTCCAGAGGAAAGACACTCTAGGGGGTGAAGGTGTTGCAACAAAACAAGGAAGGGTGGCATCATTGGCCATGTATTATTCTAACATTAATTCACATCAGAACTCAATTAATCATACATTCAGGATTCCAGTTAAGATAATGAAAAATAACGATGAAAGCTTCATATCAAGAGAGCCTGAGCTAAGAGATGTACAGTTGATGATGAAGCTACCAAATGAATTCGTCACGACCTATAAGAGACTCGAGAAGTTTAAAAAGCCAAATCAAAAGGAACTCTTAACGATCAAAGCAAGCCGAAGGAATGAAGGGCTACTTGCTTTTGTTCTCAAGGAGGAAGGAAAGTATAGAGTGACTATTACTTGGAATAACCATTTGGAAGTTATAAAACCTGACAACCCGAATCTCAATAATAGTAACAATGGTCTAGATACGTTCCAGAGCATTCGAGAGTCCCAAACTTCCACAAACGAAGAAATTGAGGAAGAAGACAGAGAGATTCATGTTAAACTTAAAGATTGGCTGATGTCTTCGAGGATCGTGGCAACTTGTAAGTCTATCTTATTTCTAATGACTCTGAATGGGTGTATGTTGCATTGCTTACTAGATGACGCAGGTAATATTCAAATTACCTATCACATTACTGGTGTTGTTGTACGCTCTGATACTGATAATATGTAATTTTTCCTTTAACTTGCTTCTAATGACTCATGCCTTTTCGTAATTTTTGCAATTAGTCTCGCGAACATCGTTTTTTAAACTTTAATACTTTTTTTTATTTTTGATGTCATCTTCTTTCAAATATTTCTTAAGAAATGACAGAAGAAAGAAGTTTAGATAGAAAGGAGCCTTCATATTTTGGAGCTGGACCGGCTTTAATACCTGGCTCAGTTTTGAAACAAGCGGCTTACGACCTCATCAGTTATGATGGAGACAACATAGGTGTCGGAGAAATATCGCATCGTTCAAAGCCTGCTATTAAAATAATAGACGATACTAAAAGAAATTTAAAAAATCTTCTAGATATCCCAGACACTCATGAAGTATTTTTTATGCAAGGAGGTGGTACTACTGGCTTTTCATCGATTGTGTACAATCTTATGGCCAACTATGCCAAGACTCATAATGGTAAGAAAGGTAAAGCCGCCTACGCAATTACTGGATCGTGGTCGAAGAAAGCAACCGAAGAAGCTCAAAGATTGGGATTTGATGTTGAAATTGCCGTTAATACGGCGGATAAGAAATATGGTGATATTCCACCTTACTCTGAGTGGAAACCAATTGACAAAGAATGTGCTTATTTGTATATTTGTGACAATGAGACTGTGAATGGAACTGAATTTCACGATATCCCTGGATCTGATTATCTTCCAGAAGGTGTTGAGTTGGTCGCTGATATGTCATCTAATATTTTGTCCAAGCAAGTCGATGTTAGCAAATATGGGCTCATTATGGCAGGTGCTCAAAAGAACATAGGACTTGCGGGTTTAACTATTTACATCATAAAACGTACTCTTCTTGAACAAGCATCAGACTCAGAATTGCACAAGTATGGTCTTCCTTTGGTTCCAATAGCCTTCCACTATCCCACAGTTGTGAAAAACAACTCCGCATACAATACAATTCCGATTTTCACTTGCCACATTTTGCAATTGGTCACTGCTAAATTACTCAATGATGGAGGGATCAAGTCAATTGAAGAAGTGAACGACAAGAAGGCTGATCTTTTGTATAACGCACTTGAAAAATATCCTAATTTCTACTTTTTACCAGTGGCCAATCCTGATATCAGATCAAGAATGAATGTTGTATTTAGGCTACCAAATGAGCAATTAGAAGAGAAATTTGTTAAAGAAGCAGCTGAAAAGAATTTGAAAGGTTTAAAGGGTCACAGATCTGTCGGAGGGATGAGGGCGTCGATTTATAATGCTGTCACTCTTGACAGTGTTAAACAACTTGTTGATTTCATAAATTATTTCGCTAAATCAAACTCTTGAGCTGGTTGAAAACAGTACCATGCAGCATAATATAATAGTATATATATACTGCTAATAGTCTTTTTACTAAGTAATAGGCAGAAGCGAAGTAAATCTTTATTTTATCTGAATTTTTTTATTTTTTATTTTTTATTTTTCTTGAACAGTCAATATATCAATATTCATCGCATCGTTATAAAAGAATCGTTAGGAAGGCTATTTACTTATGATAATAGCGTTCGCCAGTCGAGCAAGAGCCTCGAAATTCCTCAATGGGTTTTGTAGGGCTTCTTCTAATGCTGTTAGACAGCAGCAGGTGAAAAAAAATACAACTATTCAAGACAAAAAGCTATCGTTAGATAAAGATAACTATATTAAGTCGATCCAAGAAAGGATATCAAAGATTCCAATAGAAAATTACAGAAACTTTAGTATTGTTGCTCATATTGACCATGGAAAGTCTACATTGTCAGATAGACTATTGGAAATGACGGGTGTAATACAACCAGGTGATTCGAATAAGCAGGTATTAGATAAGTTGGATGTAGAAAGAGAACGTGGAATTACGGTCAAGGCTCAGACTTGTACCATGTTTTATAAGAATCCAATAACTAACCAAGATTACTTGCTACATTTGGTTGATACTCCAGGTCACGTCGACTTCAGAGCAGAAGTATCTAGGTCTTATGCTTCTTGTGGAGGTGCTCTCTTACTAGTCGATGCTTCGCAGGGTGTTCAAGCTCAAACCGTAGCTAACTTTTACTTAGCTTACAGTATGGGTCTAAAATTGATACCAGTAATAAATAAGATTGATCTTGATAATGCTGACATTCCAAGGGCGATGGACCAAGTTGAAAATACATTCGAGCTTCCTAGAGAAGACTGCATTCCTGTAAGTGCTAAAACAGGATTAAACATAGATAAGATTATCCCTAGTATAATTGAAAAAGTTCCTTGTCCAGCAGGTGACATAGACAGACCTTTGAAGGCATTATTAGTCGATTCGTGGCATGATCCATACGTGGGAGTTGTTATGTTGATCCATGTCGTTGATGGTAGCTTAAAAAAAGGAATGAAATTGATTTCAGCTCACTCAGAAAAGAGGTATGATGCAAAAGAAGTTGGGATCATGTATCCCGATAAAACTCCATTGCAGGCAATAACCGCAGGCCAGGTGGGTTATATAATTCCTGGAATGAAGGATCCTAGCGAAGCAATGATTGGTGACACATTTTTCCAATATGGTGAGCATCAGGGCCTAACGCCGCTCCCTGGCTTTGAAGAGCCTAAGCCAATGGTATTCGTTGGCGCTTTTCCAGCTGATGGAGCAGAGTTTAAGGTAATGGATGATCACATACAAAATTTGGTGTTGAATGATAGATCGGTAACTTTGGAAAAGGAAACCTCTAATGCATTAGGACTTGGTTGGAGACTAGGATTTTTGGGATCTTTACATGCTTCAGTATTCCAAGAGAGGCTCGAAAAGGAATATGGAGCTAAGATTATTTTGACTGCACCCACTGTCCCTTATAAGATGGTTTTCAATGATGAAACAGAAAAGGTGATTACAAATCCCAATGAATTTCCAGGAGCTGACTTCAGGAATCAGAATATTACCATGTTGATGGAACCGTATGTAAAAGCAATTATTACAACCCCAAATGAGTATGTTGGCGTGGTAATGTCACTATGTGAAAACAACAGGGGTATTCAGAAAGAACTAGAATATCTCACAACTGGTCAAGTCCTTTTGATTTATGATATACCGTTAGCTCAATTAGTAGAAGACTTTTTCGGAAAGCTCAAAGGATGCACGAAAGGTTACGCTTCACTAGATTATGAAGATTCTGGATACAGAAAGTCTGATATAGTAAAGTTGGAGCTTTGTGTAAATGGTGAGCCACAGGATGCTCTTACGCAGATTTCTCATCGATCTCAGACTCTTTCTAGAGGAAAGGAGAATGTTGCAAGATTTAAGGAGTACCTTAGATTTCAGCTTTTTGAGGTTGCAATACAGGCTAAAGTTGGTAACAAAGTTGTGGCAAGAGAAACTATTAAAGCGAAGAGAAAGGACGTGACGCAGAAATTACATGCTGCGGATATATCCAGAAGAAAGAAGCTTTTAGAGAGACAAAAGGAAGGTAAAAAACAAATGAAGTCAACAGGAAAAGTTCACATCGATCATTCGGCGTTCCAATCATTTTTGAGACGTTCATTTTAGATCGCTAATATAATAATCAATACAACATGTAAGTAGTGTATCCCATTTCTGTATATATTGAACATGCATCATATCAAAAGCTTAGATCACCTCTTTAAGAATTTTTTATATACAACGTTATTTGTTTCTTCGACATATCTGTACCCTGACTCATTCAAAAAGTCCTGGAAATCCTCTTCTTTTGTGTCTTCAGGTAAAGCGAAGCCACATAGAACCTTCCCAATATCGTGACCATGGTTCCTGTAATGGAAAAGAGTGATATCCCAGTCAGTCCTCAATGCTTTTAAAAACTTCGTCAAAGCACCTGGTCTCTCTGGAAATTCAAACCTGAATATCCTTTCATTCTTCAACTTATCAATTCCTGGGCCCGGTGATTTTCCTCCAACGAGATATCTTCCATGAGTTTTAGCTAGCTCATTACCCGAAATATCGTCAACCTCGTATTGATGGTCTTTATCGGTCATATTCTCTAGAATTGATCCCATCTCTTTCTCTTTATCTATGACATTAAAACTGACATATATGCTGGCGGGATAATTGCTGCTGAATCTGTATGAAAATTCAGTGATAGCTCTAGGATCGATTATGCTTTGTAACTTTGCAAATTCTCCAGGCCTTTCAGGAATAGTGACTACTAACGAAACCTCCTTTCCTTCTCCCAAAACAGCTCTTTCGCTAACGAACCTGAGCCTATCGAAATTCATGTTAGCACCACTCAATATACAGACATATGTTTTGTCTCGATGATCAATATCCTTATGTTCGTTAATATACTTCTTAACTCCTGCCACTGAAAGAACACCAGATGGTTCTGCTATCAGCCTTGTATCTTCAAATACATCTTTAATTGCAGCACATAATTCGTCAGTCAGGACTCTTACGACATCGTCCACATGTGTTCTGCATATTCTCCATGTTTCCTCACCCAATATCTTTACGGCAGTACCATCAGCAAAAACTCCTACTTTATCTAACGTCTCTCTTTTGTCTGCCTTCAACGACCGATATAAAACATCAGAATCATAGGTTACAACTCCGATAATCTTCACATGTGGAGCAACCTTCTTCAAGTACAAAGCTATACCTGCAATAAGCCCGCCTCCTCCAACAGGAACAAATACTGCTGTGAGCTTGTCCAATCTTGTTTGACGTGTTATTTCTAATGCAGATGTTCCCTGACCTGCAATGACATATGGATGATCAAAAGGGGGGATGTTTATCAAATTGTTTTCCACGCTTAACCTGGAACACTCCTTTTTGGCTGCATCAAAATCGTCTCCATAAAGGACAACTTGGGAACCTAACCTCGATACATTCTTATATTTGATTGAAGGAGTAGAGGTTGGCATTACAATAGTCAGGGGAATCTTCAATTTGTTGGCCGAATACGCAACACCTTGAGCATGGTTCCCTGCTGAACATGCTATGACACCTGTCATCGGCATCTCTGATTGTGCATTTAAATTAGCAATCATATTATATGCTCCACGCAATTTGAAAGAAAAGACTGGTAAAAGATCTTCTCTCTTCAAGTAAATATTGGAATTACACTTGTTCGCCAAATTGACGGCATTATGCAATGGGGTACCTGCTTCATCAACAACATCATACACTCGGGATGTCAATATCATTTTTATATAATCCACATCGCCTTCTGGCGTGTAGTCAGAGTCTAAAATTTCAGGATATCTCTTTGGATTTTTTACCGTGTTCCATAACCTCGTAGAAGTTCTAAGGCTTTTCTTTGTTGAAATAAAGCTACGAGGGTGCCTCATGAGCCTAGAAAGACTCATATTTTTAGCTATCATTTCCAGAAGTTAAAAGAATTACTTCTTCTATAATCGGCTCATGAAAAATTATCTAACGACTCGCACATTTAAATTTCAATGTCGCTACAGAATGACTCAAAACGGAATAGCATGGAACCATGCTAGCATTATGGAAAATAAAACTGCGTAACTAAGTAAAGTTTTGTGAAGAAGCTATATTCATGGTCACCATGGATGTTTGCTCCCAAGCTGATGGGAACTACAATCATTAGTTAGCTTCATGGGAAGCGTGCACAAGCTTGGGCAACCTTTTTTAAGCATATAAAAAACGTGAGTGGACAGTATCCTTAACGCATAATAAGAATACCGAATGTAGCCTTTATCTGACTTCTTCGGAAGAAGGTGTGCAAAGTTTAAATTCTTCTTTATATGCTTAGGAACAATAATATGCTTGAAGTGAACATGGCATATATATAGCATTATACGTTTTCGTGATATGTTGAATGTAGAGAAATTGGTGACGAAATAGCATATAAACAAGTTTAAATGAATAAGCAAATCATTAATTATCATAGCTTGCTCTTTGACCGCTCATTGAGTAACAATGGACTAGGAATGTGTGATTTATATACAGATGTGGATTGCCAGGAACAGTCTTCATATGCATATTTGAGCAACGATAACAGTTCATCTGTTATTGGAAGCTGCGAAATGCCAAATTTGCTCCCTTTAGAAACCATCAATTTCAACAGTGTTGACACAACGAAAGCCTATGACATTGAAGGTCATAACAACACTTTGAACGCATTATCTTTCCTCTGTCCTAGTTCAAACATACCCTCAGATTATGGTAATTTCATATCAATGTCACGTTCACAACAGCTTTCGGATCCATCAGTATCTAGCTCTAGCGAGACTCCAAAAACTAACGAATTTTCTGAGGACTCTATTAATTTGCAACCATCTCAGCAAGAATCCAGAAAAACTAAACTAGAAATGGAAAATGACAATTACTTGACTGGAAATATATACAATATCACTGATGTCTCAAGCAATACATATGATCTAGGTATTATTCGAATTAAGGCACTGGCTCTAGATTGCTTGAATACGAGCAAATCTATAAGAGGAGCAATTAAAAGAGAGCTTGAACTTGAAAAAAAATATTTAAAAACGCTCAAGACAAGAGGAGCAATCACTTTTAGGGCCAAAGTTAGAAAGAGAAGGAATCCCTCTTGTGATGTACCAACTTGGCAACCAATGTCGGTATTCACTGCATTCACTGATTACAAATGCAACCATTTTGAAAATACAGATTATTTCGATAATATTCCGTCCACATCGTGCTTCGGGAGAATAAATATGAGAGTGAAAAGAGCTTGGAGTAGAGGTCCAAGTAAAAGCAAGAAATCCTGATTTTGATTCTACGGAAAACTTTAGTTGGATTGTTCCTATTATATTGATTTATGTCTTGAATACACTTCTAACATAGTTTTGCATATATGAGTTTAGATCATTTATGCTAATTATTCTAGATTCGTAGATATATGTGAAAAGATAGACCATCTAGATAAATACACAGATTTTAGATGATTGAAGATACTTTAAAATGTCTTAGCACCTAGCTTTACGAATAAATCGAAGTTCTATATAAAAGATAGACTTCCATATGTGGCTCCTTATGGTATTATAGGTATTTTAGGTTAAATTAAATCGAGGTCCCTTGGCCTAGTTGGTTAAGGCGTGGTGCTAATAACACCAAGATCAGCAGTTCGATCCTGCTAGGGACCATGTTATTACCGGGCGTGTGGCGTAGTTGGTAGCGCGTTCGCTTAGCATGCGAAAGGTCTCCGGTTCGACTCCGGACTCGTCCATTGATATTTTTTTGATTCGTAGTCTTTTATGTTGACCTGGCTATTCTTAATCCCCTTGAATTTCTTTTATATCAAAGCTGAATTTTTCAAGCAACGGGAAGACGCCACCTCTCATTTGGAATCATTGCTTGGGCCCACACGCATAAGTGTTCACCTTTGTTTTATATTTTACATCTAATAATATTGAAAAAAGTTAAGTTTGTATGCAGTACTTAAAATTTATGTCGAGTAGCTTCATTAAACGGACGAGGTGATTCAATACCCAGAATACTGTCAAGTACAGATAATCATGGAATCGCCACTTTCGATCACATTAGGTGAGCGTATGAGCGCATATCTAGTAAGCTCTGAAGATTATCTAAAACAGAGAAAAAGAACTAATAAACGTCTTTTAAAGCTCCGTCATGAATTAAATTTGATTACGAAAGATACCAAAAACTACAAACAGAAGGAAAAAATCTCAAAAACAGGGGTAGAAGATTATAACAAAGATGAAAGAGTTGGACTACTTCTACTTTTAACTGCGGAAAGGGATATTTTATATGCCCTTGAACTTAAAAGTTTGATGGAAATTGGTAGTCATAGAGCATCATCTTATAAGACCCTCATGATTAGTAGAATAAAGAGGGCTCTTATGACCTCAAAGAAATTACTTGAAATCAGTAAAGAGGAAAAGGATGATATAAAATTGCTCGAATTGTTTACTTATACTTCCTTAATTCAAGGATTTTTATCTATTAATAAGAAAAAATGGCCGATAGCCACAAATGCCTTTTCAATTTCTAAATGTGCCTTAGATTTCTTGCTTTCTCGCCTAGATGAAAGCCCGGAAGAAAACGAGATTGATTCCATTCAGTATAGGAAAACATTTCTCAATGAGATCGCTGATACAATTGTGGATCCATCGTTGAGCTTGGTAATTTCGCAAGATGAGTCGCTTCATGAGAACACAGTCGATTTAAGATCCATTTCCCGTAAGCATTGTCACGAAAATTTGTTGCCATACTTGCACCCTGCTGTGAAAATTATACAAAAAATCGACCCCAGATTCGTTTCTGAAATCTCTTCATCAGTAGATCTTCTCAAATCTATTGAGTGGAGGGGACATGAGGCTCTGTTGTATAACGATGAGATTTCGTTCAAAATTATGAAGTTGACCGACGAGAACAAAAATCCCTGGAAAAGCTTTAAAGATGCAAACCAGTTTGACTCTCTCTTAGCAGGTTGGAGAGAAGTTTTAGATTTGCATACCACAGATTTAGAAAAAAGCAGAGACGATGATGATCTTGAGAAGGTGCAGGATAGAGCTATTCTTCTTACATACATCAATTACAATTTGCTATTTACAAGATTAAAAAGAGATATGTTAATTATCGACCAGTTGAATGATTCTACTAATATATCAAAGAGGCAAGATATCGCCAGATTATATGGTACCATAATTGAAACAATTGAAGAAATCAAAGATTTACCTGGTGTTTATAACGATGGTGACTTATATGAGTCCTTGGAAAGATTATCGCTGTATTTCGCCGCTAAGAAGCATATTAATCTAGCTGATTCTTTTATCTTGAATAAGAAGTTTCCTGAGGCTCTCAAAATTTTCAAATATATTTTTGACATACATTCACAACTGGGAGATAATTATTTCAAAATTAAAAAGTTTCCTTACGATGTTGCAACCAATGACGGCTATAGCAAATTTCAAAGGGAATTAACAAAATTGATCACTCAGGCCCAAATATCGGCTCAATTTGCCAAGGACTCATCTTCTATCTTTTCATCATATGCGATAGAGAATCTTCACAAATATCCAAGCTCAGATTTTAACTCGTTGGTGAGATTAAGAGAAGAATCTAATATCGAACCAATATTATGCAAACCTGTTTTGTTCGATGTTGCTTTCAATTATATCGGCTATGATTTCGATAGCTCTAGTTCACGTGCAGCCAGTGATCCATCACCGGCCGATATAGATTCGTCGAAGGGAAAAAAGAGAGGCTTCCTTGGATTATTTGGTCAAAACTAATTTTCAACTTTTCATTGTAACCTTTTAAATAGCGAATTTACGCAAAAAAGAATGGCGCGAGCGACTTTTCAGTAATTTCTGGAAAATATGTAGAGATTTCTTTTGTTCAAAGATAACTTTATTTCTCCACAAAAAGGGTTGAGTAATGGGAAAGACAATCACTCTTTTGGGATGTGTATTGGGGCTATATGTATCTTTCCTTTCGTGGTCAGTTTTGCAGGAAAGAATAAACACCAAGCCATATGGAGTCAATGCGATAACTGGTGAAGAAGATTATTTCAAGGCGCCATTGGTAGTCAACATAATTCAGGCATCTCTCGCCTCACTTGTTGGATTTTTATACTCAATTGTATGTCACCAAGGTCTTCCATATACTGTATTTACGAAGAATGAAAAGGGGGATTCATTAAAAATATTTAAATGGCTCTTTTTGATTTCGCTTACATCGAGTTTATCAGGGCCAATTAGTTATCTTTCTTTAAAGCATGTGGATTACTTAGCTTACTTGTTAGCTAAATCGTGCAAATTGATACCAGTAATGTTTGTTCATTTTGTATTTTACGGGACAAGGTTTGCAAAGTACAAGTATATTGTTGCAGGGTCAGTGACTTTAGGAGTTTTAGTTTTCACCTTATCTCAGCCTAGAAAAAGTTCAGAGACAGTATTCAACGATGGTAACAGCTTGTTAGGTATTTTTCAATTGCTACTCTCTATGTTCTTGGATGGTCTAACAAATGCAACGCAGGATCAACTATTTAAAGTTCAGAATTCGAAAGACTTTAAGGGAAAAAAGGTAACAGGTTCCACTCTAATGTGCCTATTGAACTTGTTCATGGTAATAATGACGTTACTTTATACTTTGATATTCAAATATGAATCTGAAATAATTTATTCAGTTGAATTTGTAAAACGATATCCGGCGGTTCTCATTCACATTATAGAGTTTACAATCTTGGGAGCTATGGGTCAAATATTTGTCTTTATCATACTAGAGAAATTCGATTCCTTAGTCTTAGTGATAACTACGGTGACTAGAAAGATGATTAGCATGATATTGAGTGTTTTTTTATTTGGCCACGATTTGAACTTGATACAGCAATTTGGTGTCGCTTTAGTGTTCGGTGGAATAGCTTACGAATCTTTAGCTAAGGCCGAAGGAAAGCCAAAGAAAAGTACTAAGCTAAAGAGCCAATAGGCTATTTATTTCTGGAGTAAAAAAAATCATATATCGATAGACTAGATGTTATATACCATACTAAAAAGTAAATAAAACAAAGTAAAACACATTATATATTTTGCGGTTTTTTATAGAAGTATAATGGTAACCATCCCTAAAATCATCGGGATTCGATGGCCACAGAGGTTGTCTGTCTATGAAATATATCAGAAATTCACCTGTTTCTTCCCTAGGGCGTTTTATACGTCAACCTTAGCATGGTCCATTTACGTATTGATTTATAAAATTGCATATGAGGTCATTTCAATCCAATATAGTGAAAAGATGCTCGGACTATTTACAGCAACAATTGGGGCTTTATTATGTTTTCTTTGCATGTATACTTATGTTATGGTAATTGTCGCCGATTCCGGATCTTCGAAGGATTTCGAAGAACTAAGAATAGAGGAAATGAACCCTTCAATGTCTTCGAGATACAAGTCAGATAACCCTTATGATCATGAAGGAGCAAGCTCTTCTTTGCTATCTCGTGGAACATTACCCAAAGCATCTCGTCCCCCTAAGGAATTAACATTTCATTTTGCTAATCCAGAGAGTGGATTTCGATACTGTAATAAATGCTATACTTGGAAACCAGATCGGTGTCATCATTGCTCTAAGTGTGGTAAATGTGTTTTAAGAATGGATCATCACTGTCCCTGGTTTGCTATATGCATTGGGTTTTACAATCAGAAATTCTTTGTACAGTTCCTTGGATACATTACTCTTTATACCGGTTTCTTATTTATTGTATCCCTTTCCGTGCTATGGAAGTTCTTTATGGGACAAGAGTTTCAAAACAGCTTTCTATCGGTCAATATTGTTTTGGAGTTTGTTTTGAGCATTGCCTTCTTTGTTACGCTTGGTGCTTTTTTTGGTTTCCTGTGCTGGGCCGTGCTAAAAAATTTGACAACCATAGAATTTCAGGAAAGGACCTGGTTTAAGGATGGCGACAATGGCTCAAACTTTAAATACGAATTCGATAGTCATGGGAAGCAGAAAAGACTCGAACATGTGTTCGATTTAGGATACAAGAAAAATTGGAAGAGCATAATGGGTTCTAGATGGTACGAGTGTTTAATTCCATGTACAGTGACAGATAGAAGGTTTCTGATGGGTACAAACAATGGCATCAACTTTGATGTAAATCAAGCTCTGTATGACAAGTGGTTGCATAGTATGGAGTTACAAGCTCGACTAAATCAGCAGCTAGCAGATTATCAAAAGAGAGTGAAAGATGAAAGAGAATTAATGTGAATATCAATAGTTCTCTTTAGGAGCGTAGACTAGTAAGCATATTTAATTGATATATCTTAGGATTGTTACATATCCTGTAAATAACACAAAAGCGGGTAACTTCGAATATCCGCCTATTTTCTAAGTGTTCAGACCTCAGACCTCAGACCTTTTCACAGTTTGTAGACACGCTTAACGCTTTCTCTAAGTTTTGCGATCAGACTCGAGTCACGGATAAGGTAATAGTTTAAGAGTCCTTCGACTTGCTCCTTGAAGTTTTTTTTTTCAGTTTTCGAATTTAAGGACTTTATTGTTAGGATTAACTAACGAAAGTGAACTAAGGTCTCCTGGAAAGAAATTTCAAAAAAACATTTCAAAATGTATGTTCAATTACCCTTCGACGACTTTAAAGTTGATCCCACCCAGAAAAAGCGAGTTGCTTACTTTTATGATGCTGATGTCGGTAACTATGCCTACGGTGCTGGGCACCCTATGAAGCCTCACAGAATAAGAATGGCACATTCACTTATCATGAACTATGGATTATACAAGAAAATGGAGATTTATCGTGCCAAGCCGGCAACAAAACAGGAAATGTGCCAATTTCATACTGATGAATATATTGACTTCTTGAGTCGAGTGAACCCTGATAATTTAGACATGTTTTCCAAAGAACAAATAAAATTTAACGTGGGAGATGATTGTCCAGTTTTTGATGGTTTATTTGAATACTGTGGGATTTCAGGCGGTGGATCGATGGAAGGAGCTGCTAGGTTGAACAGGGGAAAATGTGATGTCGCTATAAATTATGCCGGTGGATTACATCATGCGAAGAAATCTGAAGCCTCGGGATTTTGTTATTTAAATGATATTGTTTTAGGTATTATAGAGCTACTCAGATACCATCCGAGAGTTTTGTATATCGACATTGATGTTCACCACGGTGATGGGGTTGAGGAAGCATTTTATACCACCGATAGGGTTATGACCTGCTCGTTCCATAAATATGGAGAGTTTTTCCCGGGTACCGGAGAATTAAGAGATATTGGTGTTTCCAAGGGTAAATACCATGCGGTGAATGTTCCATTGAGGGACGGTATTGATGATGCTACGTACAAATCGATTTTCGAGCCATTAATATCTAAAATCGTGGAATGGTATCAACCATCTGCTATAGTTTTGCAATGTGGTGGAGACTCTTTAAGTGGTGATAGGCTAGGATGCTTCAATTTATCTATGAGAGGACACGCAAATTGTGTTAATTTTGTTAGATCTTTTAATATCCCAATGATGGTCGTCGGTGGAGGTGGTTACACTATGAGAAACGTTGCTCGTACGTGGGCATTCGAGTCAGGTTTATTAAATAATGTAATACTACCTTCAGAACTCCCATACAACGAATATTACGAATATTATGGTCCAGATTACAAATTAGACGTTAGGCCATCTAATATGTACAATGCAAACTCGCCAGAATTTTTGAATAAAATTTTAATGAGTATAATATCTAATTTAGAAAATACTAAGCATGCTCCTTCGGTTCAAATGAACCACGTTCCGAATGACCCAGAAGATTTGGGAGATGAGGAAGAGGATACACCCGCTGCAATAGATACTAAAGGAGGATCACAACAGGCTCGCGATGAGCTAATTGAGCCCGACAATGAATTCTACGATGATGATGAGAAAGATCATGGAGAAAGGAACATACATAATAATGGTGCAAGTTCACATTCGGAACCAGACTCACAGTCAAATGGAAATAACCCTTTAACAGACCAAGAAATGAAAGAAATTGATGATTTGAATCAAGATTCTAGTTAATTAAGCTGGGAACTAGTGGAGATTTCACTAAGGCTGAAATAAAAGTATTTAGACGTATAAGATGTTTATTTTAAATAGTCGTAATTTTACTCGTTAGAAAACAGACTCTTTGACTCATCTCAGAGTAATTTAATCACCTGATTTAAAATTGTCATGAATAGGAGGGGCTTTAGCAAAACTTAAACGTTAATCTAAATTGAGAGACTTGGCTCAACAATTAGATTTCAAGGGCGATTAGCATACTTGAAAGTTCGCTCTTAAGCTTTGGGCGGTATTTATAAGTGCCACCTGAAAAATCTAAGAATCGAAGCAAAAAACAGGAATAGAAAGGATTACCAATTAGTTTCCTATCATTTATAATAGCGGGGCTCGTCTTTTGTCGACTTTTTGTCAAAATTTAATACAGATACAGATGTTTAAAACATTAGGCACTGCTTCTAGAAAATATGGGCTCCACGTCCGATATCAAACTTATACGTTTCAGCGTTTCATAAGTATTTCAAATGAAATTATGGAAGTTAAATCATGCAAAAACTTGCGCAATAGCTCATTTCCTGAGCTATTACATTCGCCTCTGTCAACATTATTTGGCTTATTATGGAAATCACCCTTACAGAATATATATATTGTCAAGAAGCCCCGAAGTGAAAGAGTGAGGAAAGCCATGATTGAATTTATGTACCATATTCATCATGAATATCCAGCCGTAAATATGATTGTTAGCGAAGACGTTGCTAAAGAAATTACGGAGGAAAAGAATGTAGGTAGATTGAGGGAGATTCATAAGGACTTGAAGCTGAAATTAACTATGTATACCGGCTCCTTTGAATTAATCGTGAATAAGACTGATTTAATCGTCACGTTGGGTGGTGATGGAACAATTCTTCGAGCCGTGGGAGCATTTCTGAATGTCAATGTACCTCCCGTACTAAGCTTTGCGTTGGGAACTTTAGGATTCTTGCTTCCTTTTGATTTCAAGACTTTTCAAGATGCCTTTAAAATGGTATACGAATCTAGGGCACAGGCATTATACAGAAGTAGACTAGAATGTCATGTGTTCAGGAAGAATCCTGTTTCCACAGCTCAGACTACAGGCGGTGCACAAATAATGAAGCATGCATTGAACGATGTATCCATACACAGAGGTGGACAAGGAAACCTTGCTTCCTTTGACGTATTCATCGACAATGAGTTCCTTACTACATCTACCGCAGATGGTATGGTGATTTCTACACCCACTGGTTCTACAGCCTACTCTCTAAGTGCTGGAGGATCAATTACACATCCCCTGATTCCGTGCTTGTTGATGACCCCCATATGCCCTAGATCTTTATCATTTCGGCCCTTGATTATACCATCAAGATCTCAAATAATGATTCGCTTGTCAGATTCTAATCGCTGCCTGTCGATAAAATTAAACGTTGATGGTGTCTTCCAAAAAGATATGGAGCCTGGTGACGAATTGCATGTAAGTAGCGAAGACGGCGGACTATCTTCTCTGAGTAGTCCTTCTTCTTCTGAAGAGAAGTCGCAAATCCTGGGTGTCCAAAAGAGCACCAGCCGAAATGGTATATTGTGCATTGCGCGTAGCCAAAATGATTGGACTAAGGATATAAATGAACTCCTAGGCTTCAATTCATCCTTTAAATACATGAAAAGAAGATTCTAAGGTTATTCTTGAATATGCTGTGTGACGCATGTCTCGGATTTATTATAGATAAAGTAAAGTCACCAGACTTCTTACCTGCACATTCATCCTTTAAATATAGATACAAAATATAGATACATATGAGATACATACAGGTCTAGTAACTTTTAATAATATCCCCACTTGTATTAAAGATCACAAAATGGTCACCCGTACTTTCCACCACATTCTGCATGTCAAATCTCCATGTAATTATACGGTTTACGAGTTTTCCCACCCCCCATATACTGTACTCTTAATGATAGTTTGCTTGCTTGGTGATCATTAAGACTGACGATAGGGCGTTTCATTTATCGGGTGGCGCCCCTTTTCGACACTGCACCCCCATTAGCCACGATCGTTTGAGCTGAGAATCGCATCTCGAATTCACAACAGGGGGTGCATGTCTGGAGAGACTTTTTTTCCTTTCTGTCAGCTTCGCGGCGATTACGACTTTAGTTAAATACAACGTACAAGCGAACGAAAAAAAAAAAATGTGAGCATAATTTGACGGTCGCAACGATTTTTAAATAACTCAACGTTAGGTGTTCAGCAGAAACAGTGTCTAGCTAAATATTTTGAGAAGTGTCATATCTAGGTATTGAAAATATATTTTTTTTTATTGCAGAGCAGCTGATTATTCATTAGTGCTTAAAACATTTTGAAAGAACGTGAGGGGACTATATCAAAAACATTGAATAGGATAGAATACTAAGATACTTGCACTAAATTCACGGCTCAAAAAGAAGTAGATATACATCCTTAAATTGATTTACTGAGTCGGGATATTCATACTAACGTTTCTAAATAACTACAGTTAGTGATTGAAAATATTAAAAATGGCTACCGGTTTACCAGTACAAATGGCCATGAACAATTCCCATAAGCAAATGAATGGTACTATAACGAATCATACAGGAATTCCAGAAACCAATCCTTCTAGCGTTTTGAATGAGACAACAGCAGCTACATGGTTAGCAATTGGTTCCTTAGCAGAGAGCCTTGGAGACTTAGAAAAAGCCTTGGCATCATATGATGCTGCATTGAGACATTCACCGAATAACCCAGATGCACTTACAAGCTTAGCAAATATTTATCGCTCGAAAGATGTTTTTTTTAAAGCTGCGGAATTATATGAACAGGCTTTAAATTATAATCCTGAAAACGGTGAGACTTGGGGTTTGTTGGGCCATTGCTACTTGATGTTGGATGACTTGCAAAGAGCTTATGCTGCTTACCAAAGAGCATTGTATTATTTGGATAATCCAAATGTGCCGAAGCTTTGGCATGGAATTGGTATCTTATACGATAGATATGGGTCTTTGGAATATGCTGAAGAGGCCTTCGTTAGAGTTTTGGAGTTGGATCCAAATTTTGAAAAGTCGAATGAGATTTATTTTAGGCTAGGTATTATTTACAAACATCAGGGTAAGTTACAAAATGCGTTGGAATGTTTTCAATATATTTTAAACAATCCTCCCCACCCATTGACTCAACCTGATGTGTGGTTTCAAATCGGATCTGTTTTGGAGCAACAAAAAGATGGATATGGCGCTAAAGAAGCATATGAGAAAGTCTTGCAAGTAAATCCACAACATGCAAAGGTATTGCAGCAGTTAGGGTGTCTTTATTCCCAAGCGGACATATCTGCATCTTCGTCTCTGAATTCTAGTAATCCGCCTTTTGTTCAAGATCTCAACGTTGCTTTGAAGTATTTGACACAATCCTTAGAGATTGATCTGTCGGATGCTCACTCGTGGTATTACCTTGGCAGAGTTCATATGATCAGAGGTGATTTCAATGCTGCTTATGAGGCATTCCAACAAGCCGTTAATAGGGACTCAAGAAATCCTACTTTTTGGTGCTCAATTGGGGTTTTATATTACCAAATTTCCCAATACCGAGATGCGTTGGATGCTTATACAAGAGCAATTAGACTAAATCCATATATCAGTGAAGTTTGGTATGACCTTGGAACCTTGTACGAGACCTGCAATAACCAAATCAGTGATGCTTTGGATGCATACAGGCAAGCGGAAAGACTTGACCCAGAGAACCCCCATATTAAAGCACGTTTGGATCAGCTCATAAAATACCAACAAGAGGGTAATACGCACCCTCCAAAACCTCCTCCAGTATCTCAACAACCTAAGTTACCACAAGGAATGGTTTTAGAAAGTACCCAAAGTCCCCAACAGCCTCAGATTGTTACTGGTCAACAACCGCCTCATCATCTTGCTCCCCCCTCTTTGCCACAGCCAGTTCAACTTCCTCCTCAGCAACCCGGTCTTAATATCCCAACGGCTGCACCCCCTGTACAAGTTCCTCAGATGACAGCTGTGCCGCAGATCAGTCCCTTGTTACATCAGCCATCGACAACCAATCTCCCACCACTGACTTTCAAGCCACCTGTCTCGCCGATGCTGAATCACAAAGAACCGATTGCTTCGAAGAAGACACTTAAGAAATTATCTGGCTCTGAGACGACGCAAACGACAGTGGTTCCAAAAGAAGGAAAAAAGGAGCATTCGAAAGAATACAAGGATAAGCTGCAGGGTGATGTGAATAATAAGTCTTTGACTTCGTTACATAAGCAAACGAATGGTAAACATGATTTGGAGGATAAAAAAGATTCGAAGACTTTAAAAAAAGGTACAGTTTCACCCAAGGTTCTAGAAGATGAAAAAACACAAAAAACACAAAATGCACAAGAGCAGAAAGAACAACCGCAAGGTAATAACAAAGTTGAACCGAAGCCACAGCTGAACTCTGACTCAGTCTCGAAGATAACCGAGGACAAAGGAGCTGAGTTAAAGGAAGAAAAAGGGGTGGACAAGACTGAAGAATCAGAAGAAAAAAAGACCACAGAGCCCTTAGAGCCTCCATTGAGGAAAGTCGATGAAGATGAAAATTACGACGACGATTGAACTTTTTCTACTAGTAAGTAAATATTCAAGTTTGTAAATTTTTTTAATAAAAATCAATATTTTATCAGCTAGTATTTGCTTAATCATTATTTGGATAGTGACCTGGAAAATTTGCACTATGATTCTCGTTTCTTGGTTCGCTTGAACTTTCATCATTCTTCGGATCGACGCACACGATGCGCATTTGAGAAAGCTGCTTAGCTTTCCTGTCACATAAATACAAATTAAAAATATCTTTGGCTAAGACTACAGCCACCAAGCTTATAGCGTTACATAAAAGAGTCACCTTCTCTTTTGGGACACTGTTAAATAATCCGCTGTACTTAAGGGCCAAGTCAAGGGTTATACTGCCAACCTTAGAACTCACAAATGGCCACAAAACTGTTGTAAGAGCTCTTATGGTAATCGAATTAGACATCAAAGAACTTGAGTAATCTTTTTTGAGGCACGCTTTAGTCTCATGTAGCCACAAGAGCAATTTCAATTTCAAGAAAGAATACAAATAATTTCTGCCAATGCATATCCTAGATAATAAGAAGCCTTTCGTCAAGAGTTTATGAATCGAAGTAATCAAAGGTAAAGAATGTGTAGACTTATACTGCGATTCAATCTTTCTGTAAACAGCCAGCTTTAAGGCCCTATATTCAAGTTCCAACGTACCGAGCTGGGCACCTAGATCTTCCATACAATCTAACTCATTAGGACTGACACTGTTGGCAATCTCCCTGGGTCGTATTTTCATGACTATCTTAAAATGTGTTCGATTAAGAATAAGACGCGAAAGTAAATCATATGCCCATCTGATAGGAACCAACATTGATATTATATTATTTGCTCTCAACAAATCAATATTTTCGAGTAAGGGAAAGCCCTGATTAATTGACTTTGGATCTTGAAGAATTCTCCTAATTATAAATCTGAAATTCTTGAACACACCCTTAAGTAGTTCGTGATTCCCCAACGACGATATATAACCACTAATCATAAACTCCGTTAGCCAGTTATTTAAGACGGTATCTTTCGAGCTACCAAAAATACACGATGTGATGGACGAGGATCTCATTCGATAGAGAACAAGCGGTAAAACTGGGATTCTGGAGAATTTTAAAGGGTCAATCAATCCCTTTAAAAGTGCTTGCTCTAAGTTATCAATAGAATAACTATTCACATTGCCAAGTAGAATTTGTGAAAGAGTTGAATAATTGGAGGGCGAATACCTCCCTGACTTCCGAGTCAACATTTTGACTAACAATGGCCCAGGAATTAGGCAATCCATCATTTTCAATCCGCAAGTTGTAAGTCCAATGTAGCCCATCGACACGATACCAGTTATGGCAGAGGTAAATCCAAGGAAGAGCCCCCCGTACTGAATGCTCCTTGCTAATAGATTTTTGACAGCCGAGTTAAATGCAAGGGAGGTAGATGATCTCATGCTAAATACAATATCCTCTTTGCATTGCGGACAGGGGGCTAAAAAGAATGTGACAATGCTTCTCAGATTATCTGATTCATCTCCATGCCTACTAGATGATGGAATAGGGGTAGTATTACTTCCGATCCCAGTAGTCAATGATGCAATTAAATTGTTTAACAGATGCGCCGATATATTGATATGAATTCTGGTTTCATTTGCTGCTTGATCTAAGTCCGTATTATCATTCCCGTTGTCACTTCTAGGTCGTCTTATAGACTCAACACCATCTAAAGATTGAGAATCAACGATATGAAGTTTATCTGACGGTAATGAATTGAACCAGTCCAATAGACATTTCTTATGCGCCACAAGTGAACATGTAGAACATGGATGAATCAAAGCTTCCGCATCTTTACTGGTACCAAAGGGAGGAACATCAGTATTTCCTCCCAAGCAGAAGCTACATATCTCACCTTCATTCGTCATATTTTTATTGCATTAGCTAAAAAGAATACGAATCCTTCCGTAAATTGTAATATATCACTAGTGTTTTTGTCTGATTTACATAGTGCAGTGCCTAGTATTTTAGCGTAGAATTTACACTGGGCACTAAAAATTTGTATCTAGATACATAAGGCTACTTTGTATACATTTAGTAGCCATTCAATGATATAAGTACGATATCATATTACCATATGTTTTCAGAGCTCATTAGAGCCTTTTCGCAACATCTAATCCGATTGCTAAATGATATAACCTAGCATCAACAACACAACCTTCCTTCTTCAGAAGGTCCTCTAACTCTTCCAACAAATTGTCCAAAGGTAATGAAAACGTCTCAATGAACTCCCCCTCTTCTAATTCTGGTTTTGGATCAATATTCGCATGGTCTTTAAGGTCAACGTCAACGAAAGCTACAACCATATTAGCATTGGAAAGCCCTGGATCGTTAAACATGAGAGTTGACTGCCTCTTAAACACACCGTGATAACCAGTTTCCTCTCTCAACTCTCTTATAGCTGTAGTGGCAATTGATTCATTTGGATCAACCAAACCAGCTGGCAATTCCACTATAACCTTCTCAGTAGGGGGCCTGAATTGCTTCTCTAAGACAACTTCTTTAGGCTTATCAGGGTGACATAAGACCGAAAAGATAGCGACTGCATCGACATTCGTGGTATCGGTTCTAGTTGTTCTTACAGCCATTTCCCACTCTCTATTCTTCCCTGTAGGATCTTGGTAGTTGATTTTGCGAGTCTGAATCCATTTGCCTTGAGGCAAATGTTCTATCGAAACAACTTTTGCATCATAGGGACTTCCTTTCGTCAGATAACCCATTTTAGCTAATTGTCTAACTATGGATTTTGTTCTAATTGATGTAAAATTGTGCAGGCAAATTGGACGATAAGTTCTCAATTTTAGACTAAAAATCAAATTATTTCCTATAAACCTTGTCTTTGCATATTTTAACATTAGTAGGTTTTGGAGTCAGTTTTTCTCGTGAGGGATTCAGACTTCCAGTGAGCAGAGGGAATTCTAGTTTCAAATTTTTTTTGCTTTTTTTATGATTGCTCAGCATGACTCGTCAACAAGAAGAACTTGACCAAATAAAGTCGCAAATTCAAGAACACTTAGTAACCTCAGGAAATTATGATATAATAAACAAGCAGTTAAAACTACAGTTGTATGAATCGGGATGGTTTGATAAAGTTAGCCGTTTGGCTACTCGTGAATTGCAGTCAAATTCTGGGGAGGTGAAGTTTGACCAATTATTTGCTTTTGTTAAACCAAAGGCGGAAGAAATGGTTCCAGCTAAGGTAAAGGAAGACATTATGGATAGGATTAAAGACTACTTAAATGATGCTGTACAATAAACTAAATAAACTCATTATATTGCTTCATAATTGAAAATGTATAATGAAAATTAAATACACATTTAAATATTCAAAGAACATCCAGGAGGAGTGGTGGTTGGCTACTCAGTATAAGCAGTCTAGTCTGCTGTCTCTATTCTAAAATGTTAGGTAGTATCAACAACTTTATAAGAACATGTCGCAATTTGGATGTCGCGCAACATAATGTCGTAACCAATCACTATCTTTAAAATGTTGCTGATTTGAAATCTAGCGTAAGAAAATTGAATTAGCGTTATTGAGCATTTACTCTTTTTAATAATATAATTCAATACTGAAATCGACCTGCTAAGATCATGTATTCATTAGGAGGAAGATCTATTTTAAGCGTCGTGAAACGTCAGCCTCTTGGTTTGGTTTCATTACAAGGTGTTCGTTCAGTGTCATCTAAGGATTTAACACCAAGAAAATTAGAAACAGACTTTACATTAATGTCACAAAAGACTGCTTCATCTCCAGTTGATTATGCCTTGACTTCGTTGGATGCGATTGCAAACTGGGCTCGAAAATCATCCTTTTGGCCAGTCACTTTTGGTTTGGCATGTTGCGCAGTAGAAATGATGCATGTTTCGACCCCAAGATATGATCAAGATAGATTGGGTATCATTTTCAGAGCATCTCCTCGTCAATCAGATATCATGATTGTTGCAGGAACTGTTACGAATAAAATGGCACCAGCTTTAAGACAAGTTTACGATCAAATGGCCGATCCAAAATGGGTCATATCTATGGGTTCTTGTGCAAACGGAGGAGGCTATTACCATTATTCCTATTCAACTCTTCGTGGGTGTGATAGGATAGTTCCAGTTGATGTATACGTCCCAGGTTGCCCTCCAACTGCCGAGGCCTTGATGTATGGGGTCTTCCAATTACAGAAGAAGATGATGCAGACAAGAATTACAAGATTATGGTACAGAAACTAAACTAGTTTCCATTATTCGCATTGCATTTCATAGTTGTAGACTACAGAAACATAATAAACGATTTATAAAGGATATCATGTAAAGTTTAAAGAAATCTCTATGGAAGTTGGATTTACGAGTGCGCTAGAGAAGCGAACCTCTAATGATGAATGAAGATGGTATGTCTCAGACGTCATGCTGGATCTATGCGAAGATGGTTTCATGCCAAAGATAGTTCCACTATTCACCATTAACAAAAACTCTAATGAATTAGACATGAGAGATTCTTGTCTGGCATATAACTTTATGATCCAAAGATTATTCTGCGTGCATATAGCTTGACAGAATCTAAGGAGCGTCCAAGAGAATACTGCTATACTCTAATATGATTGGACAATACAACTTTTTTTTTGTTCGTTGAGAAAGGTGACTTTTTTTTTGCGCAATTAAATGGATTTTGCGTCATGTTTAATTCGGCTTGGGAGGCAATTTGGGATACATCGCCATCCCCTGTTTCTAAATTTTAACCCTTAATTACATATACCGGTTGCTTATTTTTTAATTTTTTTATTTAGCTTCTTTATACCTAATTAATAGTATATACTAAAGTTAGAGTGATAAAATGGCAAGAACAAAGCAAACAGCTAGAAAGTCCACTGGTGGTAAAGCACCAAGAAAACAGTTGGCGTCCAAGGCCGCCAGAAAGTCCGCCCCAGTCAGTGGTGGTGTCAAGAAACCACACAGATATAAGCCAGGTACCGTGGCTTTGAGAGAGATTAGAAGGTTTCAGAAGTCCACTGAATTGTTGATCAGAAAGTTGCCTTTCCAAAGGTTGGTTAGAGAAATTGCTCAAGACTTCAAGTCTGATTTAAGATTTCAATCTTCCGCTATCGGTGCTTTACAAGAAGCCGTTGAAGCATACTTAGTTTCCCTTTTTGAAGATACTAACTTATGTGCTATTCATGCTAAGAGGGTTACTATTCAAAAGAAGGACATCCAATTAGCTAGAAGGTTGAGAGGTGAAAGATCTTGAGTTTTTCATGTTTAATGATAACTGGTGGGAACTACAACAATTGTTAATGTTTATATCTTTTTTTCTCTTCTGTTGATTCAGCAATAAATCTTTTGTTGGTATTGTTTTTATGAAGTCATGTAGTAAGCATACTGTGACGTATACCCTAGACTCCTTTTCTTTGTGGTCTTGAGATGTAATTCATATATTGAGCTACGAAATGAAATATACTATTAAGCTCTGTATGCTCTTCTTTTAAGGACAAGGCCAAACACCACCTCTCCCAATAAGGGGTCCGATATGTTGCAAACGACTGGACATCCATCGACGTTATTTATATGATATCATGACGGCGCCAGGGACCTAGTATACGAAAGTAGAACAATTGTCATAAAAAAATTGGTTAAAAAAATAGATATGTTGAATTGATAATAAAATTCTTAAGCAAACTTTTGGTTATAAAATCACCTTTTATCACTCCTCTCCTCGCTGTCTTTTTCTTCGCCTTCACTTGTATAATTCTTTGCACCTTCTTCTCTTATAGGTTCACCTGGCAGCATTTCTTGCTGTGGAATAAACTGCTGGAATCTCATATCTTGTGGGAAATGACCGTTGAACATCGGGGGAACAAAGAGACCTGGATTTACATAGTTGTCGGGTGGAGCACGAGGTAAAAGTTCCCCATTACCTCTAGACACATCGTTGATGCTCATATTACCTATCGCATTGGACAAGTCATCTGGCGATGAGAGTCCATATTCTTGCGGGTGTATAGGCATGTAAAACTGAGGAGCCATGGGATTCATGTCCTCATTGAATTTAAGACCCTCGCTTGATACGCTCTCAGGATCTTTATCGTCATTAGAAGGAACACCTGTAGGGGGATAAGATGGTGGAAGGCCCATGTGATGCATACCTCCAAGCTGACCTGGCAAAGGAGGATATGCACCAGCAGCAGCGAGAGCTGGATCTAATCCCATTGAAAGCACAGCAGCAGCAGCTTGAAGCTGTGCAGCCTGTGCAGCCTGCTGTTGCTGTTGATATTTTCTGTTATTAACTGATACTCTTCCCCAGCTTAATCTGACTCTGTTGCCCCCTATAATAAAACCTTGCATCGCAGCAATAGCTTCCTCTGCTTCTTCTCGATTGGAATACTTAATGAAGCCGCAGTTTTTTCCAGGCGGAATTTTGATTTGTTGGATAATACCAAATGGCTTGAAGAGAGTGAACAAAGTTTGCTCAGTCACTTCAGACGATAAGCCACCGACAAATACAGTCGTATTATTTGGGTCTACGTATGCCTGCCCTTGAAGAGGGTGCATTCCCATATTAAGCTTCATTGGTGAATCAATGTTTTTTTCAGAACCTTGCAAATCATTCGAGGGTATGCCCATTGGTAGAGGCATCTGAGGGCTACCATAAAAACCGTACGGAGAGCCCATTCCTGGAGGTGGATGAGGGAGATATAGAAGATCTGGATGCTGTCCCTGATCAGGTGTATAGTAATTAACATTTCCTTGGTTTGAATATCTTGGTTTGTTGTTTCTAGGAGTAGCTAGCGCTACTCTTAATGGTCGTCCACCAAACCATGCACCATTCATTTCTACTAACGCCCTTTGTCTCTCCAGTTCGTCCGTGAAACGCACAAATCCGAAACATCTTGATTTTCCTGATACAGGATCTGTCATCACTCGTACTGTCTTTATTGATGTTGGAAAGTTCTCTTGAAAGAATGCCAACAAATGAGCCTCAGTAGTCGAGGCCGATAAATCTCCTACGAATAAGGAATACTCGGGGGTCTGAACAATAGGAGCACTTAAAGTGGCTCCACTAGCCCAGTTAAGCCTAAAATACTTCTTTTGATTATCAGGATTATTTGGAAATTGTTGCTGCGAAGGCATAGCGATATCTGGCAACAATTGGCCATTTAAAGCTAGAGCCTGCTGTGCATCTTCAAAACTCTCAAACTCAACAAAGCAGTAACCAGAGTGACTTAAGCCTTGATAGTTCATATCAGGTTTCAAGCTTTTCGGCTTGAATATTTTAACAGTGACCTTTTTCTTTAAGACCTGCCACCACAAGTCGGCGATACCGTTTTCATCAAGCCATGGATCTAAATCACCCATCCACAAGGTTCTTGGAGCATCGCTTTGACCTGATGGCGCTCCATTTCCGTTGTCCTTCTCAGCAGCAGCGCTTGACTGTTGGGTAGACACGGGTGGTTTCGGAATAGTAAAACCAGACAACATCTCCTGCTCTTGCTGATGTTGATGGCTAGCTGTACTTGAAATAGTAGCAGTGGTAATAATTGGAGCTCTTGAAGAAGTCTGTGACAAGCTGTTATCCTTCGATTCGTAGTCGTCGGCACTTTCTTTGGTGAACTCGCCCTGTAGATACGACATATCTGTATTATTCCAAGCCTATGCTTTTAGCAAGATGAATCACTTATGTATGCAATAATAAAATCTTAGAACAATGGAACCAGATGCAATTGAAACCACAAAGTAAATTATGCTGAATAATTGATAGATATACCAGTAGACACTAAATCGTCAGATCTAAGTGTAATCTAATTTAACGGCAAGCTGAACAAATAGAAGTAACTTTAAAAACACAATCTGGTTCAAATATTTAAAAAAGACACAAACCTTATTCTAAGTTACCTAAAACCACACAATTTTATGAATATACTTGATAAGTTGTATTAACAACTTCTGCTGATAATTTCGATTTGTAAACTAATCTATATGGCAATTGAAACCAGTAATAAGGACAAACAATAATAAGGAACAGTTGAGCTTCTTCAGCAAGATCAAGCCCGCAGATAATATGCAAAGTTGTACGTTAATATGAAAGACGTTCGATGTTACGAAGTTCAAAGAACAGAAGTATTGATCCTGCTCTGAATTGACTAAACCTGCATTTTCTAAGCAAGCGTAAATGATCAGGTGTTTATGTAGTTAACTGCTAAAAGTTGACATTTTTACAGGTTAAGAAGTGAGGGTAAGTTACAGGTCTTTGTTTACATTGAAAATAGATCTAGTGAACTCTACACAGAGAAATACAATATTATAGTCTTCCTTTAAAACGGTATTTTTTGAACCAATATCCGTAAAATATGGGTACGAGGGTGGTACTGGATGCTACATCCACCCAAAGCTCTACTGCCACAAATATAAGGCGCTTTATAAGAGAGACAGAGCTAAGTGACCACATTGACAACAGAAGTACTTCTACCGCCCAAACCTCAACCCAAGATGAGGGTTCTATTGTTAACCCTACGGCAGAGTATAATGGTGGATCCATAATGCGAAAAGCCAGTCAGAGGTTAAACTCCATCAGCGAAGAGCCGCTGAAAAATGAAGTTGCAACATTAGATCAGCGCGTAGACGAGAGTGAAGATGAAGTTGCCGCCGACATGGCAAAACCAAGCCAACCCAGTCTACATTTACGAAAACATAGCTATCAGGACAAGTTGAAATATTTGCCTAATAGAAACTTCGAGGTAGAAGTAAGTGGTCTCGATCTGGCAAACACTTATTCTGTGACCAATTCAATTCCAAATACTTTCAAATATAAGTCGCATCCTAATGCTAAAACAAAAGCATCTTTAGGGGCTGAGGTGATAAGAAAATTTGATGAGAAAACTTCAACAGTCCTCGAAGATGAAGATGAAGATGTCAATCGTGGTGCATCTCATCTTTCTTCAGATCGTTCACATGAGCTGCAAGGTCGACTTGAGCAATTTAATACGACTCCAGACTGGATGCCACCAGAATTGAATGAAAAGTGGATGCCATCTAATAGAGAGGAAGGTGTTGAGCATGAGATCCTTGGCGCCGATTCCGAATTCGGCTCTTCAGTCAGAGTTTTTAAATCAAAAAGTAGTAACCAAGATAACTCTTCAAATTTCAAGATCCCTTCAACCAATACAATAGTGCATAACTCAAACACTGGTGTTCGTACTCCTATGTGGAAGAAAGCTAAAAATGAGTTTCAGTCTAATAAAAGACCTCAATTCAATCTTCAAAACATATTTTTGGAAAATAATGAACGAGAAGATGACGAAGCTCCTCAAAATAAAGACGCTTCTGAAAATCATTCACTATCTTCTACCCTATCGACTCCTTTTGGTACGGTTTCACATACTCAAGGAATTCAGAACCAATTAACACAATTGTCGCATTTTCAGAGGGAAATGGATCAGGAAAAGCTTGCAGGGGCTTCTGGTGAGCCTGAATCTCCATTAAAACTATTTGGTGATAAGTACAATACTTTTACGAAGGAAAAATTGAATGATCTCCTATTCAAAATGAACAACAAATCCTCCAACATCAAAGAATCTGAACAAAAGACTGACGAAAACAAAAGGAATATCGAGGTTCCCAAACCTCCTGAAGTGAAGCTAAAAATAAAAAACTTTACACAATCAGGATCTTACACCGAACAACAGTTTTTGCAGAACGCAAATAATATATTCAAGAATATCCAGAAGAGGGGATATATAAATAAAGCTGAAAACGAATACGAAAACAGAGCCAAGACACTCTCAACTGCTACATCTACCCCAATAGCCGAGAAGCAGTACAGGGAGCCGCATAATGAGTATTTTGAAAACCAATACTCATTTTCAAGCGACTACTTAGAACGGGATTCTTCAACGTCACAAGCAAGAAAACAACATGAAATGCTGCAAACTGATTCCAACGGATACACCTTTGAGAATTCTTCCAAAACAAATAGTATAGTGCTGGCACAAGATGGTCCCAGTGAACCCTTAAATGATCAATTACGTGATCACGAGAGTTCCTATACGTATGACGAATTTTCCGATGAAGATAATACTCTGGGTAAGGTTAATTCACATTTTGACCTGAGTATTCCAGAGCAAAATAAAGATGGGCACCAATACCAATCTACCAATAATGACTATGATCGGATTAACTCTCGCCTTGACGAGCTTGAAAAGCTAATGAAAGACGTAAATGAGAAGTTAAGTACTTTGGGCCAACATGAGGCAAAACATGGAAACCGTAAAGCCGATGTATCAATAGAGCAAAATGAACCTCATGAAGTTTCTATTGACCAGGCAGACTTAACCCGTGAAGATTATAGTGAAATTCAGGACTTTATTAGATGGAAGAAAGCGTCTCAATTAAAGCTATTATCAGAGCGCCAAACTTCGCAGCAAAATGCTATGAGAGAGTCAAATAGAGGTAGTAAAACCGCTCGTGGCCATGTGAAACCTGATCTGCATTTGCCTACAGAATACGAAAATATGGTTCTAGATACAAAGAATCAACGCTGGATTTTTAATGACAAAGAAAATTCTCCTGGTGGAAGTTTAGATTCCATCGATGATTTAATAGTGGATTCAAATGAACAGTCATTTTCTTTGCTGCCGAGCGAAAAGAAAAGAGAGCTGACTTCATATGATGCGATGAGTAACGAGCAACGAAATAGAAACAGCAACAAAGCGGAAGTCTCCTTTCAGATCCCCACTCAAGCAGATAATTCAAGAAATCGAGGTTATATCAATGGTAACGTAACCCAAATTTCGCAACTAAATGATGTTACATTTTCTCAAACACAAAGAAAATTGGTCTCAGTCATAACTGATGTTTTATCGGAGAAAACAAATGAAGGTATTGATTGGAAGCAAATCCATAAGGTCTCATTGTCGAATTGCTCTATAGACAGTGTGAACGATTTAGATAAATTGTTGCCTAATCTCTCTGATGTTGACCTTTCTGCGAACCACATCAAATACTTGGATGGGCTACCACTCGCTGTTATGAACCTTAATTTGTCGAATAATTGCGTTGAGAACATTACATCTTTTGCGAAGTATCGTGACTTACAGGTGTTAGACGTATCCCTGAACTCGTTGACCAACTTGTCTGGACTTGACCGAAACATACACTTGAGTGAACTAAACTTGTCTACTAATAGTTTAACGTCGATAAATGGGATTAAAAACTTACATAACCTCGTTAGGCTCAATGTTTCAGGAAATGACTTAATGGGAGAACTTGACTTTAAGCAATTCAATTTGATTAAATTGGAAGAGTTGAATTTATCTGAAAATAGTCTTCAGGAGGTTCGGGGTCTAGAGTACTTGACAAATTTAAGAATATTAAATTTAAACGAGAATCACTTGACTAACTTATCATGCAAGATGAAGCATCAACATCTCAAGAAAATTCTTTTGAAGTTCAATAATTTAAAGAAACTAAATTTAGAATCTTATCCTTACTTAAGAGTTTTGAGGATCGACGGAAATTCATTGAACGTGGTGACTGATATTAAGAAGTTAAAAAATTTAGATGAAGTGTCCTGTAAGTCACAGCTAAGCTTTCAAGTTATAGGAAATGTTTTTGAAGGTGCTCGTGACATTCAAACGTTAGATCTATCAGGTAATTACCAAATTAACTTTCCACAATATCTAGATGATTTGGTTAAAGATATACAAATGAAACCTTTTCTCAATTTGACGCATCTTTCTTTAGCTGCTATGAGTTTAAGTCTGATTCCTGAATCATTTGCAAACATTTTTCCAAATGTAAGGGATTTAAATTTGAATTTTAATGCATTGCGTAATATTAATGGTCTATCGAAGTTGAAAAACATTAAGAAGTTGCATTTAGTGAGTAATAATATTTCAAAGACAGAAATTATCGTTACAGGCCTCCTTGGCTCTAGGCAATCGTTAAAAGTGTTAGATGTAAGGCTAAATCCTTGCACCATTGAACTTTATCCATACGTCTTCAATCCACAAGAGTTGGATTTGACAAATATACAAAATACTGATGCCAGTCCAATACATTTGGAGTCATTGGATGATATTGAAAGTTTCGGAATTCATTATCAATCACTCAGTAAAAGCTCGGACAACTGGATTAGTAGAGATGCACAATTTTTTGCAGATTTGGCAAAGCAACGAAGCAGTAAACGAATTAGAAAGAGACTCGACTATGAAACGTTGATAGTAAATTTCTTTATCAGTTTAAAGAGGTTTGATGGAGGGATTATCACGAAAGAGAAGAGAGTGGCCCTAAAAGCCCGACTTAATCTGAAAGAAATGCACTCTTATAATTAACTTGCATTTTTGTTGGTCAATACTGTATATTTAAATAATAGAATAAACAAAAGCCGAGAAGTTTAAGCTGCTCGCGCTTTTTGCATAAGAAGATATACTTCGAATATTCAAATGAATTAATCAGAAGAAGTTGAGTTACGTATATATACTATGAGTCTCTCAAGGAGAATTTGCATAGAATGGCCACCAGAGGTACCCGAAGAAGAAACAAAAACGATGGTTTTTACTTCTCCTCAAAATCATTTTGTTGATGTCAGAATATACAAAAACAGGTATCCATATCTATCCCAAGACACAAATGTTTTCCTTGACGATTTGTTTCAATGGTGTATGTCAGGGGTAGAGGAGCCTATATATGGTACCAATAAGATTAAATTTTTGCACGATGTGGACTCACAGGTTATTTCAAAATCAATCAAGTTACATATACCCTTGCACGAAGCAGTTGGAGAACCTGACATTGGAGACTTCTCTCTGAAAACCGAATCAGGGGACAGAATTGAAACAGGGCTGATGATTAATCCAGCGTCTAGCTTGAAACAAGACTACGTTGAAATCTGGCGTTCGTTGGATCCAAATCAACATACACCAACGATAGAAGTAAAAGAGAAATGTCCCCCAGAAGAATTTGATGTTACAGTATTAAAAGTCTCCTCTGACAGATATGAAGGGAAGGTCATTAAATTAGGCAACTGGACCCAAGGGATCTTACATGATAAACACAATCTGAAAATGCCCTTGCATGTTATAAGATCTTTTTTTAACTCTTCAACGCATCAAACTGTTCCTTTGATTCAATATGGTGACATGGAGCTATTTCCCGCAGATTCTGACTATGTGTTGAACTCATCGATTCACATTAATGATACTCTAACTTGGAAATGTATAGAAAAGTAAATTATCATGTACATTGCCTAATTTGGTAATCGACATTACTTAATTTTTCCCTACAAAAAAGGCATCATATCTAGCGATCCATAGTGAATCTGCTGTAGAATTAATCATTAAATTGCTATATAAATATTAATTGGTTCATAAAATGACTGGTGAGAGTTGGTAAGTACTTGAGATTTAATCATACGTCATCGAATTGGATTCTCTCTTTATTAAGGCAAATGGAATACATGGTTAGTGTATAATTTTCAAAGATTGCCTTGGAGGTCGTATTGATGTCATATGCTTATTTTTTTGTTTATATCAGGATTATGGAAGCTAACTTGAAGAATATATAGGCTATTTATTTTAGCTGTGATTGTGAATCTTGTTAACTTGTTTGCACAAGTTTTTTTTACGATTATGTATTCTGATTTGGAATGTGATTATATCAATCCAATTGAATTATGTAACAAGTTGAATCCATGGTTCATTCCAGAAGCTGCTATTCATGGCTTTCTTACAACCTTGTTCTTAGTCAATGGCTATTGGTTTCCCTTATTGTTGAACTTGCCATTGTTAGCCTACAATGTAAACAAGTTCTTAAACAGAAACCATTTATTAGATGCAACTGAGATTTTTAGAACCTTATCCAAGCATAAAAAAGAATCTTTTATTAAATTAGGGTTCCATTTGTTGATGTTCTTCTTTTACTTGTTTAGAATGATTATGGCGTTGGTCGCTGATGAAAGTTAAACGATGCGATGTTGCCCCATCTCTTCGAATTTGCGCTATGCAAGTGAATCATGGCACTGCCCATTTCAATATGAATATTTTCATTCATTTGAGATTTCCATACATCGATGTGCTAGATTAACGTATGTTACTGATATTTAAATTTTTAGTCTTTATTTTTTTTCTTTTAATTTTTTTCCTTTTGCCATTATTCTTCCATCTCATACTGCTGCTTCAGACTTGTCATCATTAGTCAAATTCGTTACTGTTCCTATGTATTCTAAATAAATTAACTGTAATCTAAATCTTGTTGTAGTTACCTTCAAAATTGATTAATTCGTCATTTATAAAACTGAGCTTTTGGCAAATCCCATGCAGTGAGTGAGCAAGTTTTGAAAACAGTCTCAATTTTTCATTAACAGAGCTATGAATGTCGTTACACATGTCATTACTATTGCTATGATTTACGCTTCGATTAACACTTTCAAATTTATCACACAACGAATTATTCTTATTGTAGTTATCGACCTCAAGCGAATATTCCTTGCGCAATCGACTGAGATTAGTTCCCACATTGTTATGATCTTCTCTGATCTTATAAATATTTGTTCTATATTCAAGCTTCATTCTCTGTATCTCAGATATTTTCTCAGATATATCTTTAATGCTAAAATGCATATCAGCTAAATGCTCAATATGACTCAAAACGTGAGTTTTAAACTCTTCTTGTATTGTATTTTCATTGACTGCCAGGGACTGAAGCTTTAATGGCTGATAGTTTTTAACCAAATGCTTTAGAACATCATATGTATTGATTTTGAATCTCCTATCTTTCTTTGAATCTATGATAATTCTCTCTATATCTATCGTCATAGGTTTTTGTCTTTCAGAAGACTTCGTCTTCAATAACAGTAGACAATCGATAGCCTTTTCTGTGGGGTATTTTCGCGATGAATTGTTACTACTATCAGTGGAATCTCCTAGAGCTTTCTCATGGTGAAATATTGTCTGTGGGGGCCTCGCATTCTTTCTTATCTTGTAAATTTTATCTTCATGATTACCAGGATTGGCATAGTGTTCAGAGAGATCCTTGGTACTTTTTGACTTTCTTCGTGACCGATTACGGGTCTTTTTTTCAGAAATGGCTGATGCACTTTTTAGTCGCTTGGACGTCAGACCTTTAGAATTGCCAAGAGGGGTCTTTGCTTGTGAGCTTTTGGAAGTCTTACGCGAAACATTTGAGTCAAACTCTTCATATTCCATATTATCATCAAATTCATTATATTCATAATCATTACCAGTCAAATCTTCACTAAAATGAGAAGCATTGCCATTGTCCTTTGAATTTAAATCAGTGTACGCCTTCAGAGCTTCTCCTTGTAGTGACTGGTACCTGCTTGTTGTATATAAATCAGCTTCATTAAGTGATGTTCTAATTTGTGAAGACTTACGCCTATCAGACCTAACCAAAAGCTGTGTATCTTCCTTTTTGATTAACTGGGACTCGAGGCTATTAAGTAAACTTCTTCTTTTTCTATTTTCACTCGTAGAAGATATACTAAAATCTGACGTCTTTACATTTCTTCTGCTATTGTCTAATGTTAGAATTTTGAGATGTCGTTTGATGTATGTTGATTTTCAAAATGCTTACCCAGAACCACGCTTTCTGGCCTCTATTTTGGCCAACCTTTCTAAAGAATTCATAAAGAACTATCTTGTATTCTTTTGTTATGGCCTGCTTTTGATCTATGAAACGCGACAAGAGAGAAAAAGAAACATCTACAGTCAAAATATTCAGCCAAATAATTAATGTTATTATACATGACTCACTACTTACTTATAAAAGTCAGAAGAAATTGATCAGAGTCTAAACTAAGCTCAAGTCCCTCGAAATAGTGATATACTGGCTTACTGTTGAGAAAAGTGTTCTAACAAAATATTTCTCTCGTCAGAGTCGTTACCCCAGTTCTTGACAACAACACAAGAGGCACCAACAACCTTTCTAGCATTACCTTCTCTGTCCAATTGGCAAAGACCGGCCCATTCACCTAATTGCTTAGCATCAGAAACCTTGATCAAAGGAATTTTCTCTTCTGGCTCATTGCATAAAGCTTCGACCAACTTTACAATTGATTCTTCAGTGACAGAGTCACATAAGACACACAACTGTGCCTCTCTTCTAGAGAGAGCCTTAGAAGCTTCTCTTAAGCCTCTAGCTAAACCATCATGGACTAAAGATGTTCTCAATACAACCTTCAAAGCATCTTCAATGGAGATAGCACCACCCTCTTGTTGTTCAATAACAACTTCTTCAACGACTTGTTCTTGCTCAATGTCAGACATTTTTATTAGACTTCTTCGACAGTATATATACCCTGCTCAGTACTAACTTGTGTGAAATAAAGAAGAGAATATATCTTTAAATTTTTCACGGAAGCTTTACTGTCTCGGACAGATTTTGGATGAAGGAAAAAAAAATTTAAAAAAAGGTGTTGTGCCCTAATATGGATTGAGGCACGTGAAAGATATTTTCCGTTGCATAGTTAGATTACATTTGAAAGTCTGAGTTTCATAAGACATAGTTATAGTTATCATATATAATAATAGAGCACTAAAGAAGCAGGATTAAATAGATCACATATCGAATATAAGTCAGAAGAAATAAAATGCTTAGCTGAAAGTACATCAAGTAGTACTAAATATCACAATTCCATTTCGTCGGCCGCAAAAGGTTTATGATCATCGTCGCTGTCCATGATAGCGTTTTCATCATCAGACAGGGCAACGCTTCCATTACGAGCTACTCCAGTCACTCCTGAAGTATTTGCTGTAGATCCTTGATTATAGTCGTCGTCATCATCTTCAAAATCAACATCAAAGAAATCGTCGTTAGAGCCTGTTATTCTTGAAAAAAGTATTTTTGCTTCTCCAACAATACCATCGTATGTGATTTCAGATGATGGCATATTTGAAAATATAATATCCTCTGCATCTGGCAATGTTGCTAGAGAAACATTGCTCGAATCCTTCGGAGAGATAATGTTGGATAAATCAGGCTTAATGTAAGTAGACTGAACATATCCCAATTTGCAAACAATATCCAAGGTTTCCCGTGGAACAAAATTTTGTAAAGATTGGCCCAATTTAAAAGAATTAGTAACAACTGGAGTTCCCTGCTCGCCAATAGCGAACTCTTGGTCCTCTAATACGTCATCCAAATCTGAGGATGACTCACGCAAGATTGAATACTCCATTTTCTTGAATGCGCTCTCCAAATCTATTTTCGCCTTCGCCAAATCCTGTTCCGTAGTATGTGAATACCAAATCGACTGTCCTTTAGGGCACACATCAGATTCTCCATTCTGTATTATTACTTGAACACCTTGCTGATTATCAGTTGGAAGTGAATGAGGAGGGAAAACAACCACAGCAGATGACTCATGTTCTGCGATCCATTCTTTACAATCTTTTCTTACAATCGTAATCAACCTGGTTATATAATAAAGCTTCAACTTTTCAACTAATTCGTTGTACCCTGATTGTAAAAATTTGGGAATCTGGGTAGGAGATAACACGATTTTTTCATTGATCTTAACCACACTTCCATCGTTAAACTTTGCAATCTTCAGCTGAGGATCAAAATCAATCAAGGACGTGTTCAATTTGTATGTTGTACCAGCAACAGCAGCACTTCTGCAAAAGCCTTGAGATATCTCTCCTGCACCACCATATTTCAGGACCATTACAGGGAAGTTACCATAAACGTCGAAGGAGGTCAAAAATCTTTTTATTCTCGCCAAACCTTCGGGGGTTCTTGTAGTTTCTTTAGGGCATAAACCTATTGAGAACACAAGCTCGTTGATCTGCGGAGTGTTCAAATGAAACTGATTAGACAAGAAGTCACGGATCGGTGTTTTAGCATTATCCAAAAGTATTTTCTTTTTATCTGGATTATTATTATCTTGGAGCGTAAATTTGAGAAACTTCATTAAATATCTTTTCGTTATTAACGAAAGAGATTGATCTGTGAATATATGTTCTTTTGTAGTATTGGAAATTTTCTTACTAAAGCTATCATTCTCGAAGACATGAAAGTTGCTCAAACTTTGAAATTCCAAGTATTTGTAGACTCTTGATTTTATTAAGAGAGATAAGAGATCAGACCGTGCAAACATAATCTTAGGACTCAAATCTACGCCATAGTCTTTGCTGTGAAATCTGTTCGTAGCCTTTCCCCCAGGAATGTATATTTGTGCATCCTGGAAGTGCTGGATCTGACCCAGATTAACGTCGACGCACCATTTCTTCAACTGATCTATTGTTAAGGTGGAGGTCAGGTCTCCGTAATAGCTCTTGTTGTCAATATGAAGAGTCTCGACACCTTGCCACGAAAGTGCCGCCGCCAATACACTTTCAGAAAGTCCAGTTCCCATTATTAATACATCACACTGGTCCAATTTTAGACTATGGTCCTGGGGCTTCTCCAATCCTGCTAGATGAGGAATAACCGGTGGTGTGTACGAGACACTAGGTCTTCTTTCAGCCATAGACTTTCTTCTTTCGGTTCTATGTAAAGGGCCCATTAAGATGACGCTTGTACTTCACGACAAACTTATCTAATAATACCTCAATACTTTTAAACGACTATTCAATTTACCACGTCACAATTTAAGTGTCTTTTAAGTCAAGACAGCTTGCCTTTACTTCAAGCTAGTCAAGATGGTATATTCTACCTTGGCTCGAGTTCTGGCAATGAGCTTCAATTTTCTGAGTTCTAAAACTATAAGCTTTTTAAAAAAGACGCCTTTCGAAATGATTTACTTAAGTCAAACACGTAATCACTTCCTAATGTGTTAAGAATTAGTTGTAATATGTAGCTGGTTAATTTGTAAAAGCTGTGGTAACAACTCGACGTGACACCGGACCAGCAAAAAAATTTTTTCGCTTATTAGCTATACTACGACCTCTTGTTCCTATTGTAACCTTTGGACACGTTTTATTTCAGTAGCCTGTAGCCGAAAGAAACCTCAAAGTCAATACTGTCAACTAGAGGGATTCAGAGAAATCACCAGATAGTCTGAATGTCTTTTGAAGGAACTGGAACTAGGTAATGGTATTTTAGTGCCTCACGTGCGTGAGCTTCGATTACTACTTGAGTATGTGAGAACTGAAGACGCCATATTAATGCTAACATACAATTAAAACTTAACTTATTTTTTCATGGAAAAAGGAATCGTAAACCCTAAGGTAGAAACAAAGGGTTCTCTCTTGTTAGCATGGCAGGTAAAAAATAAACATTGTTTAGTAATAGGCGGGGGGGAAGTTGCATTCAGTCGAATAGAGCATATGCTAAGAGCGCAAGCGAAGATAACGGTCATTAGTGGAGCCGATAAGGTGCATCCAGAGATATTGAAACTAGTAGATCGTGGGGTTATCTACAAGTTTGAGCATCGGGATTACTTGAGTTCAGATTTGACCTTGTATGAAAGAAATGATTTTCAGATAGACAATGTGGATTTAATAGCGAAAGAACATTATGACGCTATTGGTCAAGGAGTCAATAACGAAACTTTTGCTATAGTTTGCTGCTGTATAGACGATTATGAATTGTCTTCTAAAATATACTACCAATGTAAATATCTTCGTTTGCCTGTGAATATCGCAGATAAACCATGGTTATGTGATTTTTATTTCGGTAGCATGATCAACATGGATAATCTTCAAATTATGGTCTCTACTAATGGGAAGTCACCGAGATTGCTGAAGTTGATAAAAGATTCAATAGCTAGGCAATTCAAGGATGTGGACTTGAACAAGGCAGTAGAGAATCTAGGATCAATAAGAGCTCGTTTGCGTGAGACCGTGGTAGTCAATGAGGATTTAGTTAGCATCGATAGTCGAATGAATTGGATCAAGGCTCTCACGGACTTTTTTGATTTAAGACAATGGAGCCAATTGGACTTGTCGCTCGAAAAGGTAGATAAAATTGTTAGCTTTTTCCCAGAATATCCTCCAAAAGATTACGATCAGTTCAAATCTACAATTCTCAGCTAAAATCCAATTGCAAATTTTATTCACAATTCTATATTGGTATCTAAATCTTCATGTAAATACTTCTTGTTGCCTCCACCTCCAATGTAAGCGCCGATAGTATGCCCATCTCCCTTTAACTGATACTGATAGCTCATCAACCCTTCCAAGCCAACTGGACCTCTAGCATGTATTTTATTAGTGCTGATTCCCACTTCTGTACCAAATCCATATCTGAATCCATCCGCAAATCTAGTTGAGCAGTTCCAGTATACGCCAGCAGAGTCTATACTTTTCAAAAATTTATCTGCAGACGCTTTATTCTCTGTAATGATACAGTCTGTATGCTTTGAAGAATGTGAGTTGATATGAAGAATCGCGTCTTCAACAGAAGAGACCAATGTAACAGATATATCCAAAGAAAGATACTCCGTATCGAATGAGTCCCGCACAGTGGGTCTAACATACGTTTGATCGAAATTTTGAATCAAAGGAATAATATTAGGAGTTGCATGTACTGTAACATGCTCATCAATTAACGATTTTATGATTGCAACTATTTTCTCATCTTCGATTTTATCATTAATCAAAAGCTGTTCTACTGCATTACAACCAGCTGGATAATTCGTCTTCGATTCGACAATTATCTTTTTTGCCTTCTCCAAATCAAAATCATAATCCAAATAGATTGAGCAAATACCATCAGCATGTCCTAACACAGGTATTTTTGTATTAGACTTAATATTGCGAACTAATTGATTGGATCCTCTCGGGATCACTAAATCGATGTACTTATCCTGCAGCAATAAATCACCAACCTCCTCTCTTGACTCTATAAGCTGAATCGCATTTTCAGGGACTAAAGTATCTCTCTTTAAAATTTTATTTATAACATCACTCATAGCCTTAAACGTCTGGAATGACTCCTTTCCGCCTTTCAAGATAGCTGCGTTACCTGATTTAATAGCCAATGCTGTAATATTAGCAATAACTTCGGGCCGTGATTCGAATATAATTAGTAAGACCCCTATGGGGGTAGTTACTCTGTACAAATTCAAACCTTCGTCTATTTTTCTAGCTAGTGTACATTTACCCACTGGATCAGGCAAATCTGCGACATCTAAAATTCCCTGCAACATAGCATCATATTTTCCATTTTTTGACAAGTCTAATCTTTTAATCAAAGAAGAAGACAACGAATTTTCATTTGCATTGTCCATATCAGTTTTGTTGGCTTGCAAAATTTCTTCTTGACATTCTTTTAATCCATGATAGATCTTTCGTAATGCTTCTGATCTTTGTTCTCCCGACAAAATTTTCAAAGAGGTAAATGCAGCATTTGCATTTCTTGCGATATTCTCCGCCATATCTTTACACCTTGAAGTCTGTGTCTTGTGTTAACTCAATATAGTTTCAGGTCACTTTTTTTCAAATATCTTTTAGTCATAGTCGTATACCAATTTTTCAAATCCTGTATAATATGCCATCTCACCAAAACACAGTACGTTGTTTTGTTAAACGTATCAACTCTAAATATAAGAAAACTTTAACTGAGCCACTCAAAAGGTAGCAAAAAAGTCTTATTAAACAAGGACATCGAGGCAGATTGAATTTGCTGAAAAAGTAAATTTGGCCGTTCTTAGTTCCAAAAGATGTCTTACACGCCATACGATGTTAACGACAAGAACAGATCGAATAATACAGCTAACCCATTTTCAGATTCCCAGAATCTTATAGATCTCGATTTGGATGATGATACGGACTATTACAGACATTCAATTGGTAGGAATAGTGTGGGTGATCATGCCTCTAGTCTGATTCAAAACACCACGCAATATAATCCGTTCGACGATCCATTAATGCTATCAGATGATGATGACGATACTTCAGGAATGAGAGATCAATCTCATAGTAGTATTCGCCCAGTGCCATTGCTTAGTACATCCAATGTGGCAAGTAAACAAAAGAGTGGCTTTTTAAATGGATTAAGGAAAAAGAAAACATCTGACTATCTGGAGATGAGTAGTTCGAACGTTCAAGATGGAAATATCATAGACGATAGGCAATCGGAATTTGATATACGAAGAATGTTTCAGAGAATAAAGATGAAAATCCTTGGATCGGCTAGAGCTCAAAATGATTTCGTACCGTCCAGCGGACCCAGACACATACATATAATGAATCATGCATCAAATTCGGCGTATGGGTATTACGGTAATCACATATCAACAACAAAATATAACTTTGCTACTTTCTTGCCTAAGTTTTTATTTGAGCAGTTCAGTAAGTATGCCAATTTGTTTTTCCTTTTCACTTCAATTATCCAACAGGTTCCCAATGTTACGCCAACCAACAGATACACAACAATTGGGACATTGATCGTTGTTTTACTTGTTTCAGCAATCAAGGAAATAACGGAAGATGTTAAAAGAGCTAATGCAGATAAGCAGTTGAATAACACAAAGGTTCAGGTTTTAGACACAGGCAGCGGATCCTTTTCGTTGAGGAAATGGATTAATGTTAAAGTTGGGGATATTGTAAGAGTAAATAATGGCGAGCCATTCCCAGCAGACTTATTAATAATTAGCTCATCCGAGCCTGAAGGGCTTTGCTATATTGAGACTGCCAACTTAGATGGCGAGACAAATTTGAAAATTAAACAAGCAAAATCTGAAACCTCTTACTTAGTAAATCCAAGGGATATTCTCAGTGACTTGTCGAGCTCAGAAGTTATTTCAGAGCAGCCAAATTCCTCGCTTTATACTTACGAAGGGAATTTAAAAAACTTTGCATCTTCAGGCGATATTCCTTTTTCCCCTGATCAACTTTTGCTTAGAGGTGCGACACTCCGAAACACACAATGGATATATGGGATTGTCATATTTACTGGTCATGAAACTAAGCTAATGCGTAATGCGACAGCAACTCCAATTAAAAGAACAGACGTTGAAAGGATTATCAATTTACAAATCATTGCATTATTCTCAATTTTAATTATATTATCATTTGTGTCCTCGCTAGGTAATGTTATAAAACTTCAAGTTGATAAACGTACATTAGGTTATCTTATGTTGGGAGGAACCAATAAAGTGAAATTGTTTTTCCAAGATATCTTGACCTATTGGATTTTGTTTTCAAATTTGGTACCAATTTCATTGTTCGTGACAGTTGAAATTATCAAGTATTACCAAGCATACATGATCGGAAGCGATCTTGATATGTATCATGAAGAAACAGATACACCAACTGGAGTTAGAACATCATCCTTGGTAGAAGAACTAGGACAAATTGATTATATTTTTAGCGATAAGACAGGTACCTTAACCAGAAATGTCATGGAATTTAAATGTTGCTCTATAGGAGGAAGATGTTACATTGAAGAAATTCCTGAAGAGGGCGGAGCTCAAGTTGTAGATGGCGTAGAAGTCGGTTATCATAGTTTTAAGGACATGTATAATGATTTGCTGGATACTACTCTGCAACAATCTGCCATCATTAACGAATTTTTTACTTTGTTAAGTACTTGTCATACTGTTATTCCCGAAGTTAACGAAGTCGACGGTTCTATAAAATATCAATCTGCATCTCCAGATGAGGGAGCATTAGTGGAGGGAGCTGCTCATTTGGGGTACAAGTTTACCATCAGAAGACCTAAAAGCGTAACAGTGAGGAATACCTTGACAAACTTGGATTTTGAATATGAGTTACTAAATATTTGTGAGTTTAATTCAACCAGAAAGAGAATGTCTGCTATTTTCAGATGCCCTGATGGAATAATAAGATTGTTTTGTAAAGGTGCGGATACTGTGATTATGGAAAGATTATCTGAAGAGCAGTCACAGCCATTTGTTGAATCAACATTACGCCATCTAGAAGAATTCGCAGCTGAAGGTTTGAGGACATTGTGCATTGCTTCAAAAATAGTCTCAGAGGAAGAGTATAAGGCTTGGGCAACACGGCATTATGAGGCTTCGACCTCTTTGCAAAATAGGTCTGATAAATTAGATGAAGTGGCAGATTTAATTGAAGGTGATTTGTTTCTTTTAGGAGCAACAGCAATAGAGGACAAACTACAGGATAACGTTCCAGAGACTATAAGCACGTTGCAAGAAGCAGGAATAAAGATTTGGATACTCACTGGAGATAGGCAGGAAACGGCAATTAATATTGGTATGTCTTGTAAATTATTAAGTGAAGACATGAATCTTTTAATCATCAACGAGGACAATAAAAGAGATACTGAGCTCAATTTAAGAGAAAAGCTAAGTGCTATTCAAAATCATCAGCTTGACGGTGAAGACTTGTCTTTGGAATCTTCTCTTACATTGATAATAGATGGTCACTCCTTGACTTATGCGTTAGAACCTGAATTGGAGGATTTATTTGTTGATTTAGGTTCTCGTTGTAAGTCTGTCATTTGTTGTAGAGTTTCTCCTTTGCAGAAGGCAATGGTCGTGAAAGTTATTAAAAGGAAAAAGAAAGGTTCTCTTTTGCTAGCTATTGGAGATGGTGCTAATGACGTTTCTATGATCCAGGCAGCACATGTTGGCGTTGGTATTAGTGGTATGGAAGGAATGCAAGCAGCACGAAGTGCAGATATATCGATTGGACAATTTAAATATTTGAAAAAGTTACTTCTTGTCCATGGGTCATGGTCATATCATCGTATTTCAAATGCTATTTTGTATTCTTTCTACAAGAATATTGCTCTCTATATGACTCAGTTCTGGTTTGTTTTTTCAAATGCATACTCTGGTCAATCGATTATAGAGTCTTGGACATTAACATTTTACAATGTGTTATTTACAGTATTACCTCCATTTGTATTGGGAGTCTTTGATCAATTTGTCAGTGCTCGATTGTTAGATCGATACCCTCAACTTTATCAATTAGGTCAACAAAAAAAGTTTTTCAACGTTACTATTTTCTGGGGCTGGATTGTTAATGGTTTTTACCACTCAGCTGTAATATTCTTGTGCTCTTTCTTTGTCTATCATCATGGGGATCAATTGGCTAGTGGATTAATAGCTGATAATTGGACTTGGGGCACTGCAGTATTCACCACTTGCACTCTAACTGCTCTTGGAAAGGCTGCTTTAGTTGTCAATTTGTGGACAAAGTTTACCGCGATAGCAATTCCTGGCTCTTTCGCTTTATGGCTAGCTTGGTTCCCAGTTTACTCTATCGTTGCGCCATCAATCAACGTTTCACAGGAGTACCGTGGGGTTTTAAAAACGACGTACCCATCTCTTACTTTCTGGGCAATGATATTTGGTGTCTCTGTATTGTGTCTAATTCGTGACCTAGCATGGAAGTTTTTTAAAAGAAGCTACAGTCCAGAAAGCTATCACTTTGTCCAAGAGATTCAAAAATATAATATTCAAGATTACAGGCCCCGTATGGAGCAATTTCAAAAGGCTATCAGAAAAGTTAGACAAGTTCAGCGTATAAAAAAGCAAAGAGGTTTTGCTTTTTCACAAGTGGACAACCAAGATCAAGAGAAAATTATAAGGTTATATGACACAACTAAAAAAAGGGGCCAATTTGGTGAGTTAAGTGAAGGTTTATGAGTAAATAATACTGACAGAAAGACTACTCAACTGTGAATATTCCGCCAATATATAGTTCTTATCGATTTTGCACGACTTTGACATTTTTTTTTGTCTCTATTTGTAGAGTATCAATAAATCAATTCATCTTCAGCAAACGGATCTTTAATCTCTGAAAAGTTAATCATGAGTGTTTCGCTGAGCACAGCTGATGATAGCAAAGCTAGTAAGGAAGTCTCTCAGACTCCTAAGCTGCTCTCTAATAAGGAGCTCAAAGAAATGAAAAAGAGAGAGAAAGCTGCGAAGCGAGCAGCAGAGAAAGAGAAATTAGGAATCACTCCAGAACAGCAATCTCAAATTGCAAGTCAAAAGATGGATAAGAAGAAACAGCAAACTGCTACAAGTACGAATTTGAAGAAGCAATTGAACCAAAGCTTAATTAAAGATGATAGAGTTAAAGTGCCATCGTTGTTCAGCCATTTAGAAACACGAGAGCAGAGAAATGCATCATCGCCATCGATTTACCATATAATACATCCTGCAGTATTGTCATTGACAATAAAATACTCCACCTATAAGATTGTTGGCTCTGTAGCTAGATTGAAGAATATGTTGAAGGTTTTTAAAATTGTGATTGAAGATTACAAAACGCCTGAAAATACCACATTAACAAGACATTTAACTGGGCATCTATCTAATCAAATAGAATACTTGAAGACAGCTCGGCCTTTATCAATCTCAATGGGTAATGCTATTAGATGGCTAAAGCAAGAAATTTCTCATATATCCATTGACACAACTGAGAGCCAAGCAAAGGCAATCTTGTGTCAAAAGATCGATGATTTCATAAAGGAGAAAATAGAGCTTTCAGAGCAAGTTATCATTGAAAATGCGTCGAAGCATATTACCAATGATTCGACGATCTTAACCTTCGGCCATTCACAGGTCTTAGAAAAGCTTTTTAAGTACTGTGTCCTCAAACAAAAGAAGAATTTTACTTTAATAGTGGTTGATTCCAGACCACTCTTCGAAGGTAAGAAACTATTGAAGAACTTGGTCAAATGCACTGTTCCTGAAGACAGTAACGAGCATGGCATCGAGAATGGTACAACTCATGGAATCAATGCACCTATCACCAAACGATATATCAGGGCGCATTATGTATTAATAAACTCATTGTCTTCTACTTTGTTAGAGGATGTTGATTGCGTTTTTCTAGGAGCTCATGCAATGTTATCAAACGGACGTCTTTATTCACGAGTTGGTACCGGATTGATTGCAATGATGTGTCATACAAGGAATATTCCTGTTTTAACTTGCTGCGAGTCAGTCAAATTCTCTGACAAAGTCCAGTTGGATTCAGTTACTACCAATGAGCTAGCAGATGCTGATGATTTGCTCCAGCTGGTTAGTTCTAAGAAGCCTCCTCAAAAGAAGGCTTTTGCCACAGAACAATTCTTAAAGCAATGCGACGAAGAGAATAAGAAAGGAAAAGATGACGCTAGGATTAAAGGTAAGAACCATCAGAAGAAGGAGGCCTCCACTAATGCTACAAAAATCGAAAGCGATGAAACAATCTTGAAAGATTGGAAAAGTATTCCAAATTTAAACATTTTAAATATAATGTATGACCTCACTCCTCCAGAGTATATCAACAAGGTCGTCACAGAGCTAGGTGCATTGCCACCTTCGTCAGTTCCCGTCATCTTGAGAGAATATAAGAATACATAGCTTGATAGAAAATACATACAGATCTTTACATTTTTATGTGTCACATGACTACCAAGACATGAATTTGAACCAATTTTCTAGCGTTGATAATGCCTTTGCCACTTGATACAGTTCTTACATGGTGGCAAATTTAAGTATTTTTATCTTCTAGATTATCTTTACGCTACACTTGTATTCAAAGTTTAATGGAAAGAACTTACTTGGTACAATGGCTGAAAATGAATTGGCTTTGATCAACAAAGTGGAACTTAGAATAGCGTTAGCGGCAGATGATAAGCAACTCGAAAAATCATTGCACCTCTATTTGGCGCCAATTATTAATAAGTTGAGTAGTCCGCATGCCAGTGTAAGAAATGCTGTACTCAAAGTGCTTGAAAATTTGTCCCCCAGAATAGCTGCAGCTAGAGAGATCAAACTACCTGTTGAGGCTTTGCTTAATCAGGTGAAAGATCCTAAGGCAATTGATGATTCTAGTGTTTCGACAATGAAAATATACTCTTTGATATTTATGGCTCGAGGAATTGAAAGGATGTCTGACGATGAAAAGATTACACTAATACCCGAAATTATTGAACACATCAGCAATTACCCTTCCAAGATCTCAGCACGAATGTTTGGTATCTTATGCAACTTACTCAAGTATTGGAAAGATTCCGATCGTGGGGCTCAAGATTGTCGTGACTTTCTTCGCTTCGATCTGAACGTTGATGATGAGGCATTTTTATCGAATTGTATAGCAAAATTTTTGTTGTTGCAATCAACGGTCTTTAATAGTGAGGGTGCTCAACCTGGTTTGAGTGCTGACGACGTCGCTTTCTACACGAAAGATTCGGGAGTGACATTTGCTTCATTTCAAGATATTACCCATATAAAGCTTAGATTGTTCGCCTTCTTGAAGACTGCTTTTAAGGATGAGTTTTCTGTACTCCCAATATTAATAGCATCTACAGATGGCTCTTCAACGTTGAAGGATTCAAGTGAAATTTGGTTTCGAAAATTGAAATTGGATTTGGAAGATCCTAAGTTGATATCAAGGCTTATTGATTTATATGTTGGCGTAAATGGAATACCACCTGTAAAATCTACTTTACAGGAAAAAATATTGATATTTTTGTGTAAAAGTAAGCTAGCAACAAGAAATCCAATGTTGTCACAAATCACTGACATAGGATTGTCATCAGATTATTCCAAGCTAAGGCAAACGAGTGTTCACTTCATTAAATGGGTTAATCAAAACAACAATAATAATAATTTTGGGGATGTATCCAAGAAAATGCTTGATAAATTTAATAGAGATGTGATTATGAGGTTAAAGGAATCTATCATGAGTGAAGGTTGGCCGCGTATGGACAGATCTATAATGAACCGACAAAATCTTGCGAGCCAAAGGCAACTAAAGTATGAAGCAATTGGAAATGTTCTTAGGTCCAACCCCGATTTGTTTGTTGATGACTTTTCCTATTTGCAGTTTTTGTTTGATGCTCTTGAGTCTGAAGAATCAGATTTTAAGGGGACCATACAAGATGTTTTGTCAAGCTTAGTTGCACACTTGCCAAAAATGACTAAGAATTCAAAAAGTTTGTTGAAAGTTTTAGGAAGAAATTATTTGAGCGGTAATAGGGAGGAAATGAATCATAACATACAGTCTTGCAGATACGTTATTTTGAAGTATATAAATGCTGCTTTTCCTTTTCATGACCCTGAGGCTAGATACTTATGTATTTTAGGAACGTTTAATGGCAATACTTCAGATACGATTGAGGAAGCGAAACGAGGTTTACACCCATATTGGTTTAATATTTTTCAATCATCAAATTCACTTGACTTTAAGCCAACTTCAGACTTGTTGGGCCAAAACTCTTCTGTCAAATTTCCACAATTTAAGGAGATTGTGAGAATCTTATATGATCAGCTCATTGCAATTCAAAGCAAGGATGAAACAATATTGAAAGTTTTGGGAGAAGCAATAAACTTTACTTTGCAAACGCTAGTAATGCATGCAGTATCAAAGAAGAAAACAGTGATTGTTTCCGACATGGATTGGTCGATAAGATTAGAAAGAGCGATAGAAGTTGATGATGCCGTAAGGGAGTTATTAGTCGATGAAATAAAACTTGTGTTTAGTGAGGGTATCTCAGCTGATGAAATGAATAAAAATTGTTATATTACGTATTTATTGATAATCTTGGATGCATTAGTTGGACAATACGATAACAGTAAGGGAATTGCACTTAACATTACTTATGGATCTATTTTCTTACGCTTAATTTCGCTTTCTCCATCTGCAGCTGTTGGTAATCTATGCTCAAAATTGGATAACCTTCTCGCTTGCCTATCTGAGAAGATCTCTAATGACTTATCTTTATCTCAAATCAGTCAAGCCATTGGGATAATAGGTAGTCATCCTGATAATCCAGACGACGAAGTGCGTAGGGTTTTAGATAGTTTACTTGTTGAGAGATCACGATCAAGCACATTAAAGCATTCATTCCTACCTGCAGCTTACTTGATTTCGAGATTGGCATTTAGAGGACGGCACAGAATCTTGGAGCAAAAGCACCTTGAACAATATTGCGGGAGACTATTACAGTGTCTTTCGGATAATAGCACTTTTGTATTAGCATTGGAATGCGTGTCTGAATTATCCATATTTGGCGTCCTAGGACCTCGAATTGACCCTAGTTTTAATGAATTTGTTTGCCAATTTGCTGACTCCATTTCTACAAAAGTTAAAAAATGCGACGAAAGGTCCGTTTTGACCTTGTCATATCTCACTTTAGCTTTAACGAATGAGAATAAAGAAGCTAAATTCGAAAAGTATTTGAAATTGATATATGATACACATGTTTCGAAGCAAGTTGAATTCACTTTTTCCAGCGGTGAGGCCCTTCTGGTAATCGCTGCCGGGTGGGACTCCACGTTTATGAAACGGAAAATTGATATTCTTTACGAAAATAACGAACTTATTCCTAAGGATACTTCAAAACTCTCTACCGTGCTAGATATGGTTTTAGAATCTTGCAGAAATACGAAACCTTCTTTGAGGAAAGCAGCTTGTATCTGGTTGTTATCCTTAGTCCAGTACTGTGGACATTTGGAACCTGTAAAGAAGGTGGCGCCCCAAATTCATGTGACTTTCATGAAGTTTTTGGCACACAGCGATGATCTTGTCCAGGAATCTGCATCGAGGGGCCTCAGTCTTGTATATGAAATGGGAGATAGTGACTTGAAAGATACATTGGTGCATAGTTTGTTGACCTCCTTCACAAACTCAAACACTCTGAATTCATTGTTAGCAGGCTCTGTTGATCGTGATACTGAATTATTTGAGCCTGATCTACTCAAGACAAATGATGGATCCGTTTCGACGTATAAGGATGTGTTAAATTTGGCTTCGGACGTTGGTGATCCCAGCTTGGTTTATAAATTTATGTCATTGGCAAAGTCTTCTGCATTATGGTCATCAAGAAAAGGAATGGCATTTGGGTTAGGGACAATTTTGTCTAAAACTTCCTTGGACGATCTCTTAGCTTCTAAGAAACATCTTTCGGAACGATTAATCCCTAGGCTATACCGCTACAGGTTTGATCCTAATACTTCAGTTTCACAGTCAATGAACGACATTTGGAATTCGATTATTAAAGATACGTCAAAAACTGTTAATGATAACTTTTTGATAATCTTGAATGAATTACTTCGTGGCATAGGAAATAGAGAATGGAGAGTTCGTCAAGCTAGTACCTCAGCTCTTGCAGATTTATTGCAAATTGTCTCACTTGAGGATCAAGAATTTGACTTGCAACATATTTGGAATATGTGCTTTAGAGCTATGGATGATATCAAGGAGAGTGTCAGAAAAGAGGGCAATAAACTTGCCAAAGTTTTGGCTACAAATTTCATTAGAATAGTTGATGTTAAAGACGGCAAACAATCTTCCAAAGAAAAATCAATAAATTTGTTGAAAACTCTACTCCCTTTTCTTTTAGGTACAAATGGTTTGCAAAGCGACTCAGAAGATGTTCGGAGTTTTGCGTTGGATACGATTTTGAAATTATGTAAAGTTAACAACCAAGTAGTGAAACCTGTTGTCCCTGAATTGCTTGAAAATTTCATTAGCTTGATGTCAAGCTTAGAACCCGAGATTGTCAATTATTTAGTTTTGAATGCGGATAAATACAAAATGAAGGAGAATGATATTGATGCTAAGAGACTACAAAGTCTTGGTGCATCACCATTGATGGACGCGATTGACAAGTTATTAGATTTAGTAGACGAGACAAACATCGCAGCATTGATGTCAAGCTTACAAGCTGCGATTAAAAAGTCGGTAGGGTTGCCTTCCAAGGCTTGTGGGTCAAGGGTCATAGTGAGCTTGGTTTCCAAGCGTCCAACCTTAATTACGCCTTATGGTGATATGCTATTGAAATTATGTGTTCTGCAATTAAAAGATCGAAACGAAACAATTTCCTCTTCGTATGGACTGGCGATTGGATTCGTATGTCGATTGGCGTCCTTAAAATCGATATCAGAGCTATCATCGAAGATTGATGATTTTTATTTCAAGAGTGAGGATGCAAGAGGAAGAGAAATATCAGCGCTTGTAAGCGAAAGTATTTCAAAACACAGCGGTGAAAGGTTCGCCTCTGTAGCTTCCAGCTTCTTACCACTTTCATTCATTGGAAAAAATGACAGTAATATGTTAGTGAAATCATGCTTTGAAAGGGAATGGAATGAAAATACGAGTGGAAGTGATAGCTCTGTGAGGCTATATTTGAACGAGATCATTGTGTTTTACGAAAAGTACTTGTCTTCGAATAAGTTTGACATAAGGCAAACTTTAGGAAAGTCTATTTCAAACTTATGTGATCTGATTACGGATTTTGATCTAATTTCTGAAAGTAATGCGAAAGAATTAATGGAGTTATTGATTGTATCATGTAAGGGTAAATCTTGGGTAGGGAAAGAGCTAATTTTGGAGTCTCTAGTTTCATTCTCTAAGAAGTCAAAGAGGTTGTTAAGAAACAATATGGGGCTTTTGGAGAAGATAAATAATACCGTCGTTATAGAAGCTAACAGAAAAAACAAGAGGTACCAAAAAAGAGCAGCAAAAATATTGGGAAACTTCATTAATACGTATTCCATTCCTGACCTGATTGATGCCTATGTCAAAATTATGGATCACTTGGTTAGTGATCAATATTTAGACGATGACTCGGATGATGATGATATGGTTATTGATTCTCACTACGACTTAAATCCTAAGCTGTTAGTAAGACTAGAAGAAGAAAGATTGGATTACCTTAATAATATGGTGGAAAGCTTTCCAGTTTACGAAAAGGAAGGTGCAAAAGTTTATAGTGGAGGTCTATTGGCATTGATATTACACAAGACTTTGGAAATCTTTAATTCATCAAGAATAGAAGTAACATGGAGATCGAAAATAACTGTCTGTGATGATTTAGTTCAGCTCATTTCGAAAATGAATGAGGTTTCGACAGTTTCAAGAGATGAAGCATATGTACTGCTTGTTTACAAGAATTGGGAGTGCTTGAGCAATCACTGTTCTATGCCTTCTGACATCGAAAATGTCAAGATAAGTTTCATAAGGCTTTCGCATGAAGTTATTCTATTATTAGAAGACACGCACCATCTTTCGCAATCAGAAGTTATTAAAGGAAAGCTTTGCAGCTTGAAACAACAAAATGTGTCCAACGTTGTCCAAACTGAGATAAAGAACGTACTACAGAAGTTTAATTAGATAATTGTATCACATTATCATATAGAAATGTAACAATCTTATACCATAACTGTCTCTCGAAGATCAATCTCAATGCTAGAGTCGTGCATGTGAATTTTGTATAAAGAAAACTCGCTAGATTGAAGATTTTTGAGATACGCATTAAATAGCATTAGTAATCTGGTATAATGTATTTTTGAATAGAAAGATGTTTTGCACATTAAAAGCTTATACTTGGAATTAGTACGGAAAATTAGGATGATCCCTTAAGATATGGATAGGAAGGTTCCAGAAAAAGCTGAAGTCTTTCGAGTAATTTACATGATATGGGGTTTTCTTCTCAAACAATGGTTTTTTTTAATCTTGGGGGTTTTCATTGGACTCGCATATCGCTTTCCAGAATTTGCAAAAGAGGGTGGAACAATAAAAGCACAGTACAGTATTGGATATGGCGCAGTATCAGTGATATTCTTGATCAGTGGTCTCACAATGCCTTCGAAAGATTTATTTGACAACATTTTACACTGGAGAGCACATTGCACCCTCCTTTCTATGTCCTTTCTCATTACTAGTTCCATAATCTATGGAATAGCATGCGGAATCAAAGCTTCGAATAACGACAACATAAGCGACTGGGCATTGGTTGGTATGATAGTGACTTTTTGCTGTCCAGTTACAGTGTCATCAAATATTGTTATGACAAAACAGGCTGATGGGAATGAGGCCTTGACATTATGCGAGGTCTTTTTAGGAAACGTCATCGGTGCCTTTGTAACTCAAGCATTGGTTCAGATGTATATGAGGGGAGAATGGGATTTTGGAAACCCGACTCACCAAGAAGACGGAAATAGTAATGTCGAAGAAATCTACCGACAAGTGATGAAGCAGCTTGGTTTGTCTCTTTTCATTCCTTTGTTTGTTGGCCAGGTGGTTCAAAATATCTTCCCTAAATTTGTTGGGAAAATCGTGTCACTGTTCAAGCTTGGGAAAGTGGGTTCCTTCATGTTGTTACTAATTATGTATCAATCATTTTCAACAGCATTTGCTCAAAATGCGTTCGAGGAAGTTACTCATGCTACCGTTATATTTATTGTGTTTTTCAATATTGGCATTTATTTATTTTTTACAGCTCTATGTTATGCATACTCAAGGCCAATTTTCATCAAAGGAGCATTTGGAATAGCACCTGATGAGAACTCTACAAGGGTGTATAGGTTAGGATATCGTTATATGAGAAAGTTTTATTATAACAAAAGAGACACAGTTGCGATCATGCTCTGTGGAGCAACAAAGACGGGTGGTTTAGGAGTATCTTTAATTTCTTCTCAATATGGATCGGATAACCCGAAGTTGGGTATGCTTCTAATGCCCCTCGTTTTGTTCTCGGTTGAACAGGTGATTACAGCTCAGGTTTTAGTCAGCTTTATGAGGAAATGGATACACCTGGATGATCCCAAATTTGATGAAGAAGCGTCTACGGATGAAGCTGAATCAAAAAATGAAGATATTGAGGAATATGCACCTGCAAATTCAGATTCGAAGGAAAGTCTGACTGGGAGTCAAGATTCAGCTGCCATCGACAAGACAGGCAATATATTCCGTCTGAATTCTTCTTCTTCAGAGCCCATGACAACTCTACCAAACCAGCATTCATAATGTGCTAATTTAATATATACTAATTCTTCTATGTGATGTTTCTTTGTGCTTGCACTATGTATTTGGGACGTATACTGGCTGCGAAATTTAATGCTCAAACATATTCTTGTACTAGGCCTCTTTCGGGAGTACTGCACATACTTTCTAGCTATCCTGTCTCCAGGTTAAAGGTTTCAGGAGGAGACACTGGAGACGCTGAAGATAGTACTTTAGTCTTACCGTAAATGTTTTAAAAGATATTTGCTCATAATCTCTTCAGATTAGCCCGAACGTAACATGTCTTACTAGCAAAACTCATGTGTGATAACTGCTCTATCTTGAATCTTACTTTAAGATACTGATATCTTACTCAAGTATATGTCATTGAAGAAAAGCTTTCCAACTTGAAACAGTATAGATCTCGTCGTTCTTCGAATACATACAAATAAGCTGCTACAGAAAAAAATTAATTAGGCTAACTGTATCACATTACCATCTACACATATTATAATATTATATCATAACTGCCTATCAACAGCCACCTCTCAATCTTAAGACCAAATGTAAGGTGGATTCCTTTTGAATGTTGTAATCAGATAATGTTCTACCATCTTCTAATTGCTTACCAGCAAAAATTAATCTTTGTTGATCTGGTGGAATACCCTCTTTGTCTTGAATCTTACTCTTGACGTTGTCAATAGTATCAGATGATTCTACCTCTAAGGTGATAGTTTTACCAGTCAATGTTTTGACGAAGATTTGCATACCACCTCTCAATCTTAAGACCAAGTGTAAAGTGGATTCCTTTTGAATGTTGTAATCAGATAATGTCCTACCATCTTCTAATTGCTTACCAGCAAAAATTAATCTTTGTTGATCTGGTGGAATACCCTCTTTGTCTTGAATCTTACTCTTGACGTTATCAATAGTATCAGAGGACTCTACCTCTAAGGTGATAGTCTTACCAGTTAAGGTCTTGACAAAGATTTGCATACCACCTCTCAATCTTAAGACCAAGTGTAAGGTGGATTCCTTTTGAATGTTGTAATCGGACAATGTTCTACCATCTTCCAA